TCAAGTGTAAAACATTAAAAAAAAAAAAAATATTTTGAATATAACTTTTGTTCCCATAGCTTCTAGTCCCTCAAGGATTCCTGCAATTGTCAAAACGTTTTAATGTTGATTACATTGTTTTGCCACAAGCTATAGGAAGAGCCCATGAGACTGTGAGTAGTGCAGACCATAACGCTGAACATTCCCAGCTCATTTCGGGGGGGATGAGTGCCATCCTCGGGCAGGTTTCTGTCCCGTTGGGAAGTTGTTCTGCACCTTCCTTGGTCCTACAGTTACACAAAGCAAGGTGCTCTGCCTTAGTGAACTGTGCTGTGTGTATGGTGAAGCTGCCAAACCTTGCCCCCAAAGACAAGAAGACCCCTTGCCCCTAGAAAATCCTGTCCTGTGCAAACTGAGAGAGCTAAGAGCAAACCCGTGCACCACAAGGGGAGCTCCCTTAGTCTTCCCCCTGCTGCTGGTGGCAGATCTGTGAGCTAGCGAAGTTTTTATCTAATTTGCTGCAGCTTCCTGAAGGTGAAACAGATGCTAGACCCTTAAATTTCTTTGGATTCCCTTGTGCTGCTCAGCCTAGGGAGGTGCGGAGTATCATGTTCCTTCAGCTGAGATGATTTGGCATCAGGTTGAAAGGTAAAAACACTGATAAACATGGTTTCTGTTGCTGCTAGAACAAAGACTGTTCAAATTGTGAACTGGTTGGCCTGGAGTGGGGAATGCCAAGGAAAAGCAAAATCCTTTGGAACAAAGGCAACGTGTGTCTGTGTGCCTCTTCTGGACATGGGTCGGAGGAGGCGATCAAGGACACTGGGTTGCTGTTCAAAGCTGAATATCGCAGTAAAAATGGCAGGGCAAGAACAGAGAGACTTAAGGTCTTGTGACTGCCTGTGTATTTCCATGTAGACTTCAAACAAAGATGGTTTTGCTCCTGTCTGTCTCAGGTGAAAGCGTTTACACAAATTCTTTCAATATGCATTGGCAGCTCTTACTCCTAGGTTCTCTCCTGAATTGCAGCCTTGTTCGGGAGACCTCAAATCTTTGGTGTACATTTCACTGCAATACGTCCAGGGCTCCTTGGAGACATCAGGGAGACCGCAAGTGATAGACGTGAAACTTTCCCTGAGCTTTCTCTTGGCCGGCAGCCTGGGAAGTGCCAAGGTGGAAGGGATCAAAACCATCCCCCTGACCAGGCGCTGGCGCAACGTGCGTCATTGCCCGGGGCCGTCTGGGTTGTGGCTTTTTCCCATGTGCAGCCACGTAAAGAATAAAAACACAGACCTGGCAGTCACTCCTTGTTGGCTGTGTCCAGACTTCCCACCTGAAAGGGTGTTTTACACCTCGTGTTTGGGCTGAAGGTGACGTGATGCAGGGAGGAGAAGCCGAGGGAGCATCCGAGGGATTATTCCTGGCAGCGGGGCAGGTGGGTTTGCCTGTGCGGCGCTGGCAGCAAGGTGTGGGATCGTGTTAGCAGCAACCACAGCCACGTCTGAAGGGTGTTGATCGCTGATGTCATTGTTTTGATACCTCTCGAGTTCTCTGCGTGCTCACGGCTGCTGTAAATAATAACGTGTAAGCTTGCTGCCGTGGGTCACTCGGTCTACTGGCAATAGCCAAAGAATTCCCACATCAAGCGAAAGCGTAACCGATCCCCAAATCGCTCTCAGCGCGATTGTTGTGTGAACACGGCTGTTGATTGAGGCCCGGATCTGAATCTGGTATCCAAAGTTGATGACTTATGCAAAACAGCATTTGCTGCGAGGTTACCGGTGTTGTGGCTTGCCCTGTGGGGAGAGCTAACAGGCTGTGGGTTTTTTATTATTATTTTCGTTTGTTTTTATCTTTTAACTCTTCTCAGATGAGGTGCTTCACATCTACAAGCTTTGGCAGCCCGGTGTAATGTTTCACGTGTTATCACAACGGGGAAACAAAATCACAGGTGAAATATCTCAGCTCAGCAGCACCCGTTTGGGGAAGTTGTTGCTGGGTGGTGTGCCCAGAGCTGTAACTCTCCTGTGGTGCTGCTGCACACTGAGATCTTGGGTCTGGGGATGATAACAAAGCACAGAGACTGGCTCCTCCTTCTGTCCTCCTGTGCCCTTGAAGGAGTCATTTGGTTAAATTCCTTAATATTTTTGCAGCTGTGGTTGTGGTTTATTAACTGATGCTGCCTTGAAGAAGAGCCTGTGTCTGCAGCAGGGTTTTCATTACTCATCTGTCAATACTTGCAGAGTGAAACAAATGGGTCTAGGTAGAGAGGCTTCTGCTTTTCTGGGTAAATGCTCCAGTTTATTTTTCTCCCTCCATCTCTGTTACTGAGGGAGACCATACAGACAGTTCTTGGTGCAGCGCATGGTAGTGCTGTGCTGGATAGGAAGGTCTGGCCTGCTTTGTCTGTCGGGATTATTTTAAGCAATGATGTTTAGATTTTAGTAAATGAACCAGAAGGAATTGAAAACATCTCTCTTTCCCAAAATATTCTAACTCATACAGCTGTAAATGCCCTTTATCCTGAATCAGACCAGCTGGAGAATTGCCAGTTTTCTCTTTTGCAATGGGCAAAATGGGATTTCTGGCCAGTGGTTTGACATTGTGCTTGTCAGGAGAAGTCCAGTTGAGATTATTTATTTTTTTTCTTACATATTCCATAAAACTGAAAATGGAATAAACCACAATGATTGCTTTGTCTACTGAAGCAAGCTGCAGGTTTTGCAATAATTGTCTCGGCTTCTGGGCGAAACGTAGGAGGCAATTTATCTGCCTGGATTTCTTTTTTTGCATGCTGATTGGAAACGAAGGACGTCTTACTTCGAAACCCCTCCAGAAGAGGGATACCTGCTCCGAGAGACAGAAATGCAGCTGGTTTTCATGTTGGTACGTAGTGTGGGAGAGCACAGGGCACTGACATTTTCTGCAGCAGGCACGTGGTCGCTGCGCTGCGCCTTGCCAGCACAGGGCAAAGCTGCAGCAGGAGGATGAGGGAGTGGACTCGAGGATCCGAGGGCACTGACTCACTTTCCACATGCTGCTCTCGAGTCTCACACTTGGCTGTGACATATGTTTAACAGAGGAGCAGCTGGGCTAGCGAACAAGCGGACTTGGGAGCCCAAATTTAGTGCTGATCGCCTTCTGTGTGTGTGCATTTTGGGGGAAGTACTGGAGTCCTTGCCCCCTTTCCCTGTTGTGCCACCTGGTTTTGCTTTGTTTTCGTCCAACTTTGCAAAACACGGTGGGGAAAAAAGCGTGCACAGCAGTTCCCTGTGCAAGAAGACCCAGACAGAGCTGAGGCGCAGCCTGGTGAAGGAAGCTGATAAGTGGAAACCTTGCTGTGTGCCTTTGTACCTTGACCACATGAGGTGTTTGCAGGTAAATGGGTGCCAATTTCCGTAGTGCAGAGCTGTCTTCTGCGCTGGAGTTGCAGAAGTGTTTGAAAGTCTCTCCTGTGCGAGGCTGTGCTGTGTTACCCCAGCCTGCAGCAGGAGTGGAGGGAACCAAAATTGCTGCCAGGCTGAGCTCTTGATCAGCTGCAAGCGTGTGAGGACCTAGTTTGGAGATAAAAACTGGCCAGCGGGTATTTCCATGGGCTTCCCTCAGAATGAGCAATCTCAGCATTAAGTGGATGCATTGCAGATTGATTTGAATGAGAGAGATAAGGACTTGGACTCGATGATCCTTGTGAGTCCTTTCCAACTCGGGATATTCTGTGAGTCTATGAATTTCAAAATCCCACTCTTTCAGTAGCCTTAATCTGCTGACCTGATGTGAAACAGTGGAAAATAGTTCAATTGAGGGAGAAAGGAAGAAAAGATTTGCACAGCACAGTGGTAAGCGTGTTGGTCTGATCCCCACCCGATACTGCATTCTCCTGATTTGAAAGGTTTTTTGCTCTGCAAGGACAAAGATAGCTTCCAAAATGGGGAGCAGAGCCATTGTAAACTCCCCAAGTGAGGAGAGTTAGTATCTAACACGACTTTTTAAACTATTTTCAGCTTGCTTATGCATCTTCGCAGATCTTTAAGCTGTGCACAGGTGTCAGTGCGTGCGTTTAGCCAGCTTTGACTGTGAAGTTTGGAAAAAAAAAAAAAGAAATGGATAAAAAAAGGCACAAGCTATGGAGTGTATGAGCAAGCATCGTATATAAATTCCATTGTTTTGTGTAGCTGTGCAGCCTATCAAATTCCAGCAGTGAGACTCTCTTTACAAACGCTTTTGTATTTTTTCTGTTGACTCATCCATCCAGCACTTGTAGTAGCACTTCAGTACTGCATTATAAAGCCGAAGGTTGAAACAAGGCTGTTCTTGAGCCGGTTTAATCAACAGATGCAATTAATACAATAATGTTTGTGCTGCCACCCAGTCTCGCTGGGACTGCATTGTGGGCAGCGTTGCCAGACAAGGAGATCTCTGTGGCCGGGGCCTGACTGTACGAGCAGAGCACGAAACGTTTGTGTTGAGCAGAAGATGAACACTGAAAGAGTTTCAGACCGATCATAGCTGGCAAGGGGCCTCCCTGGTGCTACAGGCAGCGTTAATGAAAGGTTGAAATGCAATCTGCAGCGCTTCTGATTTAGTGGATGGGTTTCTGAAACGCTGGGATTTCTGCATTACGGAGCAGCAGAAGCGTAAAAGGAAGGCTCAGCTTGGTTTTGTTCAGTGTGAATAGATGCGGGGTGGTGGCGAAGGAAATACAGTTTGGACTCCGAGCTTTATTCTCACATGAGAACAATGCCAGTCCCAAACCAGTGCTTCTCAGATGTGTTTTACCCTGGGAACTTGCATAAAACGTCTTCCCTTTCAGCCGTTTCATTTTTAGCTGCATACAGGGTGTAACCATTGTTTAAGGGAGTGTCGGTGGCACGGAGCCAGTTGATACGCAAACCCTATCATGAATTGTTTTAAAGAGAGCGCGATTTTCTGTGCTGAGATATATCGATGGCTTTTCTCAGGGCAGTAAGTACACGCTGACTCCAGCAGTTGCCGGAGCAGCTGTTCATTATGGGTAAGCCATATGAAAAATCTTGTGAAAGCCTCAATATCAGTAGGAAGCAGCGCGAGCTTAAATGATCGCCACTCGAGTGTGGCGGAGCCGTGGCAGTAGCTGCTTTCGTATTTTCCCTTGCTTGGAATTTTACATTGGAAAAAGTTTCTGGTTCTTACGGTGGCAAAGTCTGTAGGGTAGTTTACAGGGAGGTTTCTAACTTCAGGCTCGTTAATGGTTGTAAAGGCTTGCCTGGACACTCCCCGTATCTTGCTCCAGGGTATGAATTTATTTGATTTAACCCACGGTGAGTTGATGGAGCAGCTTCTGTCTCCGTAAGGGTATCTCTCCTGGCTCTGTGGCTTCTAGGATTTCCTAACATCGTAGCACTGGTGTTACTTACACTGGGTTTCTGCCAAGTTCTGTATTAGGACTTGTGTTAGGACAGGGCACGTGCTTGTAAAGCAGTTTGCTCCGTGTCCTGAGCTTCCTAATCGATAAGCTGGGGGTTTTTGGTATGGCCTGTCGCTGTTCTTAATCACGGAGCTGACTTTGGTTGATGCTGACAGCTTTCCACCAGCAAGTCCGTTTTGAATTAATGAACATTTTGGATAATTTCTGTAACTGCCATTTTCAGGAAAACAATTGTGATTTTGGTCTGAAAGCTTCGCCCCGTGCCAGCCGTGAGCAGCGGGCCCCCTCTGGGTACGGGTGGCTGCAGCATCGCCCCTGACCTTCAGCTTGTGAAAAAAAAAGCATGCAAGAAATGCTGTGCTGCAGGCATGAACCCTCCAGAGGCCGAGCATGCAGTGCTGGTGGGAAACCCTTCCGCCTGCAGCCACCCTAGTGCACAAACAGACCCAACGTAACGCCTTCCTAGCTCAGCTTCTGCGGGATTTCCAGCCCGTGGTTGGGTTACTTCCTTCATCCTACACTTGAACTCTGCGTTTGATTGCTTTTTATTTCGTATTGTTCCTCGTTGTCTGTGACACCAGGATGTGATTTCTTCTTCGTCACCTCTTCCCTCCTGTAGTTTCTCCCCATGTGTAATTTTTTGACGCGTGTATTGTTTTTTGTACTGCATCCTGGCAGAGAGCTTGTGTCATGAAGTTTTGGTTCAGCAGGGTTGTCCTGGAGATGCAGAGGGATGTGCCCCAAACAGCAGGACGTGTCACAGCCACAGGCACTACGTGCACATCTTGCACAAGCAATAGGGCTGCTCTTGGTGCTGAGTGTGATGTGTCAGGGGATGGTTCACGGGGGTGGTAGCAGGGGGTGTTCTGGCTCATTTGGAAAACAAGCTTCAGTTTCCTTTGATGTAATAATTTCATGAATCAAAAAGGAAAATGAGTAATAAACATTAAGGATTATTTAGAGCGTTATATTTTCAGAGCATCGTGCAATCGTTTATTCTGTCCCTTTGACCCCGTGCTGTCTGTAGCGAGGTGAGACCAGTAAGTACAGCTTCTGCCCCTGCCTCATTTACTGCTAGGGTTTGAGCTGTTGCTCTGGTCAGATGATGTCTGCTTCTCCATAAGCTTCTGCTGGCTGTTCAGTTCATCGCTAGAGCTGTGCGCCCTCCCAGCAGGTTGGTAAGTCGTGTTTTAACGCATTTCAGATCTCACCAGGCAGGGAGAGTGGCAGATGGTGCTGTGTAGGGGTGGCACCGCTTGTTTGTAGGAAGTGCAGGTGTGCACAGAGCATGCCACCTAGAGGAATGGAGCTGGCAAGGCTGGACGGAGCCACGCTTTGCTGGCAAAACGTAGGTGGCTGTGAGAGTGGCTGTGTCGAGACCTTCTCCGTGCAGTGCACGTTGTGGCCCTGCCTCTGATACGAAGGTCCCTGCACAGCCAGCTTTCCATCAGCTCCTCAAAAAAAAAGCTTCACAACTTTTTACCTGAGGTTACTGTTGATGATTTCGCATTCTACTTATGTTGATCCTCATCTTTCACTGAGCCTCGAGAATCTGAAATTAAGTGGAGGATCTCACCTCAGATATTTTCTGGGAATTAGGGTGAGGAATCTAGCACAAGGTGTGAGTTGATGGGATAATGCTCTCTAAGCTCTGTGCTTTTTTTGGCTTGTATGTTGCAATTTCTTTTGCAGGAGACTAATAAATTTCCCAGAAGATTATCCTAATTTCCAAAGTCTCAAAGTCTGAGTTGTAATTAAGCACTTAATTTGATGAGGTTTTTTAAATGTGTTGCTGGTCTGCTGGCAGCTTGGGGAAATGGTTCCATCTGCAGCCCAGCTTCCCTCGTGTGGGTTCAAGCTCACAAAGCCGATGTATATTTAGAAGTGCCAGAACTTCAGCCTACCAGACAGGCCTCAGAAAATTGCTCCAAATTCATGCTTTCTGGATGGGTTAAAGCCAGATTTGAAAGAAGTCCACCTTCTTTGAAGAAGCTCAAGTGATCGTTAGGGAGATGGCAGATTTCCATTAACGCCTGGGCAGTGAGCAATTTTAATAATGCATCTGATTGCTTACAAATTACACTGAGCTCCCCCATTTCCACAAATTGCAGCAATCATTCCATCCAAGAGGGAAGCTATTATTTTATTTCTTTGAAATGAAAACGCGTTTCTTTTTTAGTTCGTGTTTACCGTCCTCTGTTCTTTGTGAGCTGAGCCTGCATCTTGCCTCTACTAGCGAGGTAGTTTCCCCGAGAGCCAGAAGCACAGAGCCAGCTGCTCTAACGGGGCTGTCGTCATCGGAGGAAAGGTTTCATGGTGTCGTGCTGGTAAGCTCTGCTCTTCATGGGACTCCCATGCAGTGGTTTCTGTGGTCAGTGAACTGCTGAAAGCCAGAAAGGGACAGTAGCTTGTGCTGGTCCTGCAGCACAAGGGGCGGTGGTGGAGGTTTGGGAGGAGTGGTCCAGGTCCAGCTTTGATGTACCTCGTGTGCAGCATGAGCAGTGCTTCGGCAGCCCAGAAGGGCACCCTCCAAACTCTGCTGACGTGCCCTGCTGAACTTCAGGTGCTGGAATACATTGGGGAGGTTTTCCTGTGTGGGCTGAGCTAATTTTCCTTGTAGTCAGGGACGAGGAGCTTGTATATAGTCAGGAACAGTAACTCTACAGTGCAGTAACTTGATGATTTCCACCATGTGTTCCTTTCTGTGGTCTCCTAGCCCAAGCCAGGCCACCATCCAACGTTGTGATCATCCAGCGAGCCAGGGAATTGTCAGGTAACCATGTGGCAGGCTTGACCAGACGGTATTTCCTCTTTAGGACAGAAGTCTGGTTTTGATCCACGTTGGAGTAACGTGTGTCACAAGAAGGTCGTAACCAGTGACTTAGGCTCATGGGAATCTGATACAGAAATGATAACGACCAGGCAGAGGTTTTCTGTTTCATGCTATTTGAGGTCATAGCTTCCAGTTGACTCTGATAAAATTTGTGTCTTCTGCTAAGATTTCTCTCTGTTAATTTAGAAATCCTGCCCTTTTCAACCCTCCCCAGAGTTAAAACTTTTGTGCTCAAAACCTCAGAAGCAGGCTTGAAGACTTCATTACGCTGTGCCTCTGCGGTGACCCCCACATATTTCCATCGAGACATTAGGATGGCCTTCCCATTTCCTCCTATTCTCAGTTTAACTTTTCCTGTTATGGGAATACCAAAAAAAAAGAAAAAAGAAGAAAAATGCAATTAGTCATATGTTAAAACAACCAGACTAAAGCCAGTAGGAAGAGAATCCTCTCGGTGATGCTTTATGGGGCTGCGGCCGGAGCTGTTGGGTATGTTGTCCACTCACACGTTTAACAGGCCTGCTCCGTGGCTCCCTCCTTACCACACATCCCTTTTTGCTGATAACTTTCTGTCCTCCAGGCTACTGACAGCTGTTGTCCACTCGCTGCTAATTAAGAAAGCAGCATGAGCGATGGCAATGTGGTCTGGAGAGATTGAGCCCCCCTGGCTGCAGCAAAGCGTTTCAGCCTGATTAAAAAGTCTGAGTGACAGCTGAGCGGCCTTTTTTTCCTCCCCTGTCTGTTGAGCTTCTCTGTAGATAGCCTGTTTGCTATCGAAACTCTCATGTCGGGCACCCTCTGTATCTCAGTGGTTTTTAGATCCTGTAACAATAAGCAATGTCAGAACAGATTTACTATTGAAAAAGGGGGCACGTGTGAAATTTAAGCAGCTATAAAGCCATGTATTTAACATGCAAAGTGTCGTGTACATCTGTGCTGTTACATAGAAATTCAAATGTAGGTCATTTTTTAAACGAAATGATGCTTACTTTGTTGAAAATGTAAAACTAGATAGAAAATCAAGATTATCATGAATGAACAGCACTTAAGTAGACGGATTGAGTGGATTTCAAAGATGCTCCCTGTTTGTTTAAGGATTTTCCCTGTCTGTTTTGTTTCCTTCTTTGGTTTCCTTGTTTTGTTTTCCCTTGTTTTTCATCGGGTCTCAATGGGTGATCTTTTGTGTACTGGTTGTGCTGTGATTTTCAAGATGCAGCAGGAGCATGGGCTTGAACTCTGGAATTCCCTTTCTGGGCTGTGCTTCTATGGAGATAAAATGGGAAGACTGACATTAAGATAATAAAAGATTGTTGTTTTAATAGACATTGAATTAAGGTGATGGTGGTTTGGTGGAAGCCGCTTCCTCCTGAACCAGTGATGCTCTCTGGAGCTGCTTACCCCCAGGAATATTGTGACTCTCTGTATTTCTGACTAGACCTGCAAAATTCAATCTGAAATCTTGTTTGCAGGAAGTGGGGTCTGTGTACCCCCTAGCACGCTCTGCAGGCACTGCCCTTTCCTCTCATATCTGGACTATAATTCCTTCCTGTTGTGATTTTTCTCATGCTTGGCTGTTACCTTTTATCTTGGAGATGATTGTTTCATGATACAGAACCACAGCACAAGCAGATCTTCTCTTTAAAAGCACGGTGTGTATAGGAGTAAAATGGTTATGTTACAAATCACTGCCAAACTCTGCTCCTTAGGTGTGTGCAAATCCTTTAACTAATGATGTCTGCCACAGTATGATTGAACAGCAGAAGCAAGTCTAGCGGGAGGAAGGTGTGCCTTTGACTCTACTTGCTCCTTGTCACCTTGCGTGCCCATCACTTTGCCTCGTGATCACCTTCTGGAGGAAATCCTGGAGCATTTGACTTCAGCTTTTCCAATAAAGAAGGGTTTTATGTGTGTTGAACAAGAGCTGCTCCACCAGTCAGCGCTGAAAATATTCAGCTGAATACTTTCAATACTAAAACAATAGGAAGTGCTGCAAAATGTGTTGTATTTATAACTAACCAAACCAGGCAGATTTTGGGGGATATGGGTGGTTCGGTGAAAGTGCTGTGATGTCCTTGGGAAGCTTTTTGTTTTCACTTGAAGAGAGCAGATGCTGATATGGTGCAAATAGAAGAGAAATCCTATCACCAGATCGGCCCCGAGTCCCCAAGCTGTAATCTGTAAATAAAGTGATTTATGGGTATTATAATGAAAATGGTGTTTTTTTCTCCAGACAAAATACTGTTTCCAGATAGCTCTCTCATTATTACACTCTGGTTTGGCTACTAATTTTATGAAATAAGCCTGGTAAATGTAAGGTTGGAAAACTAATGTTTCTTTATCCTCTGCCAGTAAGAATTTATGGAGACACCAAATCCCAATCCGTCTTGCTGTGGGAGCTAATTAAGACTATAAGGGAATGGTTTCTTGGTTCAAAATGTTGAAAACGACTGTAAGCATTCATTCTGTTACATCTGGAGAGCTTGTTACGGATGGCGAGATTGATTGTGCAGGCTCATTTGCTGTGAGCATCGGTTGTTTCTTTCCAGTAACCTGATTATTGCTTGGCCAGCTTTGCCAAACTGTTTACTACCTGCTGCTGGTGACTGGCAGTGCACGCTTCCAGCAGATTATAGGAATATTACGCTGCTTCGGGATCGTGGTTAGTCCTTTTGTCCTTTGTTGTCAGTCAGGGTGACATCGGGAATGGAGCTGCCATCCTCCAGGTAGGTCTCCCACCAACAGCGACATGTTTTTACATCTGTTCTGCATTAGCTCTTCGTGTGACTGATGGCAAGCGTCAGTTGCTCTGGCTACCCACAGCTTATCCTTTTATGCCATGAATTTATGGCCGCCTAAAATGAAAAACCACCACGCGGTCATTTCAGAGGCACAGAGGTGGCGGATTTGACATTAAAGGGGTGACAGAAACATTCTGCAAATTCCTGTGTAAATTCCTAGGTGCCTGTTTGGTGGCAGGTTAGGCTTAGTTCAGCCTGAAGTCCTAATGAAAGCCTAGAGCTCTGCTGCTAGCTCTGCAGTTGGTTTGCCTTCCACTGGGTGTGTGAATGGGCAAAGTATTTCAGTAGAGCTGGCGCTTCTTGGTTGGATGGTTTTGCAAATTTAGACATGGTTCTTAAGGGAGAGCAAATTTTCAGTGCAAAAATTTTGTGAACGGGCCACTGGGTGTTAGGGAGAGTGCCTGCAAGAAAGTCTCCTTGGAGGTTTGTCAGCTACTTTTGTTCAGCAGAGCTGGACTTTATCTTTTAATCTTTAAGAAACAGCTTCCCATATATGTGAGAATTATCCCAAATATTTCCTTTTATTGCCAATTTGGATCCTAATTAGCTTAATCCACTTTGCAAGTGTACAGTGTTTACAGGAAGTTGATTGGGAATATGACGCTTGTGTTCCCAACCTTCACCTTGATTTGAATCGACTTACCTGGGTGGAAAAGCCCTTTCATTTGGAAGTCTAAATTGTGAGGTTCTTGTGGCTTTGAGCATTATTACATTTTATCATGATAAATTACTGGTGTATTATGGTTTCAAGTGATCTCCCTTAAAGTATAGATTCTTCCAGCTGCCAGAAAAACAGCTCAGCTCTTCTCCTGCTTCATTCTCTGCCAGCGAATAGCAAATTATCCTCACTGTGCTTGAAGTATTGAAGTCAAGGAAGCATTTTCTATAGATTTTTAATTCTCTTTTATAAGTGATTGAAGCCCTGTTGAAAACATCTTCTTTGAGGGGCTTCTTTCAAGGTTTCCGTGTGAATGGGTTCAGCTTCACAATTTAATGTTGTGACTGCTATATACAGCGTTTTGTTTAGGTTTTTAAATAAAATAGCAATCAGGCAGTTTTGTTGAGAGCTTTTTGGATCTATGTCTTGTGTATAATACAATGCTCAGGATGGATGGGGAAATGCTCTGTGTTGTTCAGACTCACAGAGGCTGGAGGAGTCTTCTCTGGAGGAACTCGGGGCTCCTGATGTATTTTTATGAAGCAGGTCTTCCCAAGTCAACGTGCCTCTTTCAGATTTTTTTTGAGGCATTTTCGTGTTTTGCAATGCTGTGTAAGATACATCGCTGGTTTTCAGGTTAATGAAGAATGATGGCACATTGAGTGCTTTCAAAGACTTTCCTGAGTGCAGAGTTGCCAGAAACGGAGTGGGAAAGATACCTTCCATCTGTCATTCTTCTACAGGAATCGGCAGTTCAGAAGTGGATGCAGCTGAGCGTTACTTGCTGAGCATCAGAGCAAGGTTAATGAGTACACGGAGAGCGACAGGGGGACACTTATCTCCTAAATGGGGAGGGAGACAAGTTGATTTTGTAGGATAAGTCCTTAAATAGGGCAGAGAGGAAAGGTGAGTTTCCCCAAAATGTATACTAAAATAAACGAGGTCTGAGCTCAGATCTGAAATCTTGCTGTGAGACCGTGTAGGGCGTAGCAGGAGAGTGCTCCTTGCGGGGTGCAGGTGTTTGCTGAGGCCCCGTAGTCGCTGGTTGCAGTGTTTGGCTGCTTATACCCCTCTCCCACGGTACAGGACTACTGCCGAGCAGCACCCCATCTCCTCCTCTTCCTCCTTCTTCATTCCTCTTCATGTACACACTGTGAATTGTCAGATAAGAACAGAGAAAATGTCAAGGTCTGTGGGCTAGCACTGCCCGCCCCCCTTTTCCCTTATTGCAGTGTCCTAGAGAGATACTATCCCAGGCATAAGTACTTTTTAATTCATCTGATATTAGGTAGCCATTATAAAGCTATAATATTTAGCGAGGCTGCCACAAAGCTTAGTCCTAGATGCTTCATACACTGCAAAATGGAATTATTTAACGTGGATCCTACCAAGTCAGTTCTTGCAGCGTTACAGGTGGTGGTTGGCGTGTGGTTTACAGGGTTTCTTGTTGCCACGCTGCAGCGTGATTTTTGATACTTATTTTTTTTTTGGCTTGTTGGCTGGACCCAGTCGAAGGCTGCTGGTTTCTGACAGGGGAAGTACAGCTTCCCTTGGGACAGAGCTGCAGCTTGCGTGGGGTGGTCGTGCATTATCAGATGGTGAGGTTAAACGCAGAAGCTCTGGGAGGTATTTACCCCGGTAAGAACGGCACCAGGGATGTTTTTATAAACACGCCTTTGTGTCTTTTGGAGCCCAGCTGCCACGAAACGCTAAATCCGCTGCAGAAGTCAGTATGTCACTGAATGGGTTTGACACCGAAAGAGCATGAAGTTAATCAGGCTAAAGCTCTGACAAAGCACCAGGCTTACCCCGACGGAAAGGCAAACGCTCTCTGGACGCGCTGGAGCGTAGCCTGGCCTGACCCGGGGCTGCCAGACCCCGCGCACGTCCTGGGGCCTCGTGGGCTGAAGTTTCTCCTGGCAGACCGCTCCTCGCTTGCCAAATGGACCGAGTGAGCTCCCAAAATATTGCTTTTTGTGCCACCAGCTGAAATCAGTATCGATTCACCTTTCGGCTCTGGTCAGCAGGATCGCCAGACGATCGCCCGTTTGTTTTGCAGAGACGTAAATAGCTTTGGCAGTTGTGGTTTTGCTGCTTTGTCAAAACCAACATTAAATCTAAGTACCGTAGAAAGTTATTTCTTATTTACAGATTCCTAAAGTCTCCCTGCCGCATAATGTGGGCAGGGGGCTTTGAAACGTGCTTTTTCACTGGATCGTGGCCTTTGAACGCGTTCGCCCTGTGTCCCCACAACAGGTACGTCCTGCGGGCAGGAGCTCGCTTCTGAAACGTGATGCCCTGCTCTGCATGGGATGTGATAGCCGAGCTGGGAATTCAAGATTTATTCAGTGATAAATGAATTGTTTCAGCATGGAGTGTGAAGAGATGCTGAGATAAGGTTCAACTTTGTCTCTGATAAAATACGGGTCTTGTTTTAGCTCCCTTTACCTATCACCCTCCTTGCTGTATGTTAGCATTAAAGGCGTTTCTTCTCGAAATGCAAGCTGACTTCCTGTATCAGTAAACTGGAAGCTCATTAAAAATTAGAAACTGGTTCTTAGTAGGGCCCACTTTTGGTAATTTCCAGGAACTGCTTAAATACAGCCAGGGTGATTACAAGAAATAAGGTTGCACTGGAGCAAAGAGTTAAGCTCAGCTGTCCCCTTCTTAAGTGGGTTTTCAGACTCATCACCGCATTAGGCAACGTAATACTCGGAAATAGCTGGGAAATAGCTGCTTTTTCTTCAGCACTGAATTAACAAGTAAAATTCTAGCGAGTGTTTCCATGCTAGTGAGGCCTCAAGGCTTCAAAAGGCTTGATTGCGTTGTAGTCAGCATGTATTTCTTCAGATTCCTGCAGTGCTGCTGCTGGCACTTGTAGGGATCTGTAAGGGTTTGCCTCTGCACAAGCTCGTTGTTCTCTTATCTTTTTAAAAAAATATATTTTTCTTGTTTTAAAGTCTGGATTTGCTGAGAAGACTGAGGAGAGCTGCAGGTATTTGTAGCCTTCGCTTTGAAACCTGCTATCTGTGGGAGTGATGTGAGCAGGCAGTTTTAATTCAGGCAGGGGGAGGTAGGACGAAATGGAATTGCCACCAAGAATTGTTTACTGCTGAAGAACCTTTTAATGTTTATGTGCAGTGGTGTGAAAGATGGACACCTCGCTTAGACTGCTTAAGCTCCCTGATGTTTCCTGCCACCACGGCCTAGGTATGTGCTAATCCTGCAGCTGACAAAGACGAGGGTTAGTATTTCCTCTTCCTCCTGGGCTGCTCAGTTCAATTAACATCTCGGTTTCCCTTTGCTGGAGGCGCTGATGTTTCAAATTGTGCTTATAGAAGACTAAAATTTCCTACTGCCTGTAGGCAGGCAATAAAAGCCGTGGTTTGTTTGCAGATCCTATCAGGTGCAGAACCGAGGCTGTGGCCTGCAGCTCCTTAACCCTTTGTGGCAGCAGCACTGCAACGGTGCGAGGGCAGCTTCTGACCCCATTGCAGCCGAAATCTCACACCTGCAGCCCTGCTCTGTCGCTTTGCACACAGGCTTGCCTCTCTGTGTGGAGACGGAGAGCTGGCCCTTTGGGGCAGCAGCACGGAGCACTTCAAAGGCGAGGGATTTGCATAGCCCTCCTGCGATGCTTTTGTGGGGTAAGCAATATGAGGGAAGTTTACACTGGTCTCACAGCGCTGCTTCAGGAGGTGGTGCTGGCCCGGTTCCTGAAACTTCTCTGCCTTTCCCTCGCAGAAATGTGAGCCCCCAGCGTGGTGCGGCGGAGTTGTGCAGACTTGTTTAATCTCCCAGAACCCAATATCTGCGTTTCAGCATCTGAGCCCCGGGGACACGGCGCCAGTCAGGACAGGGAGAAATGAGGAGTTAGCTCATCTCCTAGCGTTCATGGAAAAGAGCTTACATCACATTCTCACCTGGACTGCTGCCCTTGATCTATGGCACTCGCTAAAGAAGGAAATAAAATCGAGCGTGTTTAAGCACATATTTTCCATGTTTTGATCTTACTTCTTGAGCGCAGCCCAGAGGAGCGTGGGGAGTGCCTTTTGGGCAGTGGATAAGGTTACTCCCCAGCCTACTAGAAAACAAGGGCTAGCTTTGCAGTTCAGACTGAATGTGTAAAGAGTGTGTAATCAGAGGTCAAAAATAAAATGTCTATAATTAGCAGTGTCCAAAGCAACTGGAAATTGTGTCAGGCAGATCCGAGCCAGCTTTTCTTTTCCATCGCCTAATGAATGGGAGCTGAGGTTTCTCTCCAAGGATGAAAGAAGGCTGAGTAGTTTCCCATTCAAAACTGGTGCTGTGGGACCGATGCGAACTCAGGGCTCATTTACTACCTTGTTTTTCAGCTTTTGAACCTGCGGGCAGGTTGTGAGCAATTAGGCTTTTCCCTAAAGCATCTAAAATACCACGGTGGTGCTCGCTGTCCTGGAGAGCGCGGGTGACGACATTTTGTCACCTTGGAGATGGATAAACAGCTCCAGCAACACGGCCTTACAGCTTTTCAGGTCTGAGTTTCAAAGCTAGCAGCCGACCGGCTGTAACACAAGTCTAGCGAAGATTTTTTTCAATGTGGGGAAGAGTCTTAAATGTAAAACAAGAAGAGGGGAGGCAGAGTTGAAGCTGGGATGGGTTGCAGGGCTTTTTGCTGGGCCGTGGCAGCAGCTGAATGGAAGGATGTAGCTGTGGCTCACACGCTCCCTGCAGCATGGAGTGACTCAGGTACTGCACACATACTTGAGCCTGCAGGGCTTTATTTTTAGCTGGCTGAATCACTGTCATGACTACAGCCTCATAAAGCCGTGAGACGAGTGGGGATGCCCACGGCCCCCATATTAAGGCATGTTTGGTGAACACAGACTCCCTTGCAACCGTTGTGATTTCTGCCTTCAGAGCTGCTTGCTGAAGTAATGCAGAATCTATGCCCTCTAGCTGGATTCTCTTTTTTTTTTTTTTTTTTTTTTTTTTTTCCCAATTTAAATATTTAGCTAGCAGCCTCAGTGGTTTTTCTGCGCAGACCATGGTGAGTGTGGACCCCAGCGGTCCTGTTGATGTTGGAGGCCGCTCGACTCTGGTGTTGTTTCAGTGTTGCTGGCACAGGGGAGCCACGAGTCGTGTTACCAGTGCTGTAATCCCATTAGCTCTCTCGGGCTCGCAGGGCTGTGCAAAATCAGTACTTAAATGGGAAATTACCAGCGACTCGCCAGATGCCGCACAAAGGTTTGCTAGTGATTCGGTAACCGGCAGCGTTTCTGCTTGCGAGCTGATAGGGAACCCGTCTGCTGCAGCGACTCTTTCAGATAAAGCAGAGCAGAAGCCCCGGCTGCTGCTTATCAATGCATTACAGCATCTTTCAGAAAGAAGTCTCGAAGCTTTGGCGTGCTGGAGGAAACTGAACTAGAGCAGCAAAGTTCCGTTCCCATAAATTCCTTCCTTGTTCAATTCATTGTCGCTTTGTCCTTTTTTTTCCTTTTCTTTTTTCCTGCAAACCAGTCGGGTAGCTGCAACGTTTTCAGCAGCTGAAGGATTCCTGGTTTGTGCATCCGCGTGCAAGGTGATTCCTCTGTTCTGAAATATTTCAGGCTAAAAGAGCTAAAAGAGGACGAGGAGGTAACCCCACGAGCTGCTCCAAACTCGCTGCTCGGTGTCTTGCACCCTCTCTTCCTTACTTGAAGATTTGCCTCCAAACATGCAGCTGGAAGGAAGAAGAGCCGTACCACTAGCACACCATAAAATTCCTGTCGTTGACTGATCCAATCCTTTCTGCTGCAGTCGGGAAACGTGGCTGAATTGATAAGCTGCCCTGCGAGCCTCCCAATTCCCTTGCAAACACTGCGAGCTCTTTCCACATGAGGTTGCTGCAGCTGGAGATGTCTCATTCATGGTTGCTTAGAAAGAAAAAAAAAATCAAAATAAAAATGTGCTCTCTGACAAATAAAAATGTTTTGCTTCCTCTGGAGGCCCCAGAGGGCGGCATAAAAAATAATGAAGGCTGTGAGTCACTGAGCAAAGCCTGGCCAGCTGAGAGGGAACTGAGCCTCCCTTTTCCATAGAAGTTTGTGTGCTGTCATTGCACATCATTAATGCTCGCTGGTTTATGCTCATTCACTGTAATGTTGCCAAAAAAGAAAAAAGGGCAGTCGGTCTTTCCGCTTCCAAACACTGGCTGCTTCGAAGGTGACGTGATGTTAAAGGAAAAGTTTCTCCAGCACTCGAGAGCCATTGTTTGATTCTCAGGCTGCCCCTCCTCTGCCGTTTTCCTCCAAAACCTGGCCGCTCTCCTAGCAAACAAATTCCCTGGAGGGGGCCTTGGAGCAGCTCATGGCCAGCTCCACCTAGGGTACAAAGGTTAGGGTGGGCACGCTTCCTGATTGACACGGGACCCTCCCTTTTTTTTTTTCTTTCTGAATCCATTACCAGGTCTTTTTTTTTGTCTCCAGATAAATTCTCTAACAGAATATTGAAATTCTCTTCTGTCTTCTCTGTGTTCAGGATCTCAGCTCATCCTTTTGAGGGCACGCAGCATTACGCAAGTGCTGCGTATCAGCATCTTTAGGCTTCTAACCCATCCCTAGGACTTCTGAGAAAGGGGGCGTGAAATGAGGCAGAAAGCTGCTGATGGAGAACTGAGCTGTGCGGGGCAGGTGCGAAAGCCAAGAGCGTGCTTGGGGTTCCCCTCCTTTTCTGCTCCTTTCACCCTTGGAGGCCTCGTGCTTCCTCTCCGTCATTGTACACACACGGTGACAGGCTGGGACTTCTTGCCTCAAGAAAGACAGATGCCCAGCAGCGAAAGGACTGGAAGAGGGCCCCTGCCGTAGCCCTGCCTTGTCCCCAGCACGCCGATGAGCTTCGGGTCCATCCTTCTGCCAGTTCCTCTGCGGAGGGGCTCAGCTGCTGGAGGATGCTCGAGGAGTTTCTGGTTAGAGCAACATTTCTGCACAGCTCAGAGGCTTCGGGTTTCCTTTATTTGTTCTTATTTTAGTGTTTGTGTTACTGGAGAGCTTTCAGTTAGGGCAAAGGCCCCACAGCTCTGTGTACTTACAAGTGCCCATTAGATAAGCCCTTTGCTTAGAGCGAAGGTGGAAGGAAGGTGGCTGGGAAATTCAGTGATACTCATCTAAGATCTTTACAGATCCATGCTTTGCAGTATATTTTGCATTTACGGTCAGTAACTCCTATCTGTGTGTTGTGAACTGGTTGTCCTCTCATTTTCCTGGCAGCAGAATTGGGTCTGGAGGGGCAGGAACCCGTTCCCATCGCTGCTGCCTCATTCGGTAGCACCGCAGCACCAAGTGGGCAGGCTCAGCAGTAAGGTCATTTTCAACTCTCTCATTATTTTTCCCTTTTGCTTCTGAACCCTTTAAGTCCCTGTCAGCGAGGGTTTAGTTGAAGCCTTGCAACTTGCCTTTTGTCTTCCACAAATGATCGAGCTGTGCCCAGGGGAACAAATGCCATTTTAATGGGCATTGTTGTGTAATTCATTACGTAAGTCACCTCTGTGTTCAAAGGACTCGTGGCACAAATGGCAGGAGCGCTTGATTAAAAATGTGCACAATAGCTTCGTTACGACACTGGGAGAGATGTTCTCTGTTATTTTTAATCTGATAGCTTTTAAATATGTGCATCCAGCAGAGACCCAAATGGCCTTTTAAAAGGGAACCATTTGTGGGATAAGATTTTAGACTACTTCGTTCTTTCCAACGAGCCTGGAGAATCAGTGCAAGCTGGGAAATGAACTTTAACCCTTTTTTAAGGTTGTGTGTCCTCTAAAGCCTCATGATTTCTGTATGTGAGCACATAAGAGAGAGAGATGGTGAAGGGTTTTGTTTTTCAGGTGAGGGATAGCAATGATCTTGTATTCTGTAGTTTAAGAAAAACGCTGCATTTTCTGTGTATTCAATACAATGCCAACACCACCCAAGTTGAGCTGTTAAATGGCACATCCATGCAGGTGCAGCCTGCCTGTCATCGAGCAGTGCCGTAGTAACACAAACCTTACCGAGAAGCCCAGAGGCAGACGAGGGGCTTCGCTCGTCCACCTCTGCAAGCTCCCATCAGATAGGGGCAGCGCTCGCAGCTCGGGCAGGAGGTGGCCGGGAAAGTCTGCAGTGCCTGAGCTCTGCACGGCGCTGAACTTTCACTTTGACTTCAAAGTAAGTAATACGCTGCCAGGCCAGGCTGGTGGAATTCACCATGAGTGTTTTTGTCTTCATTTTGGTGTTCTTTCAAACCCAAGTGGGAAACAACCACTTTGCCATGGCCACGGTGGTGTAGCCGTTGGGCTTTGACCTGCCAGCCTTCCCCTAAGCACTCCGGTTTCTTCACACGTAAGCTGGTTCATCCACCTTCCCTCGTGCCCCTTAACCACCTACCGCTTGAAATCTCTGGTTATTCATCCTCAGGCCAAGCTCTCAGCAAACCAACAGGGCAGCACGGCTGCATTGTGGCAGATGGAGCTGCACGTCCCTGCCTTCCCTTGGTGGGAAGGCCACGTCGAGCCGAGGCATGGAGCAAGGCTTCTCGTGTCTGATGTGTGCGCCCACCTCGGGGACACGAGCTTTGAGCCCAGTGAGGCCGTGACTCAACAGCTGGAGCGCGTTCAAACCCAGCAGAGCAAGAGCCTCATTAACAGGGAGATGGAATTAGCCGTGAAATGGGTGACGTATGAAAACTCCCGGTCAGAAATAAGACACTCAAATCCGTAGTAAAGTGATTTTGAAGGGATTTTTATTCTCCAGTGGTGTGTGGCAGCAAAGCGTCCAGACATGACGTACGAGGGGATGAGAAGTCAGCGGTTGCTTTGAGACGGAAAGGCTTTGATACAGCATTTTCTTTTTTTTCCCCCATTCCAGTTGAAATCACCACATCCAGCTTATTACCCTGTCTCTTCCTATTCATCTTACCAATGTTTGGACTTTTCATAGAAGTACAGGTACCCTACTTCTGCAGCCCAGAAAGGAGAAAGAGGAGCTCAGAAGGTGGTGCTGGAATTCAGTGAAACGCTGCTGGGTATCCATCAACAGGAGAAGGGAGTAGTACAACAGTGATTTCTGATGGGCAGGCTGCCGAGCTCAGGAGCAACCTCAGGGCTGCATTAGGAGCCTGCTTCTTGCAGGCTGGCAGGAAGGTGCAGAGGGACAGGACAAGCATTTTGAGCACTGCTATAGCTCTGGTTTCTTCTTCTCTGTGTACGTTATCACGTTATTGGATCAGTGAAGGCAGGCTGTGCTGCTCGAACATTTCACTGGGCAGACGTAGGACATGTTACATACTTAAATGGGACGTGGTGCACAGAAAGTGAGCTTCTCAGAGCAAACCAGTGCAATGGTAACCAATCTAAGAAGTCTTGCACAGCTGTGCTTTTTGCTTTTTTCATCTGTAAAAGCTTTGGTCACTTTCACCTTTAATCTAGAATTCATTCTTATTTCAGTGCGACTTCTCTTTTATACCACTTCATCCAATTTCATTAAAATGCAAATTCTGTTCATAGTGCTTGAATGATGTATCTGCTTGAAAGCCTTAAAGCCCATCACGCTGAATGTCTGTTGGCATTCAGTGAATATCATCACAGGAGCTCCGCAGCTTGGCTCATGAATATCGGAAGAGGGACCAGGGACTGCGGCGTGATTTTGATGTTTGGAAATGGAGAGATTCTGCGCCAGAGTCACTGACTCACTCTGTGCTCTGTTTAGACAAGTTGCTTCACCTTTGCGCCTGCTTCCCATCTGCAGAATAAGGTTAAGACCCAACTGTTTGAGGGTGAAATAGATACGTTTGCAATGTGCTTGGAACACGGAGAGCGCTATTTTAAGTGCTATGTGCAATTGAGTGTAAGAGCATATTGGTTGTGACTCATTTGTTTAACTACAAGTGCATCAGAAACTTATGAGCAGATGAGATCTGGAAAATGCCTATTGTAGATGGAAAGACGGTAGTAAAAAGCTGTGTGAACGTGTGATTGTTGAAGCAGGTCTTCATAGGGCTGTTCACACAATAACCTTTATTATTTCACAAACGTCAGCTGTTTTACTTCATTAGGACTATTTTAGGAAGTTCCCATTCTGCTCCAGCCACTTGTTCCTGTCCTTGCTCTGTAGATCTGTGTCCCCTCGGAGCACAGCCATGCAAATGATTCAGCACTGGATGTGGCAGAAAAGTAAAGAGGGCTAAGGGCAGTGGTCAGGCTGCTGTCAGCAGAAGAGAAACTTTCTTCACTGACAAGACGTTGCCTTTTTGAGGTGCCTCACCACGCACTCTTACTGCTTCAACTGCTCGTGTGCTGCCAAAGTTGGGGAGAGGTGTCTGGTGGGAAAGAGAAATGGAAATTGCAGCCTTCTGAAATCTTCCTCCCTTCCTAATTTCTTGTCTCCCCAAGGCTAAATCATCACCGTAAGCAACCGAGGGTTTTGTAGGTACTGAGCATTGTCTTACTCAGACAGTTTGGAGCTCTCTGCTGTCCGTGGAGGAGCCAGACACAATTTGTTGTCTTTTCCCTGTAGATTAATTATTGTAATTGCCAGTTCTTTTAAAAATAAAGTCTGAGCCATGACTTCTTTTGGCAAGCACGCATATCTGCACGTGTATAGCAATTCTCACACGACGTACCAAATAAATCCTTTTTTTTTTGTGGAGCACGAGAGCATTATCGCAGCAGCCAGGGGCTGTTTTCAGTGGTGACCTTCAACACTGTGGAGCCAGAGAGGTTTTAAAGGTTTGGAGATCCCCTTGAGGATGTAAAGCAATGACGTAAATCGTTGCTAAGTTAGGGTGCCAGCTGCTGCCCGTGATTCTTCAGAGGCCAATTGATACGTCTGGGTTTATCTGCAGTGACCAAGGTTTTTAGTGCCTCCCTCCCTGGTGCATTAAATGGGACTTTATGGTACAAAGAAAATTTGGAGAACCCTGTAAACGGAGAGCAGGTCTGCAGCCAGGCTGGGTTATAAATGGTGCTGATGCAGCTTTCCATTAATAGCACGGCTGAAAAAGTTTGATGCAGAGGAGCCGACTAGCTGGAGTTTTGGCTGCAGTGAAGGTGTTAATAGTAGGGTCTTAACACCCTATCGGGAAAACACGTTTAAAGGGAGACAAGCGCAGGTTCCTTCTTTCAAGCTGTGGTTAGGTAAATTCTGAGTATTAGGAGTGGTGCTCGCGCTGGTGTGGTATTTAGCTGCTGGGTGCTAGGTTTGACTCAGCAGCCTTCTCTGCTTGCAGGCTGCATGCTAACGAGGTGGTGCAGTGCTGCGTCCAGCGGCTCTGCTGCTTTGACTCAGTACGGGCAGCACAGTCAATTCCCAAATAATGCAAAAGAAAAATGAAACGTGCAGCAAAACTGCTTACTTTTCTCGATAATGTAGTTAAAGATAAGTTCAGTTCTGTTGAATTATCTGGGTCACTAGAGAGCAATTTAAACCTTCATTTATTAAAGTGCTGTTTGCTTAAAATACATTTGCAATTGCTCTGTACAAGGCAGCATGGTTTTATTTAGCTTGCTGGCTGAACAGATAAAAATACATTGCAACAGTAAGCCTGCATGTGGCATGACTGCGAACCTTTGAGACTTCTGCTTTCAGATGATCAGAAACCCTTGAAAATTCGATTTACAGAAGCTTTGAGCAGTTCTGTAATTAAGCTTCTTCGGGGATGCACCAGTGCCAAAGTGCTTCCTTCTGTTCTTGTGGTTTGTGCTGGTACTTCTGGTGCGAAATCCACCGTGAGTGACAGGGGCTGGTGTTTTTGCTCAGATATTTCATCGAGCCCCAACCAAACAGTGCTACCAAGCGGGTGGAGCTAGGGACCAGCAGCCTGGGAAGGGTGTGAGGTCGGACGGTGCTTTCCTTTCCTGAAGCTGCCTGTGTGGCCGGGGTGGTTCCTGACCCCGCGAGCAGGAGCTCAGGCAGCCCAGGTTCTTCCCCTGCTGTGTCAACAAGCCACTTCATCCCCTTGACTTAGCATCCTCATCTGCAAAAGGACAGTGATTACCTCCTTTGTGAAGTACTCTGGGACCTGCTGGAGATAAGTGCTTTTCAGAGAGGAGTTTTTCCTTCTCTCTCCAAGGCGCAGAGCAATAGCAAGCCTGCTGTTCCTGCCTTGGCACTTCAGCCTTGCTGCCTCCGAGGGGAAGCAGGAAATGGTGGTGATATTGTGGTTGGAAACATAATAAAGAGCCACAATTATTTTTTTTTTATCCTGTTCCACTCAATAAATTTACATGGTTGCAATGTTTTTCGTAGGCTGGTTTCCCAGATAATGCTGTAGCACAATTTCCCTGTTTTCAGCAACTTCACCCTAATCCAGTAACGCATTTCTGTGTCTTTCTAGATTCTGAGCGTTCCCATCTCTCCTCGTTCACTATGAAGTTGAAGGGCAAGTTTCATTCACCAAAGATAAAGAGGACCCCTTCAAAGAAAGGAAAGCAAGCTGACCTGACAGTGAAAACACCAGAGAAGTCAGCGAACAAAGTAAGCAGATGAAGGACATGTTCTGTTAGTCTTGCTGGTTTCTTGCTTGCTGGTACTCAATTTATCAAAATCTGCAGCCCTGCATTCAGCGTGTGACTGTCCCATGCAGAATTCTGCATATGTGTCAGGGAACTTCAGGATTACTTTACAGTTAGTTACAAACTATGCAATAAGAGATGTATTTTCCTTTTTTGAGATGCTGACGAGACCTCCTTCCATCATTATTGAAACATCTCCTTATGGAATGCAGCTTAATGCCTGACATCCTCCCAGCATGCACACCCTATGATTATTCTTACAGCTTCCAAATGACTGCCTGGTTTTGGGGCGTGATCCTTTAAAAAACCCCAAACCTAGGTGAGCAAATCCTTGAAGCTCGTCCAGAGACGTGCGCAATCTCTGATGACGTTAGCAGGGAGAGTCAACCAGGCGCATTGAAGGAGCAGCTGATTCCAGCACGCTGGTCCTCACGTCCAACATACTTCACGCCCTGTAGGAGCTGAGGGCTGAGCACTCCTTCCCAGCACAAACCTATCAGCGTTATCTCCTCTGCCATTGTGACCTGATTGCGTAGACTGGAGGCTCTCTCCGTAACAGTACTGTTGCAGTCAGTCTTCAAGCATAAATCTAAGCCAAAAGTTAAGAACAGCTGAGGTTATTTATGATAATTCAGGATCTTTCCCAGTTGTTGTTGAAAGCCTCATCCAATGTGCAGCACCAGACGTGCAAACTTTTCTAGTTTATCTCTGCTGAGGATTGTTGTAGTGCTGTTGCGAGCAGTCAGCGAGATACAGTTATCTTACACTGTGCGATGTGCTTAACACCCAGCGGAATGGCTGCAGGGCTTCCCAGCCCTATTCTGCGCCATCCTAGGGGAGATGATGAGGCTTTGATTTTCCACGCTGTAGTTTGTCCCCCAGGAGGCAACAGATATGCTTTCCAGGGAGCCGAGCACCTTGCTTTGCCCCACTGAACTCCTGCCAAGAAACATAAAAAAAATCTGAGTTCTGTTTGAAGGCTTTTAAGTCCAACAATATTTCAGGACAGTATGTTGAGATCAGTTCAGAGGCGTACCGTGTAGAACATATTTCTGTTCTGCCAACGTGTTGTATGGTTTATACTGGGAAGTTTTCTCCCAGTGTTCTTTTTATTGATTGATTCACTGAAATGCATGTAGAGGATGCATTGTGTTTTTCCTCTAAATTGATGTGTGATCAAAAATGAAATAAATTTGAATTAAATGCTGTTTTCAAAATGCGATTCTATAGCAAATATGTAGTGGCATGTTAATTAAAAGCAAAGCTTTTGCTTTTCTTTCTTTCCTATAATAAACAGTGTAAGATGGATGACTAATAAAGCATGCTGAATATGTAAAACCTTTTTTTAATGTACAGAATGGGATTTTTTTATTGGAAAATAAAACACTTGAAATAATGTTTATTATTGCAGACAATTATTTAAGCTATGTACACTTTGCACTGTGAAATATTGTTGATTCCTGGCTTATTACATATCTATTTTAATAGCCACTGTCCAGCTAATCAGTTAGCTGGAAACAGTCAGCTCATTAGCTTTGTATGGAGGGAGTAGGGAAGAGGATATGCCTGGATTGTCACCAGGGTCTCTCACTTGTGTACAAAGATTGGTTGATAAATAGGAGATTTTGTGTCAGAAGACACTCTTGGTACGCTAAATAATCATCCTTTCCTCCCTCTCGAGTGCTAGGTGCTATTTTTATACTCCTGAAGTAGCTAATCACTCTAGAAATAGCAATACTAAAAATTAATGTAAAATCACTACAGTGTAACCTTGAAGGTTATGCTCAGCGCACGCACACCTCTTCTCCTCTTCCCCTTTGTACCTCTACGTGGGGAAAATAAAGGGATTTTTTTCCAGACCCTCCTTTTTTGGGCCATGTCTTTGATTCTTATCAGAGGGCATACTGGAGGAACAGTAGTGTCCTTCAACACTACATACAAAGTTATAATAGGATTTTCACTGCCAAACTGCAGGGAAAAAAATGGACTTTTCCTGCTTTTATAAGCAGTTGCATTCCATACGGCTCACTGTAACCCTTCTGTATCTCATCCCCGATGCATTTGTAATGTTTGTTCTTAAGGGAAACCTTTCAAATCAGGCAGAAATACCTAACCATGTCAGACAGGCAGGGAAGTGGGGAGGAGATGCTGCTTTGCCTGAACATTACATTTATCTCATTTAATTCCCCAAAGGCTCATTGCTGAATCCCACATGGCTCCCACAGTTACAGAGCTGCTCTGTCGTGGCGATAAGTTAGCTACTGAGGCAAGTTCATCGCTGCTGGGGAATTAAACAAGAGATCATCCCGGGTTTTCTCACCGACCCAGAAGGATTCCATCCCACGTTTACTTTGGCTTTAGGGGCACACTGCAATGTTTGGTGGAAGATCTTGATATCATTACCCTTGTGAGATACTCCCATCCCGCTGGATTACTGTTCCCGTTTCTAGGGTTATTGCTGTTATTCTCAGGCCTTGGTGAGCCTGAACAGCGCTGAACACCAGAAACTTCAGCCTCAAAGATAAATACACGTTGATTTTGCTGAGCTCTGTAACAGAAGCTGCAGTTCTGAGTGGGGTATGCCGGCTTTTTGTATGATTCTGTGTGTGTGTATTCACACATACCTATGAGGCCTTTGGACCTCAGAAGGGGATTCATAAAAAGCACTCCTCTAGGCTTGCTAGCAAAAAAGCTAGCAGGAAAGTCATGAAAAATGGGCTGTCCCCCGAGCAGTGTCCGGTGGCTGGAGTTGCAGCCTTGATGCGCTCAGCAGAAAGCTTTGTGTTTCCACTTGTCGTTCGCAGCCCTGAGCTATCAAGAGCCAGGCCCATCCCTGCTATGCTCTAGGAGAGTGTTTAAGCTATTAAGTCGCAAGCCTTTCTGCAGGAAACAGTTGTTGAATGAATGCATAAACATTAATCAGAGCAGGAACTGCAATCCCCATTTTTTCACTTCTGGTTGAGAGCTCTGACCACTGGCCCACAGGCATGCAGCTCATGGACTGTACAGGCTCTCCCATCCCTCAAGTCTGCAGTCATTTCACACGGAGTGCCTCTCCATATCCTGGAATGGGCTGTGCAGTGGTGAGGGCACACACCTGAAGAATGGGAGATGGGATTTTTGACATCAGCAGCTTGCCAGGATGCTCCTCAGCAGTGGAGTTCAGGCGACTTGGAGCAGGGATTGAGGTGCCTGGTGAGCATCATCATCAGAAGCTGAGGCATCAGCAGAGTTTGGGCACTTCCCGGAAGAGATGGAACATGACAGAGTGGCTTGCAGGTCTTGGATTTGGACTTGGGCTTCTAAAATCAGAGCTAGATGGGACTTACGATTAATTCTTTTATGGAACTGGCCCCAAATTACTGACCAATGCTGCCTATAAATTGTTCTTCCTTAAACCTTTCAGGCTGCTGGCCGGATTTTGGAGAAAAGCAGCATTTTAACAGCTGACAAGAGTATGGGGAGCACACAATGCCCATAAGTCATTAATTCTTGAGGCTGAATTTACTGAAGAGATAATGGATGAAACCTGACTCTGCTAAGCTCTCGGCTCCTTTCCTAGCCGTGTTCAGTAGTTAATTTAAATCTCACTTAGGAACTACTTGTGGCACTAGAAGTCCTCCAGGCATACTCTGTTAAACTTTTAAAATATATATCCCTGTCCAGATTGCCATTAGGATATCATATATCATTTATGAATTTCTTTTTTTAGTGTTGGCAATGGCACGGAGGTTGGTGACCACAGCTCAGCTTTATTCCAATGAATTTTTCTCTTCTTTAGCATTCCCTCACCGATGCCAAAACTTGGCTTTCACAGTCTGTCCTGTGGAAAGTGTGCGAGTTCCCTTGTTACAGCAGCAGCACAAAATGAATTAGACTGGAGATTGGAAAGGAGATTTTTATTTGGAAATGGAGAGACAAGACTGTAGCCTTGTTTCAAACAAGTAGGCAGATAGCGATCAGCTGAACTACTCAGGATGATAAAGGTGAACACCATACGTGTCACTGTCAGGGTTGGAGGCATCTTGTCGGGATTGTTTTGGAGTCTGAGATTTGTATGGGTTCTTTTCAGAAGGACAGCTTTATTAAAACAGGTAGTCATTGCCTCTTGTCTTACATTATCATTACTTATCTGCACTTAGTATATTTTTTCCTTTCACTCTCCCAGTTTGGTGCGTTGGTTTCAAAGTAATGCCCTAGAAGTCATCAGTAGTGTGAATCTTAGCCAAAAACTGATCTCGATTAGCCTTCAATCTGGAACGTGCATCTTGTAATTCAGAAAGTCAAAATGTTGGTTCAATTTTGCACTGACTATTTTCTTGAAAGTGTAAGAATTAAATTTGAAGTGTTTGTGGTGGAAGGGGTTTTCTCCAGTCTTCTGAAGCAGAGTATTTCTCTTGAGTTTTCTCTGGTAAGTTAAAGTAACTTTGCCCTTCAAAATGCTGAGGTTTTAATATTTCTCTGCCTTTCTTCTCTAGAACGTATCATGGCTAGAGGAAAAGGAGAAGGAGGTTGTCAGTGCATTGCGCTACTTTAAGACTATTGTGGACAAAATGGCAATTGATAAGAAAGTTTTAGAGATGCTGCCAGGTTCAGCAAGCAAAGTGCTGGAAGCCATCCTACCCTTGGTGCAGACTGATCCACGCATCCAACAAAGGTAAGTTCCCTTCTTTGGTTTTGGAAATATGACAGATCTGCAAGCTTCTTTGTTTCTTAAGTCTGAAGAATTATATCACACAGGAGACAGAAAAAATGCTGTAGTAGCTAATAAATTGACTACCATTTTTATTAATAATGCAGTAGTTTTCAAACACAATTTAAAAGCAAACTCCCTGCTGTGAAGAAGCCCATGCTATGGAAAGGTAAAACAAGTTAGAATGGATTCAGAGAGGAGGAAAGACTGATTCTTAGCATGAATGTAGAAATTCATCATTTACTAGCTATCTTATTCTCCTCTAAATTCTGTACGGTTTCTGAAGTCCATGGTAGTATGCTAAAAGCTAGCAAAGTCCAATAGCTTCTACCTGAAAAACAGCTTATCTTCAGGGTAATCCCTTTCTGAGTTCAGTTTATCCGTCCCGATATTAGAGAAGTCAGCCTGTACTGTTTGCTGCTTTGGTTTTGAATTTACTGGACCAGATACAGAACAGAAGTAAACAGATGTACTTCAGCAGATTAGCCAGTTCAAGTTCATTCCTGTGTGCTCTCAACAGATTATTTATAGGTTTGCTCTGATGCCTACTGTATTATGTTTTAACCAGTTAGGCCATGAGTTTGAAGCCAGAAAAGATGTAGAAATTTGCCAAAACAAAGCTCAGCGTGCATTATAAGAATCTGTGGAGTCATCAAGCCACGGAGATACAGCTGCTGTTCATAGATGCTGGAGCAATTGATTTAAACAAAGCAAGCAAACATTGCTGAATAATAAAGAATGAGCAGAACTAGCACACGCACACAAAAGCACAAAATTAAGCAAGAAATGCACAGATTTTTGGTTTCTGAATCCTGCCAGTTTTTGCGCTGTTCCCGTTTGTTTTCCCAGTAAGCATCTCCAAATTTCTTGTTCGAGATGTTTATTTCAGTTCTGATGCAGGAAAGGTTTATGGTATGGTCAAGACCACACCATAAAGTATGTAGGGTGCTGATAAAAAGCTGTAGGGTGTTGATATTTCATAAACAGATGCTTAGTGCTTTTTGGTCCTAATGCAGAGGGCCTGGTTTTCTGTGACAGTACAAATGGAAGGACACAATGGGCGACTAAGAGCTGTGGCTAGGACAGGAGACGTGCCATTTAGGTTAGGTTTGTAGAAGTACAAAGAGCAATAGCTGTTAGAATTGGAGCATTCACCAGGCTTCTGGGTTCAGACAGAAGTTTCTTCCCTTGCTATCAGGTTTCCCGCAGTCATTAAATTTCTGACAAGCACCTGCTTTCACTTAATAAAAGAAAGAACAAACTTTCCCCTTACATCAGGAGAACATGTAAAATGTCAGCAAATATTTTTAGGATAGATAGAAAATGTCATCTTTGTAGTCACTCGCTTTGATTTGTGTATCTACTGGGTGTTTGCTGGGCGATCTTTTCTTCCAATAATATATTTGGAAATAAATACCAACTACATGGTCTTTAGCAGCAGCAATATTTCAGATGGTTCTATTCTTCAAATCCCTTACAACCTCTCTCTTAGTAGTGTAGCCTCGACAATTGGATATCCTCAGTTAGCCCATGAGCAGAACTTTTGTAGCTAGTTGTCAGTGGAGCAGTCTGTACGCTCTGTACATGGCATGCATTACAGCACGGATCCTGTGTGTATGTTCTGCCTTGTTTGACTTCACAGCTTAAAAGGGGATTTGACATTCTCAAAAAGCCATGTCCTTTCATGCCTACCTGTACACTTTATTTTGAGTCGTGGCAGGACATAAAGGGGTGGTTTTCGATGGTAAATCCCCCTCAAGAAAAGCAAGCAAGGCTTGTGTCAGTGTGGAAGAAAGCCCTACAATTACTGTTGGACTTCTTTTTGCTTGAGGGGAAGCATTTGCATCAAGGAAAAAAGTAATTAAATCTAGCACAGAATGGGCTTTCAATTACTGCCTCTTTAGGAGGAAGCAGGCTGAAGATTAATGGCAAAGAAATCAAAGCCATAGAAAGAGATGGGGGAGGGCCCTATTTGGGAAATATCTCCTACGAAGATAATTCCGTTTAAAATTAGAACAACTGGCAAGCACCATGCTTTTAAAACAAACAAACAGAAAAGCACTTGCCATTGTTTGTATCCCTCTGGTTGTAACTTGACAATAGTTTTATCCCTGGTTCTGCAAACCTGGTTCACCTCAATAATCTCATTGAAGTTTGTGGGCTTGATTCTCTTCTCACAGATAATGAAATTACTGGAGTTAAGCCAGTGTAAAATGGATACCAGACAGAAACGGGAAGGTTCAGAACACTCTTATCAGTAATGATGGCAAGATTGCACCTTCTCTTATCTCTTTATGGTTTTGATGCAGTTTGAAATTGATTTAACTTTACAAAGAATTGTTGAAGCATTGCCATCAGCAGTCCTGTTAGCACACCTTGTTTAGCAATGAAGTAAGTGTTTTCAGGATAGCCAGGAAAATGCCTGCAAGCACTGTTGTTACAGTTAACTTTTATTTGGAGTTGTCATCCTTCCAAAATTCTTTTTTTTTTTTTCCTTCAGAACAATAGCTTCAGTTCTGTTTCTCATTAAAAGCAAAACAAAGCAACACCCTTCCTCTTCCAGACCTGAAATTCATTCAGTTCAATTTCTGTTAAGAAGCAAGTTTTAATTACATGTTTTCAGGCGTTATAAACAGTGAGAAAATGATTTGTAAAAGAATGAATAGTCATCTCTCAATTATCTAAGACATTTTTGGGAGAGTTAATAAGGAGGAAGAAAAGCATAGTTAATGCTGAAATAATATCAATTAGACTTAACTACAGGATACAGTAGTTACCTTTGAAGTTAAGGCATAGGATGGAGGTGTAAATTAAAAGGGGAAGAGCATTTTTCTGAGCATTGCTGTGTTGACTTGCAGCCCAGATAATGGGTTGGTTGTACTTTCATGCTGTTGTTTCATTTGGTACTGGTGAACAGGAGAGCAACAGCAACGGAGTCGAAACCCTGGCTTTGTCACCTGCTAAACACAAATGATGAATGTCAGAGTTAAAAAGAGAACACAACAGAGGACACAATCAAAATTTTAACAGTATGAAATACACTTTAAATCAAGCACTTTGTAGAAACTTCTGGTATTATCTCCACAATTTCGTTTTATTTATTTTTCTTGTCTATTTCCTTCCATGCCGTCCAGTTCTGCCATCTCGTCCTGCTACAGCCGTGTGTACCAGAGTCTGGCCAATCTCATTCGCTGGTCTGATCAAGTGATGCTGGAGGGTGTGAATTCGGAAGACAAGGAGATGGTGACTACAGTTAAGGATGTCATAAAAGCTGTTCTGGATGGAGTTAAGGTACGTGAGACAAGTACTGTACATTATAGAAAGTATACAGTATCTGTGTTTTAGAAAAGATCTAGGTGAAAATCTGAAGTTTTTAAGTGCAGGTAAGATCTATTCTTGGCTTCAGTAAACTTACTTCAGATCAACAGCTCAGTAAGTGAAATGATCCTGCTTGGTGTGCTGTTTAAAGACTAGCATAAATGGTTTCACCATTAGTGTGCACTTCTAAAATGTTTACCCTGGCATTTGGATGGCTTGCAAGAAGCCATAATTCTTTATTGAGCTTTGTATTATTTTTTCAGCAAGCCATTCTCCCCATCTCCCATGCAGATTACAGGTCAGAGTTTGTATATTTTATGTCTAGACAAAATTTAACGGAAATGCTTCCTGTCAGTGCCTACAGAGAATCAAAGATTCCAACTTCATCTTTTAACGTAAGGTTCAAGGTATTTGTCAGTGATACGTCACCGCTTTCAGCAGTTGGATTAGGGTGTGGGACCGGTGATGAGCTAAGCTCAGTTTTCTGGAGATTAATTTTGCATAACTAATGGAAACGTTTAACGGAAACCTTTGTATCCTTTGTGAGACCTGCTTGTAGTATTCCCTCCCTGCCCTACCCAGGAAAATCTGTTGGCTTCCCTTCTACCTCCCAGTAAGTTTTTGGTACCCATGCTTTCTTGCTGTTCTTTACTGTTTTCCCTCTGCTGATGGCCACAGAAGTTGTGCGTTCAGCTGTCCTGGCACTGCAGTTAAAAGTTTGCTTGACACGGGCTCAGGACACTGGTGGAGAGACCATCATATCTCCTAGAAATCTGAAATTCTGAACACTGTAGAGAAGGTTACGCAGGGCTGAATTGAAAGAGGAATGTTTAAAGGAAGCACAGTAGGAAATTTGGGGTAGATTTTTAAGATCTGCAGCAGGTTTTTCAATTGGATTGGTATATCAGGAGCAATTATCTTTCACTGTACTCAAACTCAGTTTAGTTTCTATTACCCAGAGTTAAATGTAAAAATCAAATGGATCTCCCAAGCTTTGCCTGTCATGTTTTCAGGAGTCTTGGTGTGTTGTTTGCGTACTCTGAATATCTCTGTAACGTTACTTAAGCACAGCTACTAAACCCTAGTATGACGTGCTGAGCCATTAAAACAAACATCTTTCAAACAAAACATTTCCATCACCAAAAGATGACAGATTTTCCAGGATTATTTTGCACAATATGCCCTTCAGCTTTAAGCTCCAGATTTGGAAGGTAAAGCCAGTGTTAAATTTGCACAGCAGGGTGGAGAAGAAGAGTTGAGCGTCACGTCCCAGCTTCTGTTAGCGTTGGAATTCGGCAGCAATTTGTAGTACGTCAAAATCTGCACCGTGGTAGCTGAACTGCAGGACCCCAGTACATAGTGAGACAATTCACCCTGCTATCACTTCATGAACCTGTACGGTCCCGTGTTAGCACAGGATCCAGGCTACAGTGGTGAGGTCTCGTTGCATCAGACTCGGACACCGGCTGTCCTTTCACTTCAAGCAAGATTTAAGCACCTGGTTCCTGTGGCTTCCCAGCCAAAGCACCGTGCCTGTCGGAGGGGGAAGCTCTGGGACATCTGCTGGAGGTGATGCAGGGAGGTCCGTGCACCGCTACGCCTGAGCTGTTAAGCCCTGCTGAGCAGCGTGGCTGTAGCAGTCTCCTCTTGCCGTTGGACTAAAAGTTATTTTGGCCGTCCACTTGGAGCTGGCTCGTGTCTGGTCAGCTTGGAGCGTGATTAGAGCAGATGTGAGGCCGTCTGGGCAGATGTGGATGTGTCTGCCCATCCTCGGGTCAGCGTTTGGAAGTGGCTCGAGCTCATCTCCTGCTGCCTAGCAAGGAGCGAGGCTTATTTTAGAAGGGCCAGGGCAGCCTTCGTATCTGGAAGCAGAACTGAGAAGTTGGACACTTCTCTGCTGTGGGGAGCTTTTCTTGTTTTTCTGGCAGATCACACCAGCTCCACTTCCACATTTCAGTGCTTACTTCCCCCTTTACTTTCAGAACTGAGCATGAACGAGTCTCTGCTTCACTTGTGTTATTTGCTGTTTTCATCTCAGGTCTTAGCGCCTTGCTAGCTGTGTATAACAGGAAAAAAAAAATCCTTGTTTTGATTACATAACTTCTTTAAAAAGCGCCTCATTTGGAATTTCCAGTTTGCTGAAGTAGCGTAAGTTTGTGGAGAGGCTTTAATTAGCTCTAATTACTGCTGCAGGTATCTCTGCTTGCTGATAACCAACAGCGCAACGTGCATCTGGCTCAGGCGCATGCTGATTACCCCGGTGTGCACGCTGAAGGTCCTGGCTTGGTTTCCAAACACCAATTCTTCTTCTGGGGCTAGGGGAGAGGAGAAAAAGCCGGGGTCTGGGCAATCCGGTGGTATTTGTCTGAGTTTAGAGGAAGAAGTGGTCCCCTCAGGTGTTGTCAGTCATTTGTTGTCTCAGTGTCTCTGGTGTGGGGTTTTATTATTTGTTCGTCTCCACAGCAGCCATGTGCTGAACAATTCTACAGACACTTTAGAGCCAAACGTGCCTGTTTCACGTTGTAACACACGCTCCCATGTGGCGGGCAGGCGTGCAGCCACAGCAGCCGGTGTAACAGGGAAGCTTCCCGAGCCCTTCGGCCCTGGGTGTCAGTAACGATGACAAATGATGGTGGCATTTTTCCTTCCATAGCCCTTTCTGTGGCCAGGAGCATCTGTGGAGCATTTTGGCTTTAGGTCTGAATGCCCATGTGTTTTATTTCCCTTATCATGCACTGTGTGGCTGCTCTTGCTCGGGAGCACCTGGTGGTCCTGCAGGGTCGGTTTGAGCCCAGGGAAGTCTCCAGAAACCTCTTCGGCAGTGGGGGTTTGTCCCAAAGGCAGGAGGTGGCAATCCCCTGGGTAACTGCTCACTCCTGACACTGACTCAGAGCCGGAGGCATCAAGCGGTGTCACTCGGGTTTCCAAATTGCACAATTCACAGAAAAGCCTTGTTTGGGGATTGTAGGCTCCCTTTCCTGTGATGCTCTGTAAGCTTTATTGGGGAATTTGGAAGTCTAAAAGGAACAGCAAGTTTTTGATTAAAGATCATTCTGAAAGAGAGAATGAAACAGTGGAAAGTCCATCTTCAAAAATCAGTTTCTCCTATGAGAGCTGGGGACCTGGGGACATTCATCAGAGAAATCTGAGGTCAATTCGGTGTCTGCTTTGCTTGTGTGGTTCTTCTGTGATAAAAGAGCCTTAATGATTTTACTTTTCTATGTAGTGTGTGATGTACCTTACCACAGGGACATTTATAGGTTATCAGAAGCCCTGACGGTGTTGTGTCCCTCTTTGCATGGTATTTACCTGTTGGCAGATGTGGCCCTGTTGGAGGTGGTGTTGGCGAGGTGCTCGGCTGTGGTCAGCTTGGTGCTGGGCTTTTTCTTATCGAGGCTTCTCAGAAAATGCTGTTCCTGGCCAGGGCTCTTCTCTGTCTGCCCCAGACGGGAACAGCTTCATAGCCTTAGCCCAAACGGACATTCGGGTGCTCTCTTCCTCCCCAGTGTGTGGGGGATTTTCCAAGACAGCTTCTTTACAGCTGAGCGTTTTGTTGTGTGCTGGGGGGACACGGTGTAAATTATTTCTGTGCCCAAGCTCCCACCAAGATTGTGAGTGTGATGTCTAAACCCAAATCAGTTGTGGTATACGCTTGAAATGGCCTGTGCTTTCCATCCCTCGCACATCCAGGGCAGTGCTTTGTTCCTGTTGTTGTACATCTGCTGTCTTGTTCAGCTTTAAATAGAGCCTTAAACAGAAATACGTGGGCTAGAATATTCTCATTCCTCAGAAGGAAGAGGCAGTGACAGTTTCTGACCTCAACAGGCGTGGATGTGACGATGATAACGGAATGATGACACTGTACTTCAGGCTGCTTTAAAAAATATACGGAATAAAAAATCGATCCCATAAAATTTCCTTTGCATAATATGCTGGGAAGCCAGTACTGTCAGGAGGCACTGCCAGTTACCCAGCCTAGCTGTAAGAGGGCACGTGTTTGTATCTGTGAGCAGCAGATCTCTTTGTTGGCCTCAAACACCTGTAAAATGCTCTCTCCATCCTTCTGCTGTGAGTGATTGTGGTTTTGACTGCTGACAGACCGGTAGTTCAGGATTATCAGCCCTTATCTCTTTATCCGCAGCCTTATCTGTCTATAGCAGATACACTGTGATAGTTCCCTGAATTACTGAGACTTCCACTGCTAGCATGTTAAAAGTTGGCTTTGGGGGAAGCTGGCCTTTTAGTAAAGGTGTTCACTATTTAATTTGTTGTTGGGCATCTTACAGAAAACCTTTTATTTTTTTTTTAATGAATGCATGAAAGACTTGTTTATGGAATATAAAGCAATTAGTTAACTCTTTTACTGGGTAAATGAAATACTCAACTGCAGAAGGTATTTCTGTGCTTTATGTAAAGTCAGCTTGCCATTGTCTAGAGTATTGTGGGAAACACGCTTGTGATGACAGAGGAAAGAGGAAGCACAGCAAAAAGACACGTATGTGGCTTTGTGCAGAATCCCCATAAGGCCACGATTTGTGGCTAAAATGCTTAAATATGGCTTAAACTGCTGCTGGGTGCAGGCTGTTCCCTGCACCACCTCATTTGTGGTATCAGATTTACACCCAGCTCACAGCTCTCTTGGTGTCCATGCCAATGTTAATCCATACCTGGGTAACCAAGAGTGCATTGCAGTGGCATCCCTTTTTGTACTAGAAGGTTTAAGTTCAGCGTTACACAGTGTAATAATTCTTGCCTTTTTCTTCTCTCCCCTCCACCCATCAGGAGCTGGTCAGACTCACGATTGAAAAGCAGGAGCATCCCTCTCCCACCAGCCCAGTTAAACCCAGTTTACCAGCATGTAAATCTGACAGGTGGGTCACTGACAAACATGTTTCATGCATGTAATCTAATGCAGTAGCTGGGATTATTTCTGGCTACTGATAATTGGATTAAAGCACTCAATATTTTTCACATGGATAGCATAGTGCTTTTTACATAGTCTTATGCATTACAGTGGGACAACTTGAAAGAACAATATGCTGTAATAGGGAAGTTACCAAAATCTGGCAATGAAGCATCACTTGGCCATGGTATGCACATTGTATTCTGTACATACATCTAATTCTACTTGCAGATGCGAATTCTGCCTTCTGCTGTAGGTTTCTCTCATTGCATATGATTTAAAGTACGCATTAATCTGTCAGCATGCTGCATTCCAGCGGTGTTTTATGATCTACAATCTGTATTTTGCTTGTTACAGCCCATCAGAACTTCCCCTTACAGACCGAGAAATGGAGATCCTAAACAAAACAACCAATATGACTCAGTCAAATGAGCTACTGACTGACTCCATGGATGAAGAGGTTGCACCTCCTAAACCCCCTCTGCCTTGCATTCGTGTGGCAGAAAACAGGTAATGCTGGCCAACTAGCAGTGCCTCTTACCAACGTCTTGGTTTTTTTTAATATTCTTGTCAAAATGTGTATGAGAGGTCATTGTGTTAGTAATGCATTTCCAACCCTCCATGGTAATTCTTCGCAGCTCCTGCAGTCTGTTCATGACTTCATGTTCTTTGTCTTGTTTTGAGCAGTATCCTTCATTGTGTTTTCCTTTTTTTCTTTCTTTTTTTTTTTTATGTGAGGATAATAATGCTTGAGCCTCTCAGATGAGAGGCATTGCCTAAATGCATCAAATCTTTTATTTAAAGCCATGTAAATACACACCGTGTTCTGCACAGCACTGTGCAGCAGTTTCCTGTGCAGTTTTAGTTGTGGTGTGTGCTTTTATATCCAGTGGGAAATGTTCTCTTAACCTCGGCTGGAAATTACCAGCCTGTCCTGCACATCCAGGGGGTTCTGCGTTGGTTATCAGCCTAAGAGTGAAAGGAGTCACTACTGTGTGAAAAAAATCTTTTACTCTGCTGTTCTTACCCTGTTCTGCGAGTAACCACATGAAAGTTTCTACGTTCTATTTTGGGACGGAAAAGAAAACCCCCAATTTACAGCTTTTTGGTGTGTGTGTGTATGATGTTTTTCTTCTCTAGTACTGGTGCTAATGGATGGTGTGAAAATGCATGTTGTGTGCTAATTTGAAAATGCAGCATTGAGGGCTGTGGTTAGCAGAAAAAAAAAAATCCCATTTCAATGTGTTATGAATTCTCATGGGTTATATTATAAAAATTTCCCGTTATGATCCAGGAACAGAATATGTGTGCTCTTGGGAACCTCGTAGGTTTGCGAACTGCCAGAATTATTTGTCATTAGAAGCAAAACCTAAATGTACAGTGGTTGAAATCTCACTGGTTACTACTAGTGGGTGTTTAATAATGTGTGTATCCACACCGATTAATGCCAAAATGTGGTCCCATGCTGCATAAATGCATGGCAGTACTGACTGACCTGTTGCCTCAAGTTCACCAGGAGTGGAAAAAGGCAGACAGGGAATTTTCCTGACCTGTAAATTTTTGCAACTTTGAACCCCTTTCAAACCTGGAAGGTTTGAGGAGGAGGAAGAAGAGACTTGTGCGAAATGAAAGCTTGTTCAGGTCAACCAAAACATTTCATTTGGACTTCCACCGCTTTCATTTAAAAATAATTGCTGTGCTAATTGGCTTCATTAAAAATAATTTTTCAAACGGCAATTATTTTTGTTTTTGAAATGCTAACTCTTTTCCAAGCTTAAAAAAATAAATCACTGCACAGGACCTTCCCTGTGAGAGTGTTCTTAAATCGGTGTTTGTCACCACTTTGTTGAATAGCTTCTGGCCAGCTTTGGACAAGAAACTGTGAGGTTTGAGCCTAGCAAGGCAAAGGCTTTCTGCAAAGCCAGCTCCTGAAGCCTCTGAAAGTCTTTCTGATGGTCGAGTAATGAAAGCATCAATTGTGTCTTATGTCTTGCAGCCCTCCTCCAGCCTTGCCCCCTAAAAAGCGGCAATCAGCACCTTCCCCAACCAGAGTGGCAGTTGTGGCCCCCATGAGTCGAGCCACCAGTGGGTCCAGTTTACCCGTTGGAATCAACAGACAGGTAATGGCATCACCCCTTTGTGAAAGCCAAGGGGGACGTGCTGCGGAGCGGAGCAGAAGCTCAGAGAAATGCTGGGTCCTGCAGCCGTGCGGTTCCCAACACGCCCCTGCTCGTCCCAGGCAGCCCCGTACTGAGGAGTGCTGCAACGGGAGCTTTAGTGGCAGGAACGTCGATGTAGGAAATCATGGGAAGGAGCTGAGTTTTTTTTTTACGTTGCTGATATACTTGAATAATGAATTTCTACAAACTTCGTTGCCTTGAGGTGTAGCAGAATGTGAAAATCAGAAAGGTAGAGTGGTGCTGTGTCAAATAGACCAGGGTGTAGGGCGGTTGGCTGAACCAACCTGATATCTTTACAATATCTTGTAAAGATATTACCAAGGCTTACTTACAGGCTAGGGATCCTGTAGCAGATTGACATCAGAGGTCTGTATCCATCCAGTCTCAATTTAAGACATCTTTTAACCTAAGCAGTAGTGTAAGCATCTGCTCTGACAGCTACAGGTGCTTTGAGGAGATTTGCAAATTTTCTGGTAGAAGCATGGAAAACTTCAGGGCTGTGTGTGTTAGTCATAGCCTATCGCTTATGCTAATGTGGGGTTTACAGGATTGTAAATGAATCATTTTGCTTCACACCTTCAGAAACTGATTGACTCAGCAGTGAGGGACTTGAATCATGTTAAAAGTGCAGCAAAATCAAATCTTGTCCTCCTCAGCTCTGGCTTAGGGAGGGGAGCCTCTGCTGCCAGCTGGCTGACCCAGCTAAAGCCGTGGCAGTGCCTCAGTTACTGGTACGATCACACTTACACTGGTTTGCAGGGGTGGGAATACCTGAGAGGTTGGCCTGAGGTAATTTCTGAAATAGAAATGTAGTCACAGGCACAGAGAGCTGACGTTAGCTGCATCCCACTATCTCTTATTTACCCTTCGCATACACAAAAACTAACCAAATATTTGATGAAGCTCATTATTTAATGAGAATTCTTGCCATCCAGTTACCTCGTATCGGTGCCTTGATGAACAGCCGTCAGCTGTGTGTGGTGGTGAGGAACTCACCTCAGCAGCTGGTGATGTCCTCTGTGGATCACAGCACACCCTGCAAATGCACGCAGAGCTCCCTACACAGGCTTGCTCTGCCACGTGCCCTTTAATCAGAGTTTTTCTGGGGTTCTGGTGTCTAAATAGGGAGGGCGAGCAGCACTGATCCTCTCCCATCCTGGTTTTCTTACCACAGCTGTCAGGTGTTTGTTCCTTGGGTTGGTCCTTAACCTAGCAAGCCGCCAGGAATGCTGATGATTTGTTGTTTTGTTTTGTTTTTTGCTCTGCCTCAGGATTTTGATGTTGACTGCTATGCCCAGAGAAGGTTGTCAGGTGGCAGCCACTCCTATGGGGGGGAATCTCCTCGCCTCTCACCGTGCAGCAGCATCGGCAAACTCAGCAAGTCAGACGAGCAGCTCTCCTCTCTGGACCGTGACAGCGGTCAGTGCTCTCGCAACACAAGCTGTGAAACGTTAGGTAAGCAGGGACGTGGCCAGGGCTCCCGTTTGGGAGCTGTCATAGCCATGACGCAGTAAATAGATTGTGCTTGTAACTGTCAGCCTGCAGTTACTGCAGGCAGGTTCTATGCAGAATTACATCCCGTTGGATAGGAAAAAGCCCAGGGGAATGTGTTCCCTAGCTATAGATGATTGTGTTCAAACTCAATTCAGCTCTCAAGGGGAATGTTTGGTTGATTTCAACCTTGCCTGCAGACATCAGGAGAAGTAGCAGCCCTGCTAGACTTCTAGGAAATAAAAAAAAATGTAAATATGAAATATAGTGATGTCTGCAGTGACCTACATATTGAATTCATGTTGTTTGTTTGCTAGCATGAAGAAATAAGGTAAGAGTTTTGTTTAGTCTGGACTTTACTGAAGCTGTAGCAAGATGGTCCCCGTTGCAAGGAGATTAAGTGAATAGTGCACTCTGATTAAGTGAACAGCTTAATTAACTGATGGAATGGGATGGGCTGAACAGTAACAGAGAGAAACTAATGGATGATTCTCCTTTCCTCCCTGTTTAACCAGATCAATCCGATCACTATGACCCGGACTATGAATTCCTGCAGCAGGACCTCTCGAATGCTGATCAGATACCTCAGCAGGTGCCAGGTATCCTCAGCCCCTTGCCAGAGTCCCTGGGCGAGTCTGGCTCCCCTTTCCATGGACATACTTTCCAGCTCCCACAGGGCAGCTCTCCTCCGCTGGAATTTTACAGCCTCTCGGGAGCTGCGCAGCCAACAGAGACTCCTCCAGCTTTACCAGAAAAGAAGAGGAGGAGCGCAGCCTCTCAGACTTCAGATAACTCAGGCTGCAGGATCTCGTATGAAAGACACCCTTCACAATATGATAACATCTCAGAGGACGACATGCAGAACGCAGGGTCTGTCGCATCAATACCCTTCACACCACTTGCTGCTGTTTTGCCCTTCCAGCAAGGAAACTCTTCAGCACCGGTCGAATTAATGGCTGACTTTTCTAACAGTGACCCAGAGAAGCCACCACCTCTGCCGGAGAAGAAAAACAAACACAGTAAGCAAGTTCTTGTGTTTGGGTATTACTTTTATTTTTACCTTTCCCTTTTCTTGCCGTTTCTGATGACCACTAAGTAATGGTGACCCCAAGCCCTTGCTTACATGGGGATAAGTGTCAAAATCGCTCATGGTCAGTGTCACAGGCATGGCAGGGAAGTGCCAGTCTTTGGTGGACAGGGAATGACTGAGCCTGGAATGGTCCAGGCCCAGAGGAGATGGCAACACACAGCATCTTCATTACTTCTGCTTTGAAGTAATGAAGATTGTCTTCATTACTTACGTGTGAAGCTCTGAGACACTCTGTCTTCCAAATCTTCCTGGTTTGTCTTCCCTTTTTATGTCCATTCCTTCCCCCATTTTATAAATGTTTTCCCAGTGCAGAAAAGAATTGGGTACCCTCCAAGAGCTCAGAGAAAGGGCTGCTTTTCTGTCCAAAACTGAGCACTGCCAGTGCAGTTATTTGGCAATAAGAACATAGTCACCCACATAGCTGTGCAAGACAACCCTGTTAACCTCGTGTCCAACACTGCTGTTCTGCTACAGGATTTCATTTCCTTTGGACGCCTAAGAGTTTCCCACATCATTAAAATGAGCAGCCTCTAAACGCAAAGACTTGCCATCCCCAGCCAGGCTCCTGGCACACCAGTGCCGACTGCAGCTCAAGCTCGTGACCTTATTCTAATTTTGTTAGTTCATGGCCACAAAAATGTGAAACCTCTTGCCAGAAAAGCAGCCATACTGATCTGACAAGGCAGTGGTGGACTATACAGGGAGATCCAGTGGATGTTATTTTACTGGTCACTGGCTAGCTGTGCAGTTGTACACTGCATCAGAAGGTCGGGTGTGCAACTTCTGGATCAGCAGTGTTAAGCTGTATGGCTTGCAGCCCAAGTGAAGAGCTGATGGAAAAGCACTGAACTTGCCTTCTGGTTCATTTCTGCAGTTAATAGCCGTTTTCACTGGGAATAAGGTGGAAGTGAGATTGGTGTGCTATGCTACAGCATCCGTGGTTTGTCCGTTCCTTTGTAGCTTACTGTGAGAGGCACTTTTTTAAAAGAAAAAATAAAAAAGAAATGAAAAGTGCATTGGCTTAAAGCATCTACAGGATGTTTAAGTGACTGCTCCATGGACAAACCTGGGATCTTAATCAGATCACAAGGCCTGATCCACCTGAAAGTGATGGTCAGGTTGTAGTAGTCTGCTTGTAGTTGAGTGTCCCAATATACAGAGAAGCTCTTCTGTCTCTCTCTGGTAAGCAAACAGTTAAAAGACCCAGAAAGCAAGTAAAAAGGAGCTGAGATGCTGGTTTGCAAACGACAGAAAGGAAATAAATGCTGGCACGGTGCACAGCCAGGGCTGCTTGTTACGGTTCCTGCTGCTCTAAATACTTGCATGCAGCATCAGCTGCAAGGGGATGGGTACGGAACCTCCTCGCCGTAGGATCAGGCCGTGTGGGCTCTGCATGTGAATACCGAGGGCTGGGCCAGGATGGTTTGACATCAGGCAGGCAGGGATGGACGCAGGGCCACGCGCCTCTGTACACGTAGACAGCTTTAGTGGGGAGAGGCGCCGGGATGGGCCGTGGCTAAAAGGCAGTTTGACAGTTGAAAGAGAGACCTGGGCTGTTTGCTTTTCTCTCTAAGCCCCATGTCTTTGTTTTCTCTTATCATATAAGATGTCAAGGGGTTACTTTAAAACCGATTTTAAAAGCTCTCTTCTCCTTTATTGCCCGCGCACACTTTTAACCTCAATAGCAAGGCCTCGTACGTGAATTTTCTTTGATGTTAGAACAGAGCTAACTGTCATCTGGCACTATCAGGAGCTCGGGGGATTGATCAGATTGCATTGTTAGGAAAAGCAGAAGCTGTTATCTAATGTGTTGACAGCTCTGCTGGCCTGATAAAGCCTCCTTGGTGCAGAGCTTGTAGTGGTGCCTGGGTGATACCTGCCTGCTGCAGGTTTTTAGCTGCATTCATGTGACACTAAACTTGTTTTACATTGCCTTTCCTTCGCCGATTATCACACCACAGATCTGTGGTTGTTAGTTTTACTTTTATTTTCAACATAAAAAGGGCGAGGAAACATTACTCAGGCCGTATAGTAGCACCCAGGGTTGGGGGCCCAGAGGCTGATTTCTGTAGATATTCTGTGTAATCACACAGATGAGGCGGTGCTGCTTGCACAGCCCCAACAAAATCCTGGAATCCTGGAAGAGATGCATGAATTTAGTAAAGATCTAGAGCTGTCACAAATGCGACTTGGTTTTAGTCCCTTTGTTGTGGGTCATCCTTTGGTGGTTGGCAGGAAATGTTGCAGCAGAGACTTTGATGGTCTATTAATAATGAACAGCAAATCCAGCTCGAGTCCACCATGTGTACTGCTGGGAGCTATGCTCAGAGGGACCTCCAAGAGTTGACTTCTCTATAATTTAAACAGGGGAGTGGTAAGCCTTTTAGACTGGCATGAATTGTGCTTTTACTGTGCTGTACATGCTACTGTGCTAAGGGCAAATGACTCCAGCCTTCTGCTTGAGCACCGCTCGCGCTCCTGCTGTACAAGGCACAGACAGGGAACAGCTTCTGCCTCAAAGAGCCTGGAGTCAGAAATAGCAAGATCCTCCCCCCAGCCATCTTGCAGACTGGTGGCGAGGCACTTATTTATGTTTCCTTCCCTGTCACTGGGAACAAAATGCAGCCTGGTGCCCCGCAAGCAGCTGGTACTTAACTGCAGGAGCCGTGCTGGGGGCATTCTGGGCTGAGCCAGCGTGTAATGGGAGCTCTGAAAAACAGCTCTCCTCCCAGAGGTGACAAAGACTGGCTTCTTTGACCTTGACTTCTGCACTGACGTGTGATGTAACTTTAAAATTTCCATTATTTTGGCTCTTGCCTATGCACGTGGCTCTGTCGCTGCTGCGCGGGGCTGGTTGTAGCGCAGCCTGCTGACAGCACCACAACCTTGGGGGGTTCTCTTCATCAGACACTGCTGTGCCTTATCTCTATTGCAGATGCACCTTACTGCTCACAATCTTCTAGGAATTCCTTGCAGACCCCAGGAACTGCAGGTCCACGGGTGTTCTCGTGACACCAAATGGTTTGCTGCCTATTTTCTCCCTGCTTCCTGGACCAGCAGCTGCTCCTGCCGGCTGCGGAGCTCCCCCAGCACCGTTAGCAGCCACCTGGCACAGCGTGAGCAGTACCTGTGAGTTTTACCATTTGGGCAGAGCTGGTGTACGCCACCGATCCCCGAGCAGCTTCAGGTCCTCCAGAAACAACAGCCGAGGCACTGCAGGGAAGGTGTTCCTAGCCGCAGTAGCCACAGTCAGTCGTTGGTTGTTTTTATTATTTTTTTTCTTTCTCCCCTTTCAAATAGTTTCTGCCTTGGTTCAGAACTGACATAAGCTGGGCATGGTGCTGTGGTGGGAGAGGTTCTCTGTGTCTCACTCCTCCCTTCTCTCCCGGGTGCTGCTTTCAGACCGTGTCACTCCACCCGGCTGCTGAGGGGTGAGGTTGCAGCCCCCATCCCCTCCCTCTTCACAGAGCCGCTGCAGGGCGTGCGGCCCGATCTGAGCCGGTGATGTAATTTCCCATCTGCTTTTTAAATTTCTGCCTTGTTAAAAACCACACCAGGGAGGGGAGGGGAGAGAGAAGACCCTTGGCAAACAGCAGCCTCAGGAGCGGTCCCGCTGCCTTAGTATCCTGCTGAAGATGGGCAGCAGTTTAACGATGCCTATTTTCATTTACTCTCTGCAGTCCCTACTTCTGAGCCAGGTTTGTATTTCACCATCCCAACTGTTTTTTGCTTCACCTAAAAACGGAGATGAAGACAAAGCAGAGGCAGAGACATGCTCGCCCGCCTCAGACGAGTAGTAACAAGCAGGGCACGGGAGCTGCCCTGGCAATGGGATGCATTAGCCTAATAAAGAGCCGAGATAAAAGAGCTCTTCATTATTCCCTTACAGATTGAGTTAAGGCTCTCAGCAGCATTCAGGCTTCCTACCTTGAATTACAGTAATTCGATTTTACGCAAGTATCTAATGTGTTACCCTTTTCACCAACACTTCCCAAGTCCCTACTGCCAAACAGGCTGCTGAGCCCAGGAACTCAGCTCTTGATCCCTGTCTTCGGATCTGAGCACCAAGTGTAGCGCCGTTTTTGTAGGTAACTGCATGAAGGCTTGGTCTCAATTGAGCAATTTCAGCTGCATTATACCAGGACTGCCAAGCCCAAGTTCTTGGCTTTTGTCCTAATCAGTTGATGAGCTCTCAGAATGTGGCCTTTTCCCTGAAGCTCTTGTCCTCCACCGTTCTCCAAGGAGTCTGGATCCTTAGTTCACTTTTGCTGCTATAGAAATATCTCGGAACTTACCCTCTGAAGTTGTTTAAATATCTAAATGCATTTTTGGGGTGCAGGTATTAATGGGAATACCCGAGTCAACGGAATTGCAGGTACTCCAAAACACTTACTATTTCAGTAATTCTGTATTTTCTGTACCAAGACCCCATTCCAAGAGGAATGGTTTAAACCAGCAAGGATGGTGATTGTCATCTTGGTGCAGTGCTGGGAAGCCAGGAAGGTGGCTGGGGGAGGAAGAGGAGCAAGGAGCACACAGCAGGGGTGCCGAAGGTCAGGATTGCAGCAGCCTTGGCAGAGCTCTGCGGGAGCTGGCAGAGCTGCGGGACACGGACAGGTTGTCTGCTGGCAGCCCCGTGTGGGGTCACAGGACAGGGACAGCAGGTGTTGCCGGTTGGGATTGAAATGTACCAGCTGAGCTTTCCTGCACTCTGTTGGTTTTTTTTTTTTTCTTCTTTATTCTATTTTCTGGAGGAGGGATGTCATTCTGTGGGAAGGGGCAGCTGCGTCAGCTCCATTTCTAAGCAAAATTTAAAATACTGGAGGAAATCTGAAAAAAGGAGCAAAAGGCAGGTGCAAAGCGACTCCTTCCTGCCGACACATTCGCACGGCTGCATCCTGTTTGAAGCAGGCTGGTCTGTGTCTCTCCATTTACAGGTGAACAGGGGGTTTGCCTTGGAGCTAGCATGGGAACCAGCTTCGTGATGTGCAAATACTGCGCTGGGATCACTGCATTTATAGCTCTCACTGAAGCCATCCATGCAGTTCAGCTGTACAAGGAAAATGCTAGCAGAAGCTGAATGATTGCCTCCTAATGACCAAACTTACAGAAAATGACAAGTGCACATTTATCAGGGTGGGGTGAATGATCAGAGGGTGTTGTGCTTGACAGCATATTTGCAAGAAGGCCCTAGTTAGTTCTTCCTGTGACACTTAACTACAACTGTTGCTCCAGTCTGCAGGTACGTAGATTAAAGTTATTTGATTTCCATTTATTATGTACACGATAGTTCTGGGGTTTTGCAGTAGTCTTCCTGTGCTCCTGAGTGTCTTTCTCCCTCTTCCACACTAAAATATTGCAGCAGGAGCTAATCTTTTGTCAGAGCTACTCAGGCAGACCTGTGTGCTTTTTCACAGATTTTTGAAAGATATTTTACAGATACAAATGTGCCCCGAATGAGATCTGATCCCATTTAAAACTTCCATCAAACGGCATCTCAGAAATGCTTTAGAATCAGCCGGATTCAGTTGCAAATTTAGAGATGCGAGGATGCTTCAGAGAGGGATGGGAGCAAAGGATGTTGGATTTGAGCTCCCGGAGGAGGAAGGCGAGGTCAGTGGCACTTCTGAAAGGCTAGGCTCTTGTGCCAGCAGTGGCACATGAACAGCTGAGGGACAGGTATGCCCAGTCTTGCAGGCAGGTGTTTTCCAGTAAGTTCGATCAGCTGCTAGGCTGGGGAAGCACTGCGAGCCCTCTCATTCTAGAAATCATGCTAACTACAGATAGGAAAATTATTACAGGCACGGGAATTATTACAGCTTTACTGTCAAGGTTGCGTCTGTGCGAGGTGATTTGTGTCTCCTACAAAGCAGACCGAAGTCGTTCTCTTTCTTTTGGTGACCTGGGGCATCAGCTGTTGAGGAACATTCCCCAGATTGCCCCAGGTTACACGAGGAAGGGGTTCGGTCTGAGACTTGGAGAGTCAAACTCCTCAGGTAGCTATTTGGAGACATCACTGGTTTAAGCAAAACCGGTGCCAAATTTGTTTGTGGCCTGCGACAATTTTCATCGTGTGCTGGCTTGCGGGATGGGAAGCTCACAGATTCTTTCCTCCAAGGTGATCGGCGACTTGCTGTGCGAGGCACCACAGATGCCTTGCTGCTGCTGCCCTGAAGCAAGGCCCAGCTGCAAGAGCAGCGTGGCATCACTCCTATTTATTCTGAGGTTGGGCACTGTGCCTGCTTGGGGCAGGAGAGGCTGCAGCACACAGACCAGAAGCAGTGAGCGTGACCCTTTTGTGTTGCAGTGCTGGCCTACATGCAGTTCGTGGAAGACTACTCGGAGCCGCAGCCATCCATGTTCTACCAGACCCCGCAGAACGAGCACATCTACCAGCAGAAGAACAAGCACCTCAGGGAAGTCTATGGCATCAACGACTCCTTCATCAGCTTAGAACCCTCTCAAGACCTGGCACCTCCACCCGCTCTCCCCCCGAAGCAGCGGCAGCTGGTGAGTGACACCCGCGGTGCCCTCCCCAGCAGGGCGCAGCAGCCTGGTGGGAGCAGCTCTGGGTTTGCTGCTCCTCCTCCCGACAGGCTGTGGTTGTGGGAGGATGGATGTCTCATTGGTGTTACCCACCCCGTGTTCCTTGACATCTTGTTAACACGTTTTCAGGCGTTTTGCATCATCTGCTTTGAGCTCCTGTGCTCCTTTCTTAACCCCGCGTTCAGACTATTCCCCATCAGCTCTCAAAGTCCTGAAATACCCTGAAAATGAGATGTTAGCCTTCCACATGGCACGGCTGAATCTGTGCCAGACTGGAGGCTTTTTTAATGATGAGTGCTTTGAAGATTTTGACACGCTGGGCAACACAATTTTCGAGAGATTGCTGCACTGTTGTTCCCAATGTTGTTTTGAATTTGTTGTCAAGGATGCCACTAATAATAACCATTTAAACATAATCACTGCTTTTATGGCTCAATCTTTGCCAGAGCCACAGAACTTTGGTCCAGCCATTATTTAACTCGTGCTTGTTTTCCCCACATCAGCCCCCTTCTGAGATTCAGGATTTTACCTGTTTTCTGCAGTTCTGTGGCCGTAGGAGCCAGTGGCACCCCTGCCTTTGTGTGTCCCGGGGCTTTGGTGGTGCTTTTTTAGCTTGGTTTGGTTTGGCTTGTTTGGTGAAATTGTTTCATTTATTGGCGTTTAATGAGAATGTTAATTGCCTTCTGAAAAATGGAATTTCACAGTGATCTTTTGGCCATTTCATCCTACTGGCACATAAAGGCACGTCCACAAGTGTATGTGCATGGAGTTGAACACTGCGTGAGCCCCAATTTCCACATGGGGGATGAAGTCCTGGCCTCAGCGATGGCAGCAGCAGCAGCTTTATTTCCAGCCTCAGTGGCTGAAATAAAATAGATTTTGTCCTATTTCTTTTTAAGGACCTTTTTTTCCTTTCTCATTTTTGACTCCAACCTCAGAGGGCTTGTTTATATTTTTCTTTATATTACCTTTTTTTAAAGAACAGCTAAAATGTTTTTAAAATGCATCGTGTTTGTCGATGCTATCTGACTGACATTGGCCATGGCTTTAATAAAATGGGAGGAGATGCTGGAGCAGAGCCATGCTCTTACCATCATCAGGGCAACTGTTGCAATATGTGCTGCCCTTATCTGTGCTAAAGTTGGACTGTCCCAGAGAGCTACTTTTTAACGAATTGGGAAAAGCTACACAGAGTCCTAGTGCGGGAATTCACATAACTACATTCCTCTGACACAGATAGGAGTCCTAAAAAATGAACATTCCTGGCCAAATGTTAAGTAAACTGAGTATTACGCATTATTATTTTGTGGGGGTGAGACCTTAAACGCCCCGACCCATCCAATTTTTAGGGATACAGAAGGCTCTTCAGGACTCCTCTCTGAAGGATCAGGCACTTCCCCAGGGGATCTGGACCCCTTGTCAGAGAGATCCTTGCACGGTCCCTTGTAGTCCCTTGCCCTATCTCCTCTTAGAGGTGACTGTGCCCTAGTGACAGTTCCTAATGATGGCATGGTTTCTGCATGGTCCTGTAGGGTAAGTAGCAACGCACAGATTTCAAGCTGGGTCCTAATAATTGTTTATTACTGTGCTCATTATTGTGCAGAAGGGAAATCCAGCTCCTTTTTAGAGTGTGTCAGCTGAAGCAAAGCGTTTCTGTGCTGCCCTTTAATCATTACCTGGGCAGCCAAAATGTCACTGTTTTGCCTTGCAGGCATTCTTGTAGTCTTGCAGGCTTGATATGATCAAGGTGATGCTCTGCCTGAAGCAGAAGTTTCTTAAAATGCAACCTTGTGCCCCTACCTTCATCTCTCAGCTGGGAAAGTGGTGTGAGCAGACAATGGCTCATTCAGCAATCCCTGTAAAAGCCATCAGACTCCATTGTTCCTCTGGTCCTGCTGCCCAGGGAGATCCTGAAACAGCAGATCATGTGGACATCAGCTGCTCCAGCAGCAGGGAAGGTTTGCTGGACGGACTTCGCCCTAAAATAATAATTAGGAAGTCCTTTCTTGCAAGTTTCGTATCTTGTATATGAAATATTTGCATGTTATATTTGACAAGGCAGGGCTGAGAAAGCCTAGGTCCAGCTGAGCCTCCCACAGCCCCTTACAGCAGTGAATTCAGGTGAAATTCCTGATAGTATTTATTATTTACTGCGTAATATCTCCCTCTTGTGCAAACAATGTATAATGTGGGCTGGACTGAAAACTCAGTGGGCATTGTTTTTATCCAATATCCCTGCAGCATCCATGAAGGCCCGTAGACCACCGGAGAGTCCCGAGTTTCCAGCCCACAGATTGCCAAAAAAAACTAGTATTCTGCAAGGGATGGCTGCTTAACAGCCAGGAGGAAGGGCCAGGTCCCTGCTGGGCAGCAGCTCGTGCCCATAAATGCTCCTTTGGGCATTTGTCCCCAGCGTTACGGGGAAACAAGGGCGCGTGGAGCAGCCTGACTGCCTCCCAGCAGCTGCCCACAGGTGAACGGGGAGGGGGAGGTGGGTGTCTGTTTTGAAGGGATTTGTGAAAAAAAGATTATTCCAACTGTGATTTTTGTCGTGCCTCCTGAGCTCAAGAAGGGGGTATTGGTGTGTCTGGTGCTGATGAGCTGTACGAATAGCTGTTTGCTCAGCAGGCTGTTGTATGCATTGTTTTACAGTTAGCAATTTCTTAGCCTTTATTCATCGCTTTTTCTGTGCTTTCTTTCTTTGTTTCTTCTGTCTCTCGCTTTCTTCCCCCTCTTCAGCAGGCCTCCTATGCTGCCTCTTCTTTCCCTTCTGTCTCCTACTGTGTCCAGCAAACTAAAGTGCCCTTCACCCCCGAGGACACCGGTGCCACTCAGGGCCTCACTATGTCAGTCTCTAACTCCTTTCTCAACCGGCACAGCTCCTTTCCTGTGCACTCGGTGAGTTGCTTTCTGCACTTCTCTAATGCGTGTGTATTTGTGCCTGTGGTTAAATGCTCGTGTGCCAACCTGTGCTGATGTTCTGGGTAAAGAGAAAAGCTCTTGGGGGGCTACGGGACTCAGTAGCAAGCAGCCAGGTGATAAAACTGGTGTGTAAATCTCGTTAAATTAAATGCGGGGCAGATGCAGCTTTCATTGCTGTCCATCCACATCTGGAGTGACATCTGTGGAGAGGGCCTGGCAGAGGAGATCAGGCCCGTGTGCGAAGGCACACTCCCATGACCTACATGTTCCCCAGGCTGCACGCTGAAACTGCCAAGTCTTTTTGTTCTGCTGCAGAACGGCAGCGATGTGGATGAGTCGATTAAATGCTGCTGTGTGAATCTGGCCCTTGGAGAAATAACGAGCTGCCATCCCTGAAGTACACGGATTTAGGCAAATGCATGGAACAGTGGCTGCAGCTCCTTAATTTTTTTTTTTCTCTAGATGGCCTCTCCCACATCTTTCATCTCATATTTGCTTGTCCGCTTCCCTTCACATCCCCTGGTCCCAAACAATCCCAGTAAGCTTGGATGGTTTGCTGGCGAACGAGCAGGGTTTCTTCTCCTACAGCTCTGGTCTGAAAAGAGAACCACAGGAGGAGCTGAAAATGATTGAAATTGAAATAATAATCTGAAAGTACCGCTTAAATCTGTGATCAGCTGCTTAAATTAAATGGTAGCAATAACAAAGTGTTAATGTAATGAAATTAAATCGAACCATGGGATTCCAGCAGCTCTACAGCGTGAGGAGCGCTTGCACGTAGGGCTGTGTGGTTATGTGCTGGTTGTCTGCCTCATGACAACTGAGAATGGATTATTTTTTAACAGTAACTTGGATGTTTAGTAAATTAGATTTATTCTGGAGAAATTATCAAGCAAGAGTTAAGAAAATCCAAGAGTGTTTCAGTTAGTTTAATGCTAAATGTTTGAAAGCCGTGTCCTCACACTGTCACTGCCGTCTTTGCATTTCAACGCTTGCTCGTTCTCTAAAAATGAATGGCAATGATGTTATTAGCTGGGTCTGAAGAAGAAAGTATTGAAGTAGAGTTAACTTCACAAGCCATAAATTAAAGCTTTCAGCTTCCACTTGTAGGAGAGAGAGCAGTATCATCATTTGGCTGCATAGCTAAAGGCTGAGGTCTGGTAAGGTTACTGCTTGCATGAGTCCGTGGAAAACAGTTTTAAAATTTGAAATAATGCAAAAGTTCTGAATTGTACAGCTTTCTGTTTGATAGCAGTCCTTGAAAATATAACAGAACTGTAAGACCAGGTAAAAGCACTTCACTATTTTTGATTTAATTGAGAGCCTATAAATATGATGCTAGAGCATCCTAAAAATGTGTGGGCACGGTCACTTTAAAAAGTGTCCTGGTTAGATGTAAATGGTTACTGCATACGTAATTATTTTGACCTGTTCTAATCTTGCTTTGGACTACGTTATTCTGAATAGATTATTTTATGAAATGTTAAAACTTCATTAAAAAATCCTCACTCATTTTTGCAAGGATTTGGTAAAGGGAAAATGAATGAAGCATGAGGAACAATGAGAACAGTTGGGCAATGCACTGTCAAATGCACAAAGGAAATAACTGAATTAAAAGTGGTGACTTTTCCATTAATGCCTTTAATTTATGGTAATCTCGTGGTTGCTCATGACTCTAGCTGGTTTATTTTTTCACAGGCAAAAATGAGATTTTCACCTCTGACAGTGACTCTTTGTCTCTGAGCTGCAAAATACCAATGTCCTTACATGCTTCGGAGCTGACCCATATAATATCACAGCCACGGTTTATCCCATTTTCCCTCTCCCTAATGAGACAGAGAAGTGAAACAGCTGTCAAGGTTTGGATGGCTCCCAGGGTGACACCCTGCATTCCAGCACTCAGAAGGACCTCGGAGCCCTTCTTGCAGTCTGCTCCTGAGCATTGCCTGGCAAAACTGCCTTTCACGTGGGGGATGCTCCAAGCTGCACCAGGAGCACTTCGTGTGCATTGCTCTGCTCTCCTGTCATTCTCATGTCCTCGTTTTCTCCACTCTTTCACTCAGATGAGCACTGTGGTGAGCAATAAACCTGTTAAGAGCTAAGCATTAGCAATCCACTGGTCCCAGCAGGGGAGTTAATGCAAGGAAGAGCACACCTTTTGTGCACCAGCCAGCTGAGGGGTTGGCCTCCTACGTACCCAAAGAATCAGTGGAGATCATCAAAACGATACATCTCCTGCGTTAATCTTTATCCCTTCTGTACATGAAGCAAAACCCTCCATAGGTCAATACCAGGAAGTCGGAGCTAATAAACCAAATGGCTGTGCATTACCACAACGTGAGCAGTGCTCTGCAGGTTTCCAATCATAGCCAAGTGCCAGAAAGTGCCCCGTGCTTTTGTTTTTCCCATAAGACTGGCCTGGGGTGGACAAGAGTCAGTCCCAGGAGAACACCTAGCCCCATACCAATCTGTTCATGTGAAGGCAGCAGGAAAGCCAAGCCTATACCATGTTTTGCATGTAGCTTCCTATGCCTATGCACGAAGGAGTAAGGACTACATCCTTACTACTAATTTATAGGGCTTCAAAAAGTTCTTTTCAGACGGTGCTTTGAAGAAAGGAGAAAAAAAAAAAGAAGTGAAGTAGTTCAGACCATCTTTATTCTCTTAATTTGTGATTCGTGAATTTCTTTTCCAGAATCCTGACTCTTTTTTTCTTTCCCCTCAGAGCTGCAGACGCTGCTGCAGTCCAGAAGCCACCAGCGCTCTGCGAACCCACTAATCGCGCTTTTCCCTTCTTTGCAGGAAATTGTGTCAGAAGTAATAGCTTTTACTGGATAGAGGCAGATCTTAAGCAACTGGATCAAACCTCATAGGTTTGGCAAGTTGGGTCTGTTTTTCACCGAGTCTGATTCGTGTCTAGCCTCTGTGCCAGCAAGGGTCATGTTTGTAGCGTGGGCCGATGCTGCAAGGAAACACAGCATCACCGTCCCCGCTGTTACGCCGTGAAATCTTACATTGCCGGGACAACTGGATCATAATGTCAAGAGTCATTTTAGGGATTCCCCTCTCTTTTGAAAGCAACTCTCTGTTGCTAGACAGTGGGGAAGGAGGTATGCAGTAAGAATGCATCCTCCTTCCTATCCTAGACTTGGTTTGCAGAAGTTTTTCCCCAGCAGGTCTCCTCCCTCCCTTCCTCTTGTGAGATGCTGCCTTTTCCATCTCATTGTGCTGTTGACTGGAAAGGGGTGAGCAGGTTTCCAAATGGCAGGAATCAAATCTCACGGCTTCCTGGCAGTGGGGGAACTCTGCACTGATAGAAGAAATCATTGAGGAGACAAGATACACTGCTCTCTGTCTACAGATTTTCCACCAAAGACCGCAGAGAGACTTGCATTCACTCACAGCTAGGAAGTTTTCTTTGTTGAAACAAGGGATGCAGTTGTTTTCTCTGAGTCCTGCAAATAGCACTAGTGGAAATTTGGCTGTGTTCTCCACTATGGAGAAATGTCTTACCTTTCTCTAAATGCTGTTTTGCCTTGTGTTCTCTTTTTAATTAAAAACCATTTCCAGTAACTGCCAAGGAACCAAATTGGCCGCCTGCTTCCACCAGAAAGCATAAGTGATTTCCTTATGAAAACTCTCGTTCAGCGCTTCTGTTTTCACTTGTTCCCACAGTTCTTTTGCAAATTGAGAAAATGCTCAGAAAATTCACAGCAACTGTTTCTCTTTCTTGTGTGCGTGTTAATGTATGTTCAGGAAAAGGAGGGTCAGATAAGCGTTTAAAGGCGCACGCGATGCCGACATGTGCTTTGCATGTTTTCCCCACCTTGCTCCTATTTGTGTAGCTCAGTTCCCGTCTGCAACCCAGACTTCAGCTCCGATCCTTGGCAGAGACTGAGTTTTTTTGGATCCATATGGTGCTCTGATGGTGGGAGCCACTACGAAACCAGGACCGTGAGATCCCTGTGTTAGTTCCTTTCTGTCCTAAGCAGGATTTGGCTCCTTAGTTTGGAGCAGAGGGAAAGGGGAAACAAGGTTTGCGTCCATTTAAGCAGCTGTTGAGTGCTAAGTATTGTTTTGCCTTTCCTGTTTCATGTTCCTTTTGCATTTCTGTTCATTTCCACTGCCCGCAGCAAGTCTGCATGGCAGTATTAAGAGTGCTGTTGTGTGCCAGCATCGCTGAATCCTGCTTCAGAAAGGCACTTCCTCCAGTTGCTTACATTCATCTTGCACTCTCTGTCTCTGCATAGGTCTCTGAACAGTCAGCCTGCTGCTTTCACAGGCCACATGCCACGTTTTTATGTGGCTGGCTTTGGGAGTCTCCATCTCCACGCTCCGCCTTTGCAAGATCTGCCTGCCAGATGTGGTGGTATTGTTCACAGGACAACCAGGAGCTGATGCTGTGTTTGTGATCAGATTGAGTTCTCCTGATAGTTGCAAGAGAGATACACAATAGCATGGTTAGAGTCTTGCAAACCTTCTCATCCCCCCAGCCATTTGCACTGCAAGGTTGCACAAGAAGCCTTCCCTTAAGAAATCCTCCCTTAAGGAGGGTTCGGATGTTGTGCTTTTGATGCAGAAGCCAGGAGACCCTTTCCCAAGGGAACTGAAACCCCGTCCATCCATCTGCTGTGCTGACCACTACTTAAAAATAGCGAGGTCAGCCGTGCAGCCGGGTCAGAGGCTTCACCACGAAGCATTCAGGCACGAGGGGTTCCTGCCTTTCCTGCGGCAGTGCTTGAAGCCAGTCTGTTGGCAGCCTGTGTTTCCAGTCATTCATTGTAGGAGCATTTCCTTCCTCATTAGCAAAAGTACCTGGAAGTCCAGCATTGTGTCATGAGATAGGAAGTGTTTTCCAATAGTTGTCTGTGTAATTATATTCTTCGGCTTTGTGCAACGCCCAGGGTTTTGCGAACACAGTTCTCCGCTGTTAGAATCTGGGCATCCAGTTCTGGCGCGGTGCCCACGTTTCTCTCTTAATAGCCTTAGCAGAGGAGATCTAAAAGATTGATCCTTTCCTCTGATAGCGGCGTGTTTTGGAATTCCGATGCTCTATCTGATCTGGGAGTGTCTGGCAAGATTGCAGATTAATTTGGCAGAAGTCTGTAGGGCGACTGAGAAGGCTTTGCTTAAAAGGTAAAGACGGGGGCTGCTGATGCTGCAGATGCTCTGACAGCCATTTAATTGAATTCAGCTCTGAATTTAGGATGGAGATTGCTGTTGCTGGCACTCAGTGACTGCCATAAACACCCTTCCTCCCTGTTACTTGGTCAGCCGTGCCTAGGGGGTGTTGAGAAGCATCGCTCTTGAAATAAGAAGTTTTCTGTTAGTGTTTATCTCCTGCCAGCTAATCCAAATAAACGTCTCTAATGTCACTGACCTTTGGGACATCCTGTGACGCCCCTGTTAACGATGGAAAGCTGTTCTAAAACTACAAATCAAAGGCAGCAACTTGGGAATGTTGAAAGGTGCCATCCCTGGCAGCCCCGTGTGCCGCGCTGGTGTCAGTGTGTGTAAACTGTCAGGTCTGGGCAAGTCGGCTCCCGCTGCTCGCAGGAGATTGCTTCGTGGGAATGCTTCCCAAGTGACAGAGAGCTTTATAAATATACTTTACTGGTAAGACGAGAGGGATCTCTCTTTGCTCTCTTTGCTCCCTGTGTTGGCCATTTGCTGTCACAGGTCAGAATCCCCCGCAGGAGGAGACCGTCCTCTGGTCCCTTGCTAGGAGCCCGGCAGCATGCTCTGCGTTTGGAAAGAGGAAAACATCGGTTCACAAAGGATCCGGTTGCTTTCTAGCTTCCCCAAAATTATTTCAAATCATTTCACCTAAAGCAAAGCCGTGGAGCAGGAGGTTTTGTCAGTACAGCCATCACTGAGGCCTTACTGACCCCGCAAAAAAAAAAAACACACCAAGAAGCAGAATGAAAAAAAAAAAACAGCACTGATAAGTTTCCAAGATAAACCGCTGCCTGTGATTTTGTGGGGCCAGGGGAGGACGAATTTGCTTATGACAGTTGTCTTGAATGGCCTCACCCCTCCCAAAATAAGCGTGGATTTTACAGGATGACGGCTTCCCAGAGCCGAACACCGCCCAAACCCTGCGGAAACCATCGCAGCAATTCCTGCTGCAGCTGCCGGCTGGGCTGGGCCGGGCTGGCCAAGGGGCGCAGCAGGAATGGGTGCCATATGGACATCATCTCCACCGCAGGGTGTTTTTCCACTTTCAAAGTATGCTGCATTCTTGGCTCTTGTCCCAGCATGGCTGCATAGCTGGAATTCCCGAGCTGCTTGCCGGGGAGGAAAGAGGGGAGGAAGGAGGGGAGGAAGGAGGGCTCTTCCTGGCTGCCTGCTCCGAGCTGCAGCCGTACAGGACCGGGAGCTGGGAGCAGCCTGGTTAATGAATGCCAGCTCACCAAAGGCTTCCCTGGGCTGTTCCCTTTGTTAACAGCATGCTGAGAGCGTGTCTGCACCGTGAAGTGATGGATCACGGATCCCATCATGAAGATGAATGCGTTTTCCCGGCTACCTGGGCCTTTAGCTGGTACTTTCTACGCACCTCGTGCCAAGAAATTGTTTTGAAAGGCACTGGCGAGGCCAAGGGGAGATGAATGTGTACAGATTACCACTAGTAACGTATCCACGTTCAGAGTTTTAAAATTGATGCAAAGCCGTGCTATATTTAGGCCTAAATTGCCTTCGAATTGGCATTAATGCCTCCGAAATTCTGCAAGTCAGAAGCTGTGCAGATTTTCCTTCCCTAGCAGCAGTAATTCATCTCCCTGAGCTGCGAGCCGAGCCTGCAGGCTGCACACCACGCAGCCCACCAGCTGCTGAGCCTCCGGCCCCTGTTTGGCCTGAACTAACCCTGCTGCTGCCCTGGCACGGCGTGAGCCCTTCAAGGGCGCCTGCCTGTCCCCAGGCGATGCGGTTGAGGCCAGGATTTCCCCTTGCTCATGGTCTGAAGGAGCGCAGCTGCTTCCCTGCAAAACCTTGACTTTTTCTCCAGGTTCAGCAAGTCGGAGACGGTAACTTTTGGGGGAACTTCGGTGGAAGATGCCCATCCACTGCAAATTAAAGGACAGCAGGGTGCCTGCTAGGGTGCAGGAAGCCCAGCAGTGGAGGCACTGGGACGCAACCCGTGTTGGAGAAGATCATTTCCCTTATGGCAGTGTTGCATCTCACCACTGGGGCAGCAGTTTGCCTTCTCGAGCCATCACAGGAGTGGTGGGAGGTCCATGTTCTTTGTGCTCTGCTCCAATTCTCTCTGTGGGGACTGGCCCGGGACTCGGGGCATTAGTTGGCGCGTTAGCGGCGGTGAGATCATGGAATAGCGGGGGGACGGGGCAGGCACAATGAATCTGCTGAGCCAAGGTGATGTCATGAGCCTGGAGTCTTACGAGGGATTTAGCGTTTTGTGCCATGCAAGTGAAAATGAATAAATGTAGAGCATTTATCCGGGCAGAAAGCAAATAGAGAGATTAGACTTGGCATTGTTACGAGGCAGCACCACGAGCGGATGGTGGCCCTGGAGCCGGGGCTGCTCACCCGTGAAGAGACGAGCAGGAAGGGAGAGGAGCCTGTCCTAGAGCCGGGCTCCTTTCAGCCACGGGCATGTGGTAGGGATTTGCATTTTGATTATTCTTCAGTAGTCTTTTAAGCTCTCTTTCCAAAGCATCTCCCTCTGCTCCTCTGTATTGTGGCCTGCGATTCGTTTGGGGCCCCTAGACGGCACCCAGAGCACAGCCGGACTCGAGGCACGGCGGAGGGCAGCCGCTGGAGGATTGGGGTGGTGGAAGGTAAATTCTAGCCGTGGAACTTTGTTTCCTTTCCAGCTTGTAGTGGAAAAACTTCTTTGCCCGAGCTTCGAGCCTGAGGCAGTTCTCCGTTCAGATTTTTAAGCTATTACCTATTTCAGAGGTAGGAAAAGGAAACCAACAAACACCACCGAGGTGTACTCAGGTGATGGACGGGGCTTTGATTTCATCACTTGCTTAATTCCCCTGAAAAAACGTAGCCTGAATTTTCCAACTCATGCCTTTGTTTCCTTTTTTTTTCCTTTTACCATCACAGCAGGGTGTGCGTGTGCTTCCTGAGAGCTCTGCAGCGCGCTGTCCTGCAGCAGGTTGCTCGAGCAGGCAACCACCTCAGCTTCATTTCAGCATGGTGTTTTTGGGTGACGTGATGCTTCCTAAAGCTCCTCTCCAGCAGGTTTAGCATTGGTGTCTTTTTTTTTTTCTTTTTTTTTCCCTCTCTCTCTCTCTCTGGTGGGTGTCAGCTTTGCTCTCTTCTTGTTTTGGAGATACCCTGGTGGTGAATCTTACTAGCACCAGATGTTAAAAGACAGAGGATTGCTCGTGTTTTTCTTGGCACAACGTACTCCCACTGCACCCTGCTTAATATTATCTGAACAGTAATCTGATGATTAGGAGAGATAGTGGAATAAAGCTTTCTGTAGATGATCTCTTTTCATCTCTTCAACTGACTTTTAGAGCCACTGCATTAAAGGATTGGTTTGATGAGGAATTCATTGCTCCGGAGGGCAATTATCGGTTTTGCTCCCAATGTTTCTCAGATGGGAAGGAGTAAAAGCATCTCCTGTTGTAATCTCCTTTATCCTTCAGCGTAGCTTTGAAGACGGGATCCAGTCACCTCTCCCTGGGAGCTGTGTGTTCTGGAACAGACTTGACACAGGAGCTGTTAAATTACAGGGCTGGAGCAAGCGGCATCTTAATTTTGGATCCTGTGGAAAATCCCAGAAAAGCAACCATCCCCAGCGTACTTCTCTCTGTTGAGACGCTTCCAGCGTGCTCGCAGTCCTGGTTTCTGTATGGCTTCACATCCTTTCAGCCACCCAAGCGCCTTCCAGGTGCACAGGTGTCACTAAGTGCTAAACCCAGGCTCTCCCCGCTGCCCAGCAGAAGCTGGGTTCCTGCAGACAAACACCACTGCCCACCTCCCCTGCCCGGCTGCTGCTGGTGTCAGGACTCTCCTTGCCATGATAAAGCCGCCTGCCAGCCCAGGCAGCAGGTTCCTGCAGGAATGGGGGGATGATAAATTAACGCTCCCTCTGCTGGGGTTCGCCTCTCGCCCGTTGTTGGAATTGCCTTGTGCTGTCACTGCTGAGCTGCTGCTGATCTAATTTCTTTTTCTTTTGTCTGTCTCCTTCCTTTTCCCATCCTCCTTGTTTGTGTGTCGTCCATCTCCGCGTCCTGTAGTACAAGTCCGTGTTTAGGTCCTACTCCCAGGACTTTGTGCCTCACAACCAAGTCTCCATCCCTCCTTTCCTGTCTTCTACCTCCTCGTCCTGCTCCACCCCGCCTTTCCCCCCCGTCCACCCGTCTCAGAGCTCTGACCTAGCGGTGCCAGCCACGGCCAGCCAGTCTCCCAGCGCTGGGGATGTGCCAAACTCCTCTTCGCAGGAGAGCAGCTTTAACGGGAATGCTCCTGTCTGCCTTCCTTCTGAAACCTCTTTCACTGATTCTCTCCAGACGGCTTCGGTGAGACTATCCAAAGGGATTGTAATGCACCTTAATGCAAGGCTGGGGGTTGTTTTTGTTTGAAAGAAATGTCGCTTGTATTAATACGTGCTTAAGCTCAATGTGATCTAGCCTGGCTTCCAAACTCGTGTGGGAATGCAGAGAGGTAATTTCATACAGAGATTGCTACAAAAAAAAACAAAACTGAACAACCTCATGGGTTTGAGAAAATGTTAATGCCTGTGCTGGAAACGTAAAATGTCAAATGCTGGTGAAGGGGAGAGGAAGAGAAGTTGCTCTAGCTTCCTGCAATTGTGATACAAGCCAGAGGAAGGTAAAGGGGTGGTGTGAGGTTGGTAGTTTCTGAACACAGGCTCCCAGCAGTGGTTCTGTCCTGCAGCTGCAGGAATTGGTGAGTGCTGTCCTGCTCCCTTCCCCCTGGGGAGCCCCTGGGGCTGTGGGTTTGGTTCAGCTCGTGCTCTCCTGCAGCTTGCTCCAGGCTCCTGCTCTTCCAGCAGCACCGGCTGTGCACGTGGTGGCAAAGTCGGTGCAAAGCATCGCTGTCGGTCGAGTGGGACTAAAGCAGTTCCCTCGGCTGACGGGCTGCTGCCAGTGAGCTCCAAGTCCCAGGCTGTTTTTGCAGGCAGCGGGCAGGTTGCTTCGTTGAGCACCTCGAGTACAGGGCAGCAGTCTCTCCTCTTCACTGCAAAACCCAGAGGTGACGGGATTAGAGCCTGAGCTGTGTGCATGGTGGTGGTGCCTCTTCACAAGGCTTGGAAGAGGGACACAGACGGCAGAAACACTGAGCATTTTTCTACCCTTTGGACCTGACCTCGCTGTTGCATCTTCCTTGCATTGGGTCCTTGCTACAGCCCAGTCGCCCTTGAGCTTGGCTCAGCCTGGCGTGATGGCTGTAGCCTGTGCTGTGAAGCAGTTTTAGGACACTTTTGGCTCTTTGGGGCTGCTCTGCACCTAGCAGCAGGGTGTCAGCAGGGCGGGTGCGTGCGCTCCAGGCTCTGACCGCTCAGCAGCCGCAGCCTTCAGCCCTCGTGCGCGCTTGGCACCTGCGCAGTCCCCTCTTGCCACACAGTGCCTGCTGCAGCTCGGGGCCCTCTGGATGCTCCTGGAGACCCAGAAAACACCAGCTGAGCCAGAGGCAGGGCTTCTGGCTAGGTGGCAGCGGCCTCAAGGCATCGCTCCTCCCAGGCATGGGCACAGGCTGCTCGCTACCAGCTGGCGAGGGGCACCGTCACCTATCTCCTTTCGTCCTGTCTCCCCTAGAGCGAAAACGCCAGCGAGGAGGCTGGTGAGGGTGAATACGTCAATCTGTATTCCTCTGGCCAGAGCAACGGGGAGGTCCCTCACCCTGCAGGAGTAAGTAACCTGGAGAGGGCCACGCACCGGGAAGGGGCCGCCTGGTGCATGCTGAGCTCGTGCTTGGTACCGGCCCCGCGCACCCCGGGGTGCCCTGTCCCCTCGCCGGCTGTCCCTTTGCTTGCCCTCTCCTGGCTTGCTGGCTTTGGTGGCCTCCTGGTTCGGGTGGAGAGCAGGCTGGCAGGATGCCCTGGCAGGATGGAGGGGTGGCTTCTCCTTCCTCCCTCTCTCACCTGCGCTTCGCTGCTTGTTTGGAGCTGCTTGCGTGAGGTTCCCCTTCAGAAAGCTGCGCTCTCACCAGCACGGTCCTGTGTCCGGGCTCACTCCTGTAACCGCTTTGGCTTTCCTGTGTCAATAAATAAAGCCTTCTACTCCTCTTTTTTTTTGTTAATCTTTTACTTCCCCATCTGGGTACGAAGTGCTGGACTGATTTAGGGCTGTTTCTTCCTTTCCTCACGCCTCCTATCTTAGGAATTTCCTAGAGGGGGCAGGGTGTGCTCCACGCCAGGGAGGTGCCATCTTCCTGTTGTGTCAGAGCGAAGGGCGGCAGAGGTCTGTGCTGGTCCCGTGCCCACCCTCGCCTAGGAAGGCACTGCTCCTGCAGGATGTCTCCGAGACCTTTATCTGTGCTGGCGTTACATGGCCGAAGAGATAGGGCTCCCATCACTTCCCTTAGGAGACACAACGAGGCAGGCCCGGCCCTTCGGGCAGTCGTTGTTTGGTCCTGAACTGTGAAAAAGGGCTTTACAGACACGGTCCGGGACAAATCTGCAGCCACTGACACGTCTTACCTCGCTGCTGCGTTTTGCAGGCTGGATCTGAGTGCAGGTGGCTTCAGTCCCGTGTGTTCAGCAGGTTGAGTCTTCAAGTTCCACTCTGCGTGGCGTTAAATGACTCTGACCTCCAGCACCATGAGATCAATGTTCCCATTTGCCATTCATGGCTCTTTTCCTCTTTAAGTGGCTAATTTGAAATGCCACGTTATTTGCTCTCCCAGGCTGGGTTTGGATGGCTCTGCTTCTTGCGTTAGCCTCGTTTCCCAGCCGGGAGTTGTGAAGTGGGAACGTTTTGTCGCTGTGGAAGCTCTTCTGATGGGCACGAGGGGAGCAGGAAGGGCAGTCTGCACTCACCCCCTAATGGTCTGGTCTTTTGGGGCTGGATCTGAGAGGGGAACTGAAACGGGAGCCTGGAGCTGGCTGTGCCCCTTCTGATTGAAGGCAAGGATGAGTGTATCCAACAATAAGGGCTGAAAAAAAAGTGGCGAGAGGGTTAAAATCCAAGACAACAGCTGACTTGTGTTGTAACTTTCAGCATCATTTCACAATGTTAAAAGCAAACAATACTAATTACACTAGTCTCCAGAGATGGTCCCAAATTTCCTGTCTAATTAACTTCTGTGTTTTCCTGGCATTTGGCATTAACTTGCATCAATCTTTAACCGCTCCGTAGGAATTTACAGTAAAGGGCCGTTTAGAGGCAGTAAGACTGTAAATGCAAGCCTAGCAGTGGTGTAGGACCCCAGGCAATAATGAGAAACTCGTTCTCTTTGCAGGAATCTCCCTCCGTCAAAGAAGGCCACTCCAAAGACTCTGGTTCAAACAGCAGTGCCATGGGGAAGGAAGGCAAAGATGGTGCTGAAAGGTAAGCCCAAATCCCACAGAGCACACGCTTCCCAACCTCGGGGTGTACAGAGCATCATCCTTTCTGTCCACCCCCTGGCAATCAGTCCTTGTGGCTGCCCTCCACCATCCCAAAGCCCTCCAGATTTTAAGCCTTTTTTTTTTTTTTTTTCCTACAATGGCTGAGCGGTAGGATGCTATGGCAGGAGGAGGCAGGATATCAGGATCCAGGCGAGGTATCAGTACTTAACTCAGCGAGCCTGCAGGGGTTAATGCAGCCTGTGGTCGTCATCACAAGTCCATCTAATTGGCAGTCCTGTCATAGACGCTGGCTGCTCCCTCCTGCTTCCAGGGAAACGTGCAAAAAAAGTCTGTATTGCTGCTGGGAAATCGTCTTCCAGAAGGGAATTTCTTCCTAACGCTGCTAGTTAGAGGCTGGCTGAGGCCCCAGAGCAGGAGGCTTTATATCCCTTCTAATGCTCTTAGCTATCATTTGTCTATGTAAATGAAGAGGTGCAGGCTGTAACAGATGGGCTTCAGGAGGAGTGGAGCGAGTGCTTCCCTGCTGCTTGAGATTGCTCTTCAATTGCATTTCTAAAGCAAAAATAGAGAACAGCATTGTTTTGTGCGTGATAGTCAACTTCCCTCCCCCATTTTCTTGCAGTTGGGCTCAGGGTTTTAATCCCTGCAGTGAAGGAGACAATGCAGCAGTGCTCCGCAAAGCCCCATGTCAGGGGAGAGCACAGACTGGTGCGCTGGATTCTGACCTGTGCCTGGGGAAAACTGTTCAGGACAGGCACTTTTTTCATTTTTTTTTAGGAATCCAAGCACAAAGAGCACGTGTCCAGGTGTAAGAGTACCTGCCTTTGGGGTAAGAGTACTAGGGTTGTGAATGTACACCAAAAAAGGGGGCAGAGTGCTAAAGCTTCCTGCAGAGAGAGCCTGCCATTTCCCCTTGCAGCAGCACAATGGGCTGTTAGCTGCCTAAAAGGTGTACACAGGCAGAGGATGTTCAGGCTCTCTGCATTTGAGGAAGGGCTTAGGTTTGTGTGCACGAAAAATGTGGTGAATTAAGGAGACGTGGAAGTGTGCACTCATGCAAGGCACAGTAAAATCCTTTCTGCCAGAAATCCAGGCACGCGAGTGTTCAGGTCCTAAAGGTTCGTCTTCTGCTTTTCAAGAGGTGAGCAAAGCAACAGAATTAAAGCTAGACGTTTGGGCTTGTTTGCAAAAGATTTACCTCCAGGCTTTCTGTGTACTTACTGCTGTTAACCAGGGTCTGTGTACTGAGAGCTGCCCAGCATCTCTTCTCTTGGTTGGCGATGGCACTGATGGTTGTTGCCTGTGGTTTTTACAGGCAGCAGCAGTCACCGGATGCTTTGGAATCGTCACAGTTGGAGGAAGAAGTAGATGAGCTCTCCCTTATTGACCACAGTGAAATTATGGCTAGGTTAACGCTGAAGCAAGAGGTAGGTTCCTGCAGGGTGTGCTTCCACACCCCTTGGTTTATATTCCGCTGAGATCTGGTTCTCCATGTGCACAAGCAAGGTATCGGCTTTTATTTGATAGCAAAACCAGGTTGCAGCACAAGTGGTGTGCAGCTTTGTGCATGCAGTGTTGTGAAAGCATGGGATGCTCTCTAAGAACCAGTTCGCCCTGTGCCCTTTCCCCAGCCCGCTCCTTCCCACGTCGTCAGCCTGTTCCAGTCCGAAATGAAGCACAAGTAATCCAGGTGCAGGTTTGTGGCACTGCCCTTTCGGTCCGGAGGCACGTTCAGCAGATTTCCTGAGCAGGACATTATATTACTGACATGCAGGAGCAGCCAAAGCAGTGCTCTGTGCTGCAGAAACAGCTTTGTTTCTAGCCTTGGGTGCGCTCCCAGACAGCTTTGCTCACTCTGCTTTTGAACCAAGCTGCCTTTGACGTGCGGCTTGAGGGAATATGCAAGTTTTTTTGAACCTTTCAGCCTGTCAGGGGGCTAGCTTGAAAAACAGAAAGAATTTATCATTTACTGGCACTTTAGGAGTGGTCTTTGGTGAGCGAAGATGCAGGGGAGAAAGTGAGAAGCCATTAGTCAGTCTGTAAGTAGTAGTTCCTGAATCTTGCCAGAGGGTCACCTGAAAAATTCACATTTTAGACATAGCTGCTCCATGACTGTAAATCCGTGGTTTTTTTTCAGTGTTTTGCATATTGAAATGACAGACCTTTATAAAGAAAGCCTGGCATGACTCCAGTTTTCCCTGCAGGAATATCTCCATTAACTTTTTTTTTTTTAACCTGTGATTTCTGAACGTTTGGGAGTAGCAGCTTTGTGTCAGCCCATACCTTTTTGCTTTATGGTCTATGCATTGAAAACAACACAGAGCCGCTCCTGTGCACCGTCTCCTGCAGTGTGGGAACCCCTGGCCGAGTGACAGATCAGTTTTGCATATTTTCAGTTGTGAACAGCAGTAGCGAAAAGAAAGATGTTGTCAGAAAGTGGTAAGGCAGGGGTCAAGTATTAGCAGAGCTGTTTTCTGCTCCTGCTCGTCAGATTGCTTCAGGTGACCTCCAGCCAAGCAGTTCCAGATCAGGGAGTGAACTCGCTAGGTTGTGATGTTCCAGGAACATGCGAGTTGAACGCACAACCTCTCACCCCACAGCAGCTGTGGTCCGTGATCCTGCACTTTGAGACAGTTCACACAGAGCTACTGCTCCATTAATGGTCTGCTGGGAGCGTTTGGGAGTCTGGGACATTTGGGTTCATTCTTCTGTGGGCAGAAGGTTCAGCATTCGCTGCGCTTCCCAGCCTGGCTTCACAAAGTCAGAGACCCTGAGCGCAGATCAGCCCAGATCCTCATCTGGGACACCAAATGTTTTCCTAAAATTCCCGGATTAGCCCAGCGCTTTAAGACCGTGTCCCGGCTTGCGCTGCGAGCGGTGCCAGGAACATTGCGTGCTCTGCCAGTCAGCACAAAGTTTGAACCCCCGAGGTGGTGAACCAGGCCGAAGGGAGCTTGGACCACGCGTAACGCCTCTCCGCTCTCATTGCAGGGAGATGACGGCCCAGACGTCCGTGGTGGATCTGGAGATATTTTGTTAGTGCACGCGACAGAGACCGACAGGAAAGGTACAGTGGATGCAGCAGAGCAAAGCTGAGGAGTTCAGCCTGGTGTGAGCTCCTGCTGCTGTCGTTCTTCCAAGTCCCTGCAGTGTGAGCAGTGCTGATGTGACTGCCACGGCTGGGCCAGGCTGGGGAGGACTGCAGTGATGATCCCCCAAGTTTTGGGGGGGGTCGTGCTTAGCTGTGGTGAAAAGGAGGTAAGCTGGATGATGGTGTTAAATCCTCACAGCCTTGCCCAGATCTGGGAGGCGAGGAGCAGCGGTGGAGTTGGTGACAGTGCTGCATCAAAGTGAGAGATGGTTTGGGTCTGAAGCAGTGCCCGTGGGATCAGGCAGGCTACCCAGGTGCTACTGACACCCCTCATTTCCCTGCTGCCTCACTGCCTGGTGCAGCTCTGCACTGCTTGCCTGCTGGTGGCCACCCAGACCCATTCAGGGAGGGAATCCACAGTACTTGAAGTGAGACGTGGGGGAGGGAAGCAGGGGGTGGCAACCCCTAGCTATATATTTGTTAAAACCCCTCTATCTCTCCAAACCCAGACACCGCCCACATGAAGCAGCTCCTTCCCGAGCGCTGTGACAAAGACAGCCCTTGCAGCATTTCCAGCGAGTGATTCTGAACCTGCCAAATGCATTTGTGCTGATGGCCTTAACCAGAATTGATCTCCTCATCCCCTGGGATGCAAGGCAGAATGCACTAACCCACTGAGCCACTCAGCTCTCATATTTTAGAGGTTTGATAGTCAAAGGGGAAATATCTTTCATGTGCATTTTTAAATGGCTGCCTTTTTACTGTAGCATAAGGTGTTTTCAATTACTTACCAGCACCATTCAGCTGGCGAGAAAATCCTTCCCCTGGCAGATATATGTCCGTGTTTACGTCAGGCAGCAAATCCAGGCACAAAGGACCAAAGATAGGAGCATATTAGAGAAAAGCAGGCAGTCCATTGCACTGTGTTTAGGTGTGTATATGTAAAAAAATATATGTTGAAATGAGATGGTGGAAATACCCCTTCTGGAAAAGCTGAAACTGAAATAGAGAATCTCTGATTTACTCTTGCTATTCTCCAAAACAAGCATCATACTGGAAGAATTTCCCTCTTAAAGACAGCCACTGGATAAAAGGGTGTGTGTTAGAGCACCGGCTCACGAACGGGGAGCTCACAGCAGGCTGCAAGCAGTGAGGCGAAAGCTCTGGAGAACCTCTCAAGACTGGGGAAAACCAGAGCAGGATTTTAAATACACAGCAGCACGGCCAGGGAGAGCGGATGGGCGGAGGGGGATCTGCGTGCTGCGTGTCTCAGAATAGTCACAGAGCTTAGCCTGACACCCTGTGCCAAGCCGCTGCTCTGAATGGAGCACGGAGGAATTTGTGCTATGCTAACCCAGTGTTTGGGTGACTGCGAGGGTTAATGAATTAAGCTTACAATGAGAAGAATTCAGGGCTTGTAAATCAATCAGCCAAACGGCACAGAGGGGTATAGTTAAGAGGCTTTCCTTTAAAGATGAATTTCTTGGCAGCTTCGAGTGCCAGAGCAGACCAGCTGTATTACCTCACATCGCCTTTTGGGCAGATGGGAACCCAGAATAAACGTAACTCCACGCCCTGCTGCATGATGCTTCTTGTCCTTCTGACTTCTCTAAAGGAGCTAAATGGAATAAGGGATAAAAGGAGAACTTGGGATCTTTACGAGCAAAACCCACGGTCAGTTAAGTGCTCGCAGCCGCGTGCGCTTGCCTCCAGTGCAGGATTACAGCCGGACACAGCCTGGGGCTCACCCCGACGTGACCACCCAGCCTTTAGAGCTGTCCTTAGCCAGGAGCCAGCAGTGCTCTGTGATTTAGGAGCAGGAGGAAGAAGCGTCTCCACGAGGCTGCTGCCAAGAGAAACACCGCAGGTAGAGGAGAGGCACGGCTCTCACACCGATCCCTGCTGCTTCCCACCCTCCCCGCACAAAGGGCTGGTGTTACGGCACAGGGTGTGGGGCGCTCCTCGTCCTGCCCGCAGCCAGCTCTGCGTGTAGGGCCAGGCCCGAGCAGGCACAGCAGGAGCTTTTTCTCCCCTCGGTGCTAACCAGCCTCTGCCAGCAGTTGCAGCGGGCCAGGCAAGGGCAGCGTGCTATCCTGCTGCAGATGCTGACTGCAGCACCGAGAGGTTTAATATTGGGGCTATAAAACTCCCACTTTGACCACTGCTGCCCACGGTGGCCAAGCCTTGCCTAGGCTGTGAGCGTGCTGCAGTCCTGGCCTGAAATCTTTCCCGTTTGTAGTTCCTGCTTTTTCAGATGCCGTCCTCTGTACCAGCAGCCAAAGCTCTGTGGTTCTGGGGCCTGTAGCACTGCTGCAGATCAATAAATAAGTCGGCAGTGTGCACTGTGTCGGTGTTTGTGCCATGGCAGGTCATGGTCAGTTTTTGCAGTGCAATTTATTCTTTTGGCTGAAAATAATTTATATTTACACTCTCCTGGGGCAGGTTTCCTGGAACACAGAGGATCTGCAGCACCATATCATCATATCAAAACACGTAACATATCAAAACATAAAAAAATCTGATCATGAGGGAAACAACCACATTCATTTGCAGGGCTCTCTGCTGCCTGAGCAATAAGGGCACCCGCCTCTCATCTTTAAATTATCCCCAGCATTGTCAGCACATTTTAATTTGCCCTGTTATTAAAAGCTCCTGTCCCACGAGCAGGTGTTTTCCACCAGCCCCTTTGGTGGTCACACAAGCTAGGAAGCAAATGGGAGCGCTGCAGATGGGAGCCAGGCCAGGGGGAACGGGGCAGTGTCACTTCTGCTCTTGTGCCGTAGGGTCCATCTGCTGGTAGGAAACAACAGCACAGCTTCTCTGTGAAGTGAATTCTGCTCAAAACGTGCCCGTGTCTGTGTCCTCTTTCTGCAAGGCTGGATTCAACCTCATATGAAGCTTACTTTTCTGAAAGCACGTTTGACTGAGGCTTCCTTGTCTCTCTCCGCAGATCTGGTGCTGTACTGTGAAGCCTTTCTGACTACGTACAGGACATTCATTACCCCTGAAGAGCTCATCAAGAAGCTGCAGTACAGATATCCTTTTGCATGAAAGGCAGCTTGCCCCAGGGACCATGGCTGAGCAGCATGAGCATCATGGAGGGAGCTGGTGACAAGTTTGGAGGATGCGGTCAGGAATGTGCTTGCCCTGCACCCCCTCCACATCTGCAGCCTGCAGGTGGGAGATGCTGCAGGGCACATCCACTGTGGGGTGGAGCACTGGATCTGAGTGTAGTCACCAGGGGACCCTGGCAGGGGAGAAGAGCAGTTCAGATTTTCCATACGGAACTGGGGAAGAGCTCTTTTGTTTGGGACATCTTGTTTGTAGAATGGGATCGTGTGTTCCTGCCTTCCAGACAGGCAGTGGGGCAGCTGTAGGTTAACACTGCCAAGACACCTTTTCCCTCTTCCTACAAGAAATACAGCACAGGAGACACTGTCCTCTTAGCACCCCAGCTCTGAGCTGAGCTTGTAAGTGCTGACGAGGCCAGGGCTCGTACATGGCAGCAGTGAACAGTTCGTGTTTCTGGCAGGGCATGGGGAAGGCTTCTTGCTGAGCCCCCTGCCTGTGGTTCCTTCCCCTTGGCTCTGTCCTCGTGGCTCCCTTTGCCGTCAGCTGCGTGGCTCAGTGGCTCGGTTCAGGCAGTGCAAAGACCTCGTGGGCTTTGCTCCTGTACGCCCAGGTCAAAGGGAGCCTGACGTCAGCCTGTCCTAAGGCACAGGCTCATCACTGCCATCTGCAGCAGAGCCACTGCTCCCCTGGCTCCTGCTGGGATCGGTGGATCCTGCCAAGGACGCAGCAAAATCTCACTGGAGAGCAGGTGTCAGTGAAAATACTGGCTGGGTCATTCCTGCAGGCCCTTCTTGGTATTTGTCTTACTGGCACCCTGTTTCTCTATGCCTTTGTGCACCTGGTGGAAGCTCTTCCAACCTCTGCTGTCTCCCTCGTGGCTCTTCCCCTCTCAGAAAACTGGGCGATGAGAGAGGCAGAGGAGACATCTGAGAGCTGATATCAGACCAGATGTCTCGGACCAGTGGGGGAGATGACAGCGTAGCAGTGCTGCTCATTAAATTCCACCTTAGAGATTAGAGCCTGAGGGTACACCTGCTCTGCCAGCATCAAGTCCTGCGAGGCCTCAGTACCTCCTCACATCCCTGCTACCTGCAGCTGGGGGCAGATTAATACCGTGCTAATTAGAGCCAGATTGGTGGCCCTTATCTCCTAGAAACCGAACACCAATTTCGGTCAAGACCGAACAGTTTCTGTTCTGATGTTCCTCAAGGCTGTTCATTGTGCTCTGACTGCCGTAAGTTGATTCTTTAATTTGCAACCCACATATGAGAAGTTCTGCCACTTCCCAGACACGTTCAAGAAGCGAGTCAGTAAGAACACCTTCTTCGTGCTGGTGAGAGTGGTGGATGAGCTGTGGTGAGTTGCCTTCTTTGTTTTGGGGTGGGAAATGAATGGTCAGTAAGCCATATAGAAGCCTACCAGTTAAAAAAATATCTCTGTGTGTATGTGTGTGGTTTTAAACCCTATAGATGATGACAGCTGAAATCCCCTACCCTGACCAACAAGATACCTGTAGTATACCCAGGGAACCTTCTTGTTGGGTGTGTCCTGTCTGGGTCAAGGATTTTAAAATAACCCTTGAAAGGGGAATCTCCAAGAAAGGAAGAGCTGGGAAGGGGAGGAATTTCGGTCACTCAGTTCTGCTTGTGGGAAGGAACAAGGAGACTCTGCACAGACACAAATTCTCTAGCTCGGAGCTGTAGCACTGATGCCTTCCATTGGTTTTCCATCTTTCAGCTTGGTGGAGCTGACAGAGGAAATTCTCAAGCTGCTGATGGACCTGGTGTTCCGGCTGGTCTGCAACGGGGAGCTGAGCCTTGCCAGAGTGTTACGCAAAAATATCCTCGATAAAGTAGATCAGAAGAAAATGCTAAGGTTTGCCAATTCCACCAAACCTCTTGCAGCCCGTGGGGTAGCAGCCAGGTGAGGAAGCGTGCACATAACCATATTTTGGTTCTGTCTGAGAGACGAGGTGTCCCTTCGTTGTGGACACAACGTTTATTCTCAGTCCAAAACATAAGAAAGGGAAGAAATCAGGTCACATTTTCTTATCCTTTATTTTTCATCCTTCTCTCCTACAGGCCGGGGACCCTGCATGATTTCCACAGTCACGAGATAGCTGAGCAGCTGACCCTGCTAGACGCTGAACTCTTCTATAAAATCGAGGTACGGAGATAAGGATGGGGTGAGGGCAGAGGGAGGGATTTGAACACAATCTCTGCAATCTCTGGTATTCCCAGCACACCTGCTGCATTGTAGGAGACAGCTGAACTCGTGTCAGCAAAAGACTGCGAGCGGAGGCTGTGACTGGGAATCTTAAGGCAGAAATCCCGTGCTAATGCAGTGGTATTCTCCCACCCCTCTCTTCTTCTTCCTTGGCAGATACCAGAAGTTTTGCTTTGGGCGAAAGAGCAAAATGAAGAGAAGAGCCCCAACCTGACACAGTTCACAGAGCACTTTAATAACATGTCCTACTGGTAAGGAGCTCAGGGCAACCAAGGCATGAACTGTGCTTAGCGTCCAGTGTCCTAGAGTTCAAGACAATGCTTGCAGAGTTGGGTTCCCTTAAGTATACACGTACATGTTTTTGGCCAGGAACTAGATGCCAGGCTCTCGGAGACCCCAGAGCACAAGAGAAACAAGATCATGAGGGTTTTGGAAGGCCCTGTAACTTGAAGGAATTACTGATAGTATTGAGCTCTTCAAACAAACTTTCCCCTTGCAAATGAATGCAGTCTGTGAAGGGTTATTGTTCTCATCCTTGGAATTATTCTGTCTTTGTTGTGAATAGAGTGCTCCATTTAAGTTGGAGATACCATGACCTTTTTAATATTGTTGGTCCTTCCTCATTAGCTACTGGTTTTGTAAATGAAACAGCAAGAAATCTGAGATCTGCTGAAATAGGTTTATCTTTCTGTTTGTTTTTTTTTTCTGTCTGATTTTCCAGGGTCCGTTCAATAATAATGTTACAAGAGAAAGCCCAAGACCGAGAGAGGCTGCTCCTTAAATTTATAAAGATTATGAAGGTACCAGCTTGTTTCTTGCTATGCATCACACACGCTGTTCATTAAAGGAACAGGCGAGTGGGACATGACAGTTGGTAGAGCTGTTTGATGCTCCAAGCCTTTCCAGATTTCTGGAGTAACTGGTATGTTCTCCTCCTTCACAGCACTTACGAAAGCTGAATAATTTTAATTCCTATCTGGCAATTCTGTCTGCACTGGATTCTGCACCCATCCGAAGGCTGGAGTGGCAGAAACAAACCTCAGAGGTGAGGAGCAGCACGGGCTCTCTTCTTTGGGGGAAAAAAAGCTAACTGTGGTCGCAGTATGAAACAGCTGGGTGGGTTTTAAGAGCTCAGGGACATCCCAGGATGGAGAGACAGTGGATGAATGCTCTCCAGTGGGAAGAGACTAGGAAATTGTCACATAACCCAAATATTCTGTGCTGGCAGCCTGTAGTGCTGCTGGGCTTCCTGACAGCTGCCAAAGTGCCAGCTGCTGTCACAGGCTGCGAGAACACAAATTCGAGTGCTTCCTCCCTGCAAATGGAAGGCTTGGTGAAGCTGCAGGCAACGAAGTTGTGTGTGTGCACTGCAAGGGGCAGGCTGAGCAGATCCACCCGAGGTGTTAACGCCCTGGGGGAGAGGTTACAAGGATGGGTTTGCGGCAGTGACCGGGGCTTTGTGTTCTGCTAGGGCCTGGCTGAGTACTGTACGCTGATCGACAGCTCCTCGTCCTTCCGAGCCTACCGAGCAGCTCTGGCTGATGTGGAGCCTCCCTGCATACCTTACCTGTGAGTTGGTCGTTCCTTTCCTCTGCTCTTCTGCACGCTCAAGTGGTTCCTTCAACAATTTCTCAGCAGCTTCTGCTCAGCTCAGCACTCCTCTTTGCCCTACATGTAAAACAACCCATCAGTGTGCCACGTCAGACCCCTATGCCTGCTCTGAGCAAGGTGTCCCCTAGCAGGGAAGAGTGGGGTGACATCCCTTGGCACGGCTCCTCCTCCTCCTCCACCCCCTGACACTGCGTTCCTGGTACAGGATGGCTGGATTTCTCCAGCCAGTCACCACCAAACATCTCATTCCCTTTTGTAACCATCAAAAAAAGCTCAGACCACCTGCTGCTGTTTCAGGTGCTTCACTCCGTGTCTCAGCTTTCTTTTTGTAAAGGTGATTTGGCTGTGGCAAAGGAAAGACCGAGTGGCTGGATCTTTAGGTGACACCTTTCAACTATAGTTCTTGGGGCTTGTGCACTGTGCAATAAATATTCCAGTGAGGAGAAATGGATCCCACAGCTTCAAGCTGCTTCGTGCTCCTCTGCAACTGCTCTGATTCTGATGACTTAAGAGCTGATAAAATAGGAAGCTTCCTTGTCAAACACAGACTGCTTCGTCGTGTTTCTAGATGAAGGCTTGAAGCCCTTGCCCTTCTCCGTAAGGGCCCTCTGATCTAGAGCTCAGATTTGCTCTGTGTTTATGCCAGTAAAATTTCTAGTCTTGCTTTCTTCCATCATAAAAGTCCTGTAGGAAGATGCTGTGCACATACACAGCTTCTCTCTGTCTGGGGACCCTGGGAGGGATGCAGAGGAGCCGGGGAGGCAGAGGGAGGAGGGAGCACAGACCCTCTTGCTCTCAGCTCTGCGTGTGATGAAAGGTTCTTAGCACCTGAACACCTTCATGTCTGCTGCTGGGAAGACTTTTCCCTCTAGTTTAGAATTGCAATGCTGCCGGCAGCAGCAGGAGGAGGTAGTCAGATGTGGCGCTGCCTGTGGCCAGCTCTCCTGCCCGTGTGTGACAAACACCTCGACTTGTTTGCCTAATCCCTGGCCTGCTGCCCCTTTCTCTCTTTCAGAGGCCTGATTCTGCAGGACCTGACCTTTGTTCATCTGGGAAACCCAGATTACATTGACAGCAAAGTCAACTTCTCTAAGCGCTGGCAGCAGTTTAACATCCTGGACAGCATGAGGTGCTTCCAGCAAGTGTAAGTGCAGTGGGGGGAGCCGGGGGCACTGCTGGGGGTGGAGGCATCGTGATAGAGAAGAAGGGAGACTGGCTCTGGTCGTGGTCTCCTTCCTTCTCCAGGTTAGATAAGGCTACAAAGGTGTGGTGGCATTTTTCTTGGAGTCCCAGCGTAGCAGCATAGTTCCTGCTCTCCCTTTTCACACGACAGTTCCTGCTCCAGGCTGTGCCGTGGCTGGTTCTTCTCCGGGTTGTGAAGGGTTTTCCTAAAGGGCATCTCACAGCAGATCCAACTGCCAGCTTCAGTGCTGGGGGTCTTCATCCCCACTTCAGCAGCGAGCGTGATGGTTTTTCCCTTCTCAGTGGGCTCAGGCCATGCAGAGCGCGGTGCTGGGTCTGTGCTGGAGCCGGGTGGGGGTGGCTCCGGGCTGGGGAGGTCCCCGGCAGCCCCGTGGTTGACTGCAGCCTCTCTCCGTGTCCCGCAGACATTACGACATCAAAAGGAACGACGACATCGTGTCCTTCTTCAACGACTTCAGCGACCACCTGGCGGAAGAGGCCCTGTGGGAACTGTCCCTCAAAATCAAACCTCGGAACATCACGAGGCGGAAAACGGACCGGGAGGAGAAAACCTAGGAGGAGGGGGAGCTGTGCGAGCGAGGAGAATTGCTCGGCAGATGCGCAGAGGGCAGCTATGAGACTGGAGTTCAGTATTTGTACCTGTTACTGGGTGACGCACCCTCCCTCCCGGCTGGCAGCGATCGCTGGGCGTGCGAGCGTCGGGCCGCTGAGGGCAGAGATCAGCCAGCGCTCGCTGCACTCGCCTTCCTCCTCCTCCCGTCCCTCTGTGCCATCAAGCAGCTTTAACCCCGAGGAGAGAGCTCCGTGGAAGGAGGGTCCCAGGCAAAGCGTGTTACAGGTGGTGTTGGGAGAGAGCCGGGCTTTTGGTTTCGTCCGTGGAGGAATCGGCGAGAGCTCGGCGCCCACGGGCCGGTCGCGGCAGCGCAAGCAGCTGTGGCAGGAGAGGTTTTTGAGTCTCGCCCACGCCGCCACCTCGCAACGTGTTTGTCCCTAGGAGCCGAGGATGGAAGAGCCTCCGCTGTCTGCCAGGGGAGCTCTGCTTTCGGAGAGCTTGCTTTTGTTTACAGGGGTCTTCGGTTTACCCCAGATCTCTCTCGCCTCCTTTCTGGGAGGAAGGCACCGGTTGTAGATACAGAAGAGGCACTGAAAACGTGGGCAGGGACCCGCCGTCTCCAGTCATCGTACCCCCCCCTCCTCCTCTTAGATCTCGTTATTTAAACGGTCATCCCTCCGAACCCTGAACCAGAGACTTCCCGAGGTACTGCGGTCCCCCCGTCCGTGGACCCGTATCAGTTAGTGATGGTACTAGCTTTTGCACAGTAAGTTCTGTAGTATACGACTGTAAATATTAGTGTGTAGAATCCAGTGAGGAATTTTTTTTTTTTTGATGCATGTCCGAAAAACCCGTGGGTTTATAGGAAAAGGCAAGAAAAAGTGCAAAACATTATGTATAAAACTCCCACCCCCATGACATCGGCGTTCAAGTACTGGAAGGAAGGAGGCTCGGGGCCGGCTGATGGGGCTGGAGGAGTTGGGGTCCCCTCTGGGGTGGTGACAGCCAGCAGGGACGGAGCCCAGCCCGCTGGCCCCACCGCCTCGCTCCTCTCCTTTCCTCTCCTGTCGTTGCCAATTTTTTTCTTGGGGCTTTCCCCTCCCGGATAGCCCCGGTGCTGAGCTCCCTGCCCCATGCTCTGGAAACAGCCCCAGCCAGGCCCTGTCCCCAGCCCTGCCCGGCACAGGAGAGGGGTGAGCACTGCCCGCCCAGCGTGACCCGTCTGTCTGTCTGTCCGTCTGTCCGGTGTGCCTTATTCAGCCCCTCCCTGTCCCCTCCTGTCCCCTCCGTCCCCTCTCCCAGGGTGTCCTTGCCAGTGCAGCCCCAGCTGGGCCCTTTCCCCTCCCTCCTTTCTGTCCTCATTCAGTTGTTTACAGGGTGGGTCGTGGTTTTGAGCATATGCTGTAGATTTTATCAGCCTTGCAAGGCCTTTTTCAGACCCATGGCACATGGTCACAGGTTTTTAAGCCTTCGTCCCACAAAATCCTGCAGTTTTAGAGCAGTGGCTCGTACAGGATGTTTTGCAGAGCATCCTTGATTTGTTTCTCAATAGCAGGTCAATGTTTGCTAAGCCTCTGTTTATTCTGGGTGAATCAGAGGTGCGAGCACTTCCTCCTACAGATTGCAAAGCCTTTGCGGCTCCCTGGACGTGTTGGCTCCAGCTGCCAGCCTGCAGCAGGGCGCGCCGGTGGCGTTACCCCATCCTCAGGACTGTGTCCAGCTCGATCACGTCCCAGAAGCTGCAGGCAGCGGGCTCCCAGCACCTCGCCCCACGCTGCCCAAGCTGCTGCAGTGGCCTCCAAGACGCCCATGGTGGGATCCAAACCGAGACACCTGCATCGACAGCGGCAGCCCCGTGAGAGCAAGACACGGCGCGGTGAAGCACCACGTCCAGTTCGTGCGTCCGCATCGGCTTTGCAGTCTGGTTTTGAGAGCAAAGCAAAATTCTCGAGCGTTTCCCCCGCCCTCCCCTTCGTGCCCTCGCAGTCCCCAGAGCAGGAGGAGCAGGGCTCTCGCTGTGCCAAACACGACACCTGAGTCAGAACACTTCAAAAGCTTTTTATTTTGTTTTATGGCACTACCAGCCCTGGAGCTGCACGCCACGTCTGGTCAAGGCTTTGCAACCCCTGAAGGCTTCGCAGCCTTGGAAGCAGGAAGTAGTACTTTGGTTTTGCTTTGTAAATAAGATTTTAAAAAAAAACAACCTGACGAGACTGTGAAAAGGCAAAATCCGATCTCTGGCTGGCACAGGGCTCTGCTGGCTCTGAACACGTCACTACCACCGCTGTGTGCTGTAGCATAGGCTGTTCCTAGGAGTATTGTGTGTGGTGATAGCACTAAAACACACCCCATCAGGTTCAGTTCCCCGCGTGCCGAGGCGCAGCGTGGCGTGGGCTCGATGCCCCTGCTGCCGAGGGAGCTGCTCCCCTTCCCCTGGCCGTGTGTGAGCTGCTTTCAGTTCTCCCCCTGCGTGCGGAGCCCAGAGCCCCCCGCTCCCAGCCAGCCCCCGGCAGCAGGGGCTCGGCTCACGGCGTGGGGCCGGGAGGCACGAGACGGGCACGGCCGCAGCTGCTTGGCCAGCGAAAAGTGCCGAGCGTGGCCACGGCTGGTGCAGCTGCGAGCCCCTCGCCTCCCTCGGGGGGCAGCGGGGGTCTCGGGCTCCTCGCTGGGCAGGGAGGGGGAGAAGCGGTGCCCAGTGCCCCTGCGCTGCCCCCAGCCTCTCCCCCCACCCCCAGCTGTTGGGCTGTATTATAGATTTCCCACTAACCCGGTCCTGATGGTGGCATCTTCCCGCAGACATTTCAAACCTGTAACTTTTATATTAAAGACAAATAAACACCAGTAACGAACCCGCCTAACGATCCTGTTTACAGTGCATGCAGCAGTCTGTGGATTAAAGTGACAATCAAATCCGCTTCTCGAGCTGGTGTGGCCTCATGTTTTCTCATGTCCCCCCCAGGTTTTCCCCTGCTGTTGGCCCTTTTTGCTTTTAAGTTTCCCCTGTCGATCACTTCCTTACCTCCCAGCAAGCTCCTGTTACCCCAGTAAAAGCCCCTGGCACAGCCCAGGGACCTCGGGGGGACGTCTGGCTCCCTCTGGGCACCGATGTGCCCGCTGTTGGGGCCAGGGGGCTCCTTTCCCCGCAACGCGTGGCACAGCCCCGCCAGCACAGCGGCCTCGCGCCGACTGCCCATGGCTATAAATAATCCCTGCGGCTGCCTGGGCGGCCCCCACACACAGCTCCCGCGCTATTTCAGACCTGGACGGGGTTCAAAATTCCTCTGGAAATAATCGGCATCCGCTGGCTTGGGAGGAGGATGCCCAGACACCGAGCGAGCCCGCAACGCCGGCTCCTCACAGCGGTCCCAGCTGCACCTGCGGGGGCTGCAGGCTGCGTGCCCCCGGCCAGGTTTTGGGGCCCCCATTCCCAGCAGCATCACACCGTGACCCCAAATTCTCCAGTTTTGTGATTAGCAGCAGCTTGGGAGCTGCTGCGCTCGCTCCCAGCCCAGGTGGCCCCCCAGGAACGGTGGTGGTGGTCTGGGGGCTCCTGCTCTGAGCAGCTCCTGGCAGCCTCCCCCCTGCCTGGCTCAGGGAGTGGCTGCTTCTGGGGGAAATCCCAGGTTGGGCGCTCACAGGAGGGTTTGTGCTAAATTTTGTGGACAAAAGCCATGGTGAAGGGTCCGTGGTGTGCACAGAAAACAGAAGCTCTGGCTGTGCCTGTATTTTATTTAAAACTGGAAGCAGCAAAAAGGAAACAGCATAGTTATGTGTGCAGAATGATCATTAAAGCTAAAATACCTATTTTTATATTTTCTCACATTATTAATTACTGGGAGGGGGAAGGTGCACTTGGACGCCCAGAGCAGCAGCTGCCTGTGCAGAGCAGTCGCACGCTTTGGCCTTTCGTTAACTTCTTGGCCATTTACTCCATTTCCAGCCCCAAACCTGCGAGGTGCTCCCCCTGCCAAGCAGCCAGCGTGCCTCCTGCTGCGTCCCTGAGCTCCACTGCCGGGTATTTTGCTCCTCCAAGGGACAGTCCCGGCAGCTGGACTAAATAACCTGCTGCAGAACCAGATCCTGTGGTGCAGCGGGGCCAGAGCAGCTCCTCGCCAGCTCAGGCAGGGCTCAGCGCCAGCATCGCCTTGCTCCGCGTCCGTCCTGCCTGGGCTGTGGCTCCTGGGCAGCCAGCGAGCTACCTGTGCTACCTCAGCAGGGCGATTCCTGATGGTGCCCGGTTCTCACCTTCCTCCCGGTGCTCACCCTCCTCCCGCAGCAGCCCCGGCAATGCCACACGGGCACCGCGGCCGCTCTGCCCACCCGGAGCCCCCCAGGCTGCAAGGAGCCCCCCGCACGCTCCGTGCCGCTGGGGCTCGGGGCCCTGTCATAGGTAGAGGGCCACCAGGACGTAGATGACCCAGCTGAAGGAGGCGAAGAGGCCGAAGAGCAGGCTGAAGAGCACCAGCGACTGCGCCTTCTTGGACGCCGCCTTGGCCTGAGCCAGGTCCCCGCGGCTCAGCGCGGCGCGGGTCTGGCACAGGGGGGAAGAAGGAAGCGAGAGGGTCAGCGGAGCCCTGGCAGGGATGAAGGACGGGTTTGGGGTGAGCCAGCCCCACGCCACCCTTACCTCGTGGGAGTAGACGAGCGCCACGACGCCGGTCAGCAGGCAGCAGAAGACGGTCACCAGCACCGACTCCACCAGGTAGTCCTTGGGCGGCCGCTGGCTGGAAGCAGGAGGCACGGGGCCGGGGCGCAGCTCGAACTGGAAGGCAAAATGGGGGGCGTCAAGGGAGGGTGGGGGGGCACCCACCGGGCTCAGGACCCCCTGAGGGGGGTTGGGGGGGGCCGGGACCCGGCCACGTACGGGGCTGAAGGGCGGGGGAGCGCCGGGCTGCGGGCAGGGCTGGAAGGCGCTGGAGGGCGGCGGGGCGAAGGGCGGGCAGAGCAGGTGGGCGCTGCGGGGGTCGGGCGGCGAGTAGGGCGGCGGCTCCCCCTCCAGGGGACCACCAGCACCGAGCACCGCCACAGCCACCACCCGCGGGCCCCGCTCCGCTCCCTCAGGGACCCCGGCCCCGGCCGCCTCCATGCGGGGGGCGCTGAGGGGGCACCGCGGGCGGCCCCGGGCCCGCACCTGGAGGCAGCCGGGGCCCGCCCCGCGATGGGGCCCCGCCGGCGTTAATCATTGACCGGGCTGGGAGCGAGCACGGGGCTGGCAGCGGGGCCGCCCCCCCCCCGTGGGCTGCCCCGCGCCCCCCTCCTGCTGCTCCCTTTGGGGCCGTGCACGCGCCCCCATGCCGTGCACGCCCCCCCCCAGTTCCCCCCCACACACCCTCCGCGGACTACATCTCCCGGCGTGCCCCACGCCCCGTGTCCCCCCCCCTTCCCTCCTTGTCCCCCCCCCTCCCCGTGATGGCGTCCGCCGGTGGCGGCCCCGGCTCTGGGCCCTGTGGTGGCAGCGCGGAGCCGGAGCGGCCGCAGCCGAGGCCGTTCCTCATCGGCGTCAGCGGCGGCACCGCCAGCGGCAAGGTGAGAGCCGGGGGGAGGTTGGGGGGGGGGGGTTATGGAGGCTCCCCTCAGGTCCCCCCCAGCCTCAAGCCGCCCGTCTCAGTCCACAGTGTGCGAGAAGATCATGGAGCTGCTGGGGCAGAACGAGGTGGAGCAGCGGCAGCGCCAGGTGGTGATCCTCAGCCAGGACCGCTTCTACAAGGCGCTGAGCGCCGAGCAGAAGGCCAAGGCGCTCAAGGGGCAGTACAACTTCGACCACCCCGGTGAGCTCTGTTGTGGGGTCCGGGGGGGGTTTTGGGGTGGGTCAGGGGCGTTTGGGGGTCGGGGTTGTGTTGTAAGCGCAGCCCCGCCGCCTCCTCCCTGCCCCTGAGCATCGGTTCCCAAAGGGAGTGGGGTGGCTTGGGGGTCAGTGAGGAGTGCTGGAGGGGTGGGAGGGCACAGAAGGGGCTTTTCCCTCCCCAAAACATGGGGTTGTGTTTCCAGTGTCCCTGCCAGTCTCATGAAACCTTGGAGGTTGCTGCAGGCAGTGCCTGCCCCATGCCCGGAGCGATGTCAGGGAGGTGGAGGGCACCCAGGCCTGCTCGGTGCTCTCACCGCCTCGTCTGTGGCTGTGGAAAGGCTCTGTAATAAACCACAGCGACTCCCAAATTCTTTCCTGGTATTTCTCGTCCACATAAAGAACTGCTCTCCTTGCTCTGGGGCACACTGCTAATTGCAAGTGAAACGATGATCTGCCCTTGGCTGAAGTTTAGTGCCTGCTAGAAAGAGGGTGGATAACGCTGGAAAAGTGTTACAAATGTCTGAGGTTTTGTAAACAATTTTCAGCTAACAGGGGTGCACAAAATCATGCAATTACCGAGTAAAACTGCACAATTAGCAACTTTACATTTGGATTTTTAAACTAATTGTATTGTTGTTCCTTAAGAACAGCAAATTCTCTCTTCCTCATTTCTGAAACCAAATATAACGATTGTAATTTGGGTGGGGGTGTCAGCCTGCTGCTGGTAGGGCAGAATAAGCCGTGAGTTCCTTTTTTCCTAGTGTGACTGGACAGCGCGCTTTTCCTACAGGTCTAGGGAATCTGAGCAGAGCACTTGATATAGCTGCATCTGAAGTTCTTCCTCTTTTAAACCTTCCTCTTGCAGATGCTTTTGATAATGATTTGATGCACACAACCCTGAAAAATATTGTGGAGGGGAAGACAGTCGAGGTACCCACCTACGACTTCGTGACCCATTCTAGGTAGGTGCCAGTTCTGTGTACTCTGGCTGGTGTTGGTATCCCCAGGCACAGCGGGGACAGACTGCTCCGTGTGGTGCAGGCCCCACGTAACAGCGTGCTCTGGGTATTTCTTTCACGGCAGGCTGGCGGAGACGACTGTGGTTTATCCTGCTGACGTCGTTCTCTTTGAGGGGATCCTGGTTTTCTACAACCAAGACATTCGGGACATGTTCCATCTCCGACTCTTTGTGGACACCGATTCCGACTGTCAGGCTGTCCCGCAGAGGTACTGCACTGCTGTCAGTGTTCTGCTGGTGTTCCTCATCCCTCCATGTGCATGTGGCAAAACTCATGTGTTGTTGTTTTTTTTTAATTTTCCTGCTGTAGTTCTGCGAGATATGAAACGGGGGAGGGACCTTGAGCAGATCCTCACCCAGTACACCACGTTCGTCAAACCTGCCTTCGAGGAGTTCTGTTTACCGGTACTGAATGTCTCACTAACCTGTCTGTGATTTCTGTGATTTGTGATTTCTGGGTCGCCTGTGGATTGGCTGCACTGTAGATGCAGCAGCTGTTGCAACACCTTTTGATATTTGCATTTCATGAATGATTTCTATGCTTTGCCCTTTGCCTCATCTATGTCCCTTCTTGTAAGCACCACGGAAATCTCTGGCACCCATGTATGTTTTATTACTGCTTGCCACAACAGCTACTGTAGCATAGGGCCCTTCGACTGGGAAAACTCCCTCTCTGCGTTTATTCTTAAGTCTTGCAGAAAGAAAGAAGAGATGGGTCTTGCATTGTGTGGTGTAACAGGCAGACTTTATAATTCTATAATGGTCCGCCTCTGATTTTCTCCACTGTTCCCTGTTGAGAGTCTGCTGGCCGATTTAGGTGCTCACAGAACCAAATTGATTTGTAAAAACCCTTTGAGGACAAAATCCTGTATGTGGATAAAGTAAGATGGGAAAGAGTAGCTCAGGGGTTTGTAGAAGTACTCATTAGGAATGCAGCCTTTTTGTAAGTAGGAAAAAAATTGCAAAGCAGGGGCCACGTGGATGGTAAAAATCAATGAAATGCCATCAGAGGCAGGAAGGAATTTCACACGTGCACTGGGTACCTTTGGCTTGCAGCAGAGATTTAGCAATGGCTTGTGAAATGCTGATTAGATCCAACTCTTTACAGACTTCAGCCTTGATGTGACAGCACACTCTTCTGAAGTGTAAAAGCAAGTACCCTCCACGCTTGGCCTACTGCTTCTTCATGGTTAATAACTACAAAGATCAAGCCCCTGCCTTAAATCTGCTGTATGGTACCCAGCATAACTTCTAAATTACTGACAGAGAACTTTAACTTACAACACCAGAGCATAAAACCTCCATCTCTGCGCTCAATTTCTGGTTTTAGCAATTTCTTCTTAGAATAAAACTGCCTTTCCCCAGTAACAGTCTCCATCACCCTTGCTGTTTTGCAGACAAAGAAGTATGCAGATGTGATCATCCCCCGAGGAGTTGACAACATGGGTAAGAGGAGTCCAGTTCTCTGCCTGATTTCTCTGGGGAGACCACGTATGGGGCTGGGGAGAGCACAGGGCACACCCCTGCCTTGTTTTCATGCTTTTAAGCATGCAGTGTTTTGCTGGTGGGGAGAGAGCTGCTCAGGAGCCTGACCTGGATTACCAGCTGCTCAGGCTATGGAGGGCTGGAACCAAGTGATAAGGAATTGGGAGATGCAAAACAGGACACCAGTTCTAAAGCTGATGCTGGAATTGCTGGTCCCTGCTGAGCTCTGACCTCACTGCAGAGGGTCGGCATGCCTTCAGTTAAGGGCTGGTTGTTAAAACTTGAGTTGGACGGGGCTGGATGCTCCACATTTTCTAGATAGTTCAGCCAAAAAAGCCTACGCCTGTCCTGTATTTCCCATTCCTCTCTGCAGTTGCCATAAACCTCATCGTGCAGCACATTCAAGACATCCTAAATGGAGACATCTGCAAATGGCAGCGAGGGGCAATGAACGGCCACGGTCGGACCTACAAGCGCCCGTTCCCAGAGCAAGCAGAGAGCAGCAGCGTGCTGGCAGCTGGCAAGCGGTCCCACCTGGAGTCCAGCAGCCGTCCGCACTAACCAGTCACCCCGAAGGATTTGCCTCTGGTCCACACCAGCACTGAAGACAACTTTGGGAAAGAAAGACTTCAACAAAGCGGTTGGTAAAGTGCCCTTTAAATTGTCACAGCAGCAGGAGGGCTGCTGGTGCAAAACTTCTTGCGGAGAGAAGAGGAAGGAGTTGGACTACTGCCCCTCTCCCCTCACAAGTCCCTCCCCTGTCTCCCCGAGATGTCTGATCTGTTCTGTTACTCAGTGAACTGGCTGAAGGCGGTTCTGCCTGCCTTGTTACGTTTTAATTTTCAAAATGGAATCTGTTGCTGAAGCCTCACGTGAAAGGTGAATGCTACCAGGTATTTAGCAAGATACCCCCATTCCCTGATGCTGCTGGTTCTTAGCAGGGAGATCAGCTGCCTAAACAGTCTCTTTTTCCCAGACTAGATCACACCCTCTTAATCCAAACAAGCAGGTGCAGTCCTTACTCTTCTCCACCTTGCTTGGGACCTTGAGTTCTGGCACTGCTCTCCTGCTGGCCAACCTCCTTTGTAACGTGTGGGGGCAGGAAGTCACCTGTAGGGTAATCTCTCTCCCAGGATAAAACAGAGCCAGTCTGGGACAAAGGGAGACTTACAGCTCACTGAGGACAGGCCCGAGAAGTGGTGTGATTCTCATTCCTAAGTGATACCTTCAGGAAAAGCTCCTGAGCCTTGCTGCGCTGTATGCAGAGGTTTCAATTTTTGTACCCTTGAATGTCAGTGAATGTATGAGCTCCAACTGGATTGAGTTGCTCATGGAAACAGAAACGGCCTTGTCAGTATTAGTGTCGTTTGGGGCATTTCTGTAGTGCTGGTTGCAGATTCTGCTGGGCGGAATCCGTCCGCTTCCAGAGCTGGGTGGTAAAATTGGCAAGGGGGAAAGCTGTGAATTGCAAGACCCTCCTTCTGATGGCACAAACAGCTGGCTGGACACGTTTCTACCATCAAGGTGACTAAACTCACAAATGTTCTGGTTTTCTAACAAAACAAACAAACAAAAAAACACCACCACCATTAACATAAACCAGACAAGAAGCTGGTAGTGTAAACACTGTCAGCCAAGTTTCTGAAGTTTACCCCAAGTAAGTGATACTGCAGCAATATAAAGTTTCTGGAAAAAAAAAAATCTGAAATGAAGGCGGGCCATTGAAAATGTCCTTGTTGTATCCTTCTCAAATCTATACGTAGAGTAATTTTAAGAATGGGTTGAGGGGAAAATGTTAGGAAAACTAATTTTTTCATATTTGATTATAGTTTTTTCTAAACCAGAGTCTGGCTGTCTTGTTTGTGGATGTGTTACTTTGGCTAATAAAGAAATGAATCAACAGTGAACAGAAGTGACCATTCTATATAAACGTGTTATTGTGCTACATCTACTACACCAGCAGACAGGTATTAAAAGGAACACCTCTGGAACACCTCTTAGACTCAACAGTTCTTTCTCACATTGACTCAGGATTGTTGTAGTTCAGTATTGGCTGAAGCTTTAGAGAAAAAAAAAAAAATAAGAACTGCTGTCAGCATGTCCTGGTGTTGTCAATGCTGCATGTCAGTAAAGGTTGGTTAGCCAGTGAGCACCACACTTCAGCATTATAAAAATGTAATGCTCAAGAGAAGGCTATTTCCTAATGGCTACTGGGTGCTGTTTAGGTCAAAGTGACAGTTAGAGCATGAGATACTGCACTGAAGCACTAATGATTAGTACAGCTTTTAGTAGTCACTAAATCTTACTTCCAATGACAGGTGTTTGCTCATAACTTCTTCACAGGGAGAAGATCAAGGCAGCCTTGAACAGCAGTTGTTATGGCAGTAACTCTACAGTAAAAAGCACCCTGGTCTGTCTAGGGCTGATGTTCTTGGTCAGTTTTGATCTTGAGTGCAAGAGCCTGCTGCTGCAGCCAAAAAAAGAAAAACCAACGAACAACTGTGGCAACAGTACTGTCTCTCAGTGAATGCATGTCCAGTGCTATTACATATTCCCCATAAAAAGCCTCCCCAGTCCTTAATTTGCACCTTCTGCTCCGTTATGAATTCCCCTGCTGCTGCAAGTTAGGGCGTGGGCCGAGTTACCTGCACCGTTTCACCCTGAACATGTGTACACGTTAGAGCAGGTTTCCTGCATGATTAGTTTACCTTGCTCAGAGTTCTCCCTGTGAGATCTGAGGTGTAACCCTGTAGCTCAGAACTAATACCCTGCTGCTAATTAATAGCAGGCCATAGGCATTAATAAAAGGGCTGCAAGGCCTCTGGATGTATTTGGCTTTGTCTGACTTTGTGGCTTGCCCTGGAACCTTGTTTTAGCTTGTTTAGCTTTCACAGCAATTTTCTAATGCCCAATTTATCTTACTTTTGCTTAACAGTATAAAAATTATGGTCATGCCACATGATTATACATAGAGAAAATTAACATATTCTCTGCAAAATGACCTATTTATAATCTTACCTTAGTTCTTAGAGTAGAGAAATGTATCATCATGCAGCTGAGAGCAAAGGCACTGAAAGTGGGGGCACAGAATATGCTGTAGAGGAATACAGGCATGGTATGGTGCTGAAGAATGTAGCACCTATTACTGATGATTAAAAATGTGAACTTTGGAGCTGGCAAAAACCCGGGAGTAACAAAGAGAATAGGAAAGTACCCAATACGATGAGGAGTGGCTGTTTGTAGGGACTTCTGTTGCAACAATGAATTGCAGACCAAAGTGTATAGGTGGTGGGAAACACACAAAATGGCCCCAAGTGCAACACAGCACAAAACCATCACCATACTCCCAGAAAAGAGGAAAACCCCTTACAATGTACTTTGCCCAGCAAAGGATCTGGGTTACTGATAACTTGCTGTTGACTGAAATCCACACCCTTCAGACCCAGAGGGATGGGGGAAAGAGGGAGCTACTCTTACTATCTGTAAGAGTATTCTTTAATAAAAGATTTTTTTCCTAATTAGATGCAGATTACTAGCAATTATTTGATCAGCCTTTAAAAAAGACTGCAATACTAACAGCAAATTCTTGGCTTTGCATAAAAGGTGTGTTTCCTTGTGCCTGTAACAAGACTGGGAGTGTTACTGTTTTCGGATAAGGATGTTCCAGCTGTCCTTCCAGCGCAAGTCCTTGAGTTCAGCAACAGACAGCGAGGGCTCCCCGTAGGTCACAGGGCTGAATGTGCTGTAGACGAGGTACACTGATGAGAACCAGGCTACGATCAGTGCTCTGAACATGGTCTTGGGAAGCAGCGATCTGGGACGAGAGAAGGAAAGAGCAGTGAAGTTACACCAATGCTAGCTGAATGCTCCGTCCAAAAGGAAGATGTAAATATGGCTTATCTTTTCTAAAGGAAAATGAAAGGGGAAAAAAAAAAACACACACAAAAACTCAAAAACCCACTGCTTTCCTGCAGCAGCTTGCCAAGGTGCCAACCCTGGAGAAAAGACATGCCACTTGTCTATCTGTACAAATAAAATACCTGCAGAGATAATCGCTGAGATGCTGTAATACAATGGGAATCAGGAGAATCTGGAACGTGAGGGCAGGCAAGTAGTGGTACAGGAAAAGTGTCTTCTCCATCAGGAAGAAGGGCAGGTAATTCACAGCCCAGCCTCCAACACAGATCTCCCCAGCTGATACCCACAGCTGCCATGCATCTGCGGGAGACAGGAGAACATCTCTGACTTGGATCATCTCAAAGCACAGGCCCTGGAAATTAAAGTTTCTAAAAGGCCATCCATTTACAATGTGTTTTCTTTTGCCTTGTTTTGTTTTTTAATAGTTTGTGGTAGTATGACTTTTAACTTTACCACACTTAAACTGAAGGGAATGGTTACAATTCTTTTTCCGTGCCTTTATGACATACCCATCAAGACAGAATACTGCCAACATGAAGCAGAATCACAGCATGTCAACAGAATATACCGCCAGAAAGGTCAGCATAAAACTGCCTGGCCACATGGAGGAGATGGAACCTCTGTTGGAAATACTGTATCTAAAATAAATCCCTCCCCATACAGCAAATATTTATTTCTATTATTTTTATATCTAGGCACAAAAGATCTCAGTAGAAAGTAAATCTGATGCCTGGAGCTCTTTTACGTCCAGGGAATGACTCAAATGCTATGCTGGCTTTAGGGGGAAAAAGGGGATGCTTTATACTTTTGTGTGTCCCAAATAAAAATGTCAGAGTTAAAGGGCAGGAAAAGGTAATTGCCAAGCACATAGTTGAAAAAAAAATGTGGTTTTGGGTCTGTTAAAGTTTAATAGATCAAAAGCCACCCCCAGTGGAGTCAGACCTTCAGGAATGTCATAAATTTTTCTCCTTCGTCGTACCAAGTACCACAGGGACAGACACACATAGATCACAGCAGCAACGTTAGCTGAAGCCCAGGTGAGAACGTTCCCAAGGAGATGGATCTGGGCCTGTTGGATAGAAGATGGTCTAAGCCAGAAGAAGGAATATGCTGCAGTTCTTTTAGGTAAGTTCAGATATTACCTACACATACTTGCTAAATTAAACTTCATCTTGTGCCTGGCTAGTAGTCTGATCTTTCCTGGAATGAAGCAAGCAGATAAACTTTGCTGCTTTAAGACTCTTTTGTGAAGTACAGCAGTTAAAATATACTACTGGAGATGAAATCGTCTTCTAAATGGAATTAGTAATGAAAACTATTAAAGTGCAGTTTTCCTTTTTTAAAAAAGTGCAAGATGACATGATTTAATTAAAATAAATCACGGTCATAGTTGTATCACAAGACAAACAAACAAAAAACACGTTCCCACCCCTCAGAAAAAGAATGTTTGCTTTGAAACGTTAAAAATTCTTGGCACAGTACCACCTCCTTGGCTGGAACTGCAACCCTGCTCGCACTCACACATGAACTGAAGTCTGCTTCCTTCACCAGGTTCACATTTTCTCCCACCTCTTGTACTTACACCAGAGGTCGGGTGTAGCCAGTAGGCAATATTTGTATCCATTGTGATCCAGTCAAGAGCAGAGGAGCTGTACTTATGCTCCGTGTCTTCATTTTTCAGTGTGAGTATCTTCCACTAGCAAAAAGTAAACAGAAGGCTTTTGGAATTAGAACGATGACCTAGACAGCAGGCATAGATGAACAACTTCAGATTTAAGATGGTAAGTTCCTAACCTGAGATTGGAGAATTATTTTTCATATTTCTTACTGGATATTTATCCATAAAACTGTTTTATTTGTTCTTATATAATGAACTTTTCTTAGTGAATTTCTGAAATGTTAGTAAGGGGCAGCGAGACTAATGACCTTACACAACACAATGCTGCAGTTCAGCTGCAGAGAACTTAGCATGCCCAACTGCTCTTCCTCCCCCTTTTTTTTTTTTTTTTTACACAGTTCTAACAGTAATGACAGTTGTGCTGTCATCTAATGCCCAAGTGCATTCATAATTTATTTGTTTTTTCGGTGAGGAAGCCAAACTACTCTATCAGCAAGGCAGAACCAAGGAATTCTCAGGTTCAGAGTCTGCAGAAATGCTTTGGTTACTGCAGCAGAATGAAAGGATGAAGGGAATAGGAAGTTCACCTGTAATTCTGTGAACTTTGCCATGAAGCTGAGGTTTTTACTTATGTCCATCTGCGTGGGAGAGTGGAGTTCCACTTCCCTCTCTTTTTGCTCTTGGCCTGGAAGAAAACACTATGTCTCAGAAATAACATAACAGCTAGAAACCGAGAAAGGGGAACACCCATGTGTTATACCCTTAGCTCCTCACACTCCAGGATTTCAGCACTACATCTGGGGGAGCTCTCTGAAGAGACTTGTAAGGATTCTGACATCGGGGTATAATCAAAGCCCACTGAACGGCTGTCTAGACCCACTACTGTGTCTGAGTGTGGACATCCCCATGTCAGTGATCCTGGGAACATCCCCGCTCTGTCTCCAAGGTAATTCCACCAGACTGAGTCCTTCCACCAACGCCCCACTGCAGGAAGCCCTAGCCTTAGTCACAGAAATTAGCTTAGAGAACACGGCTGAGACGTACTTTTCCCGTATCTGTGCTCTTCCACATTCCACACCATGCTCTGGTGGTAGCCTTTGGACAGCTTCTCTCCAACCACCTCTAGCTGCCGGTATCCCCACTCAGGTAAAGATGCTCCACTGAGCTGAAAGTGAAAGATGATTTTAAACTTACAGTCGTGCCAATCTGAACCTCAGGCTGGAAGTTCCTAGGCCCTGACTGAGCAGCTGATCACAGCTAGGAAATATGTGAAGAGTCACCATGCAATACCGTTTGAACAAATGCTACAGCCATAAAGTCAGTGATTCTGGCAAGCTTTGAGAAGAGATTCTTCACTGTTCCATCTGCTGTCACGTACTACACGGACTCAGCCCCAATTTCTGAGGCAATATTTAAGGCTCAGTTGTATACAATGGTCACAGCCTTCTCAGAAGCAGGACAGCTCTGCATGCTGTGAAAGAATGAAGCCATGAGTACACTCACCTGAAACACATGCTGCCCTTTCACCATACTGAGCAAGTTTATTGTTTTCTTTATTTGTTTTATGTGGTTTAGGCATTTTGGAGGAGTGTGATCAGTACTTTATGAGATTAGGAATTGCATGGAGGAAAAGCTGTAGGCAAATAAATATAAATCCACTTACCTTTAGCACTGCAGAGGTGTTCACATGAACAAACCTCACTTCTGACAGAATTGTCTTCCACACATCTGTGTCAGACTCCCGATTTACAATTTCCTATGACAGTGAGATGACTTCTGATTAGTATTTTGTCTCAGCTGTTTCTGCTGGAGAACGATGAGCTCCTCCCTTCCCTTTGACTACTCACCACTCTCCAGAGGTTCTGTGCTGGCATGGAGACGTTATAATCAATATAGCAGGAAACTTCTTGGGAGTGGGGGCTAAGAGGGGCAGCAACATCATGCCTGTAAGACAAGAAAAATCAGCATTCACAGATCCTCCAGCACTATTTTCCAAACCTGTTAAAAATAAATTGACCCATAAAGGTAGTGGATTGGCTTAGAGCAGATTCAGTAGTAAAGCAAATAACCCAAGTGAGCCATTCACACAGACTGCACTGTTTACGCGGAAGGAGAACACTCCCTGCTGCTGAGAGCTGCCAGCAGCAGGCACAGAGGAAGCCAATGCAGACAACTGCCATCCTGGGCTGAAGAACAAGCACCGATTGTGACAAACAGAGATGCTGTTCACTTGGGTTTCCAAAAATTAACAGACTAGGTTTGGAAGGGGCATAGCAAAAGCCCAAGCTCAGGATGCCCCCCTTCCTGGTGTGCATGATATTCAAGTACAGGCTGACTCCCTCTGGGCAGCAGTCAGGGCACCATTTCATGCTGCAGCCTCTGCAAAACAGCCAAGAATCTGTGCCAATGAGCCACAGCACAATGAATTCCTGCACATACACATCCTCCTGACTTTCAGAGTGCACCCTATGTGCAGGTGGATGCCACCAAAGTCAGTGGAGCCATTACATGACTTTGCGTTAACAGTCACCCAAAATACTGCCTATTTTGGAGAGGAGGCAGTGAAGGAGGAGAGATGATGGCTCCCCAAGGGCACTCTGTATTTAGAAACCTGAGAATTATCACAAATCGTCAATGAGACTGAATCCACCATTAGCCCTTCTAAAGGCCACCAGTACAGAAGACCAGAAACAGCAAGCAGGCACTGAACGGGGAGTGTTCAGTGACACACACAATTGACTTGACAATCCAATTGTCAAATTAACTGCAGAAAAATAAATAAAGCACAGGGCATCGTTTCCCTGGGGCCCAGGGACTGCCTGTCTAAGTAACCATGTGAGGACCTTCCTAACCCCACCATTTTCAGAATCCACAAATAACAAGGGTGTGTGCAGCGTATCTGAATGCAAGGGTCACTGCACTTCACCCCTGAGCAGTTATTCTGAGACACAACAAAGCAGAACAAGCCACAGGTTTTGGAAGAGCAAAGGATAAGGGAAGGACTCACGTGTTGAGGTACCGAGTCGTGATGCCGTGGACCAGCTGCACGATGTGTCCGTGCCGGACAGGACGGGGTGGGTTACTCACCACCAGCTGCTGCCTGGTGGAGTGACACACAAGAGGAAGTGGTCATGTTCTTCTAAATAATGCAACCTTGTCATGAACAAACCATTAGGTCAAGATGCTGCAGATAGGGACTGACATTCGGGCAGCAAGATGGGAAATCCAGACAATTTGTAGATTGTACCAGAATGGAAAGAAAGCTCATCGTGGCAAAGGCAAGTTAAGGGCAGAATGACTCAGGGGATCAGTGCTGGGATACCGACACCCCAGCCATTCTGTCAGTGGTCAGTCAGGAGCAACTTCAGATTATTCCCACCCAACAGCTGTTTGGTGGCCTCAGTGAGGTCTGACAGGTGTTCTTACTACAGCTGATGGCACTTTTGGCAGGATCACAAGACAGATCAATGACTGCCATTTCCACCATGGAGACCAAGCTCTCATCTTGCTTCTGGACAGGGCTAGTGCATGTTTTGTCCAGGGGGAACACTGCAGTTCACCTAACTGCTGCCTACGCTTTGTTGTTCTATAGAAGAACTTCGCATCCTCCAAGGTTCATGGGAGTCCAGAGCTTGAAGCTAAGAAGATACTGGGTTTCTGTGGATCTCACAAGGAGTCTTGGAGAGTCCCCACATGAAAGGTTTGCATTACGGACAAACTTCCCCAGTGTGGGTATGATTTATAATGGCCTTTTGGTGGGACTGTTTATACAGTTTCTCATAAGAAACCTACAAAAGCAACTTTTTCATCAGTATAAAATGATATCACACAAGGGCTTTTACTGGCAGAACCGCAAGAACAAAGAGTCCTGCTCCTCGCTGACAGTGACAATGCCAAAACACTTTAGCACAAACCAAGCCCTCTCAGGCACAGACACCCACTTGGAATCTGTCCTGATGTGGCAGACTCTACAGCTTATCTCACACTTTCACTACAAAGAAATACTGAATCTGCAAAAGTGATTTCTCTTGTCTTCTGAGACCCATTCAAGTTTGATGAAATTCATCAAAACACTCTACTGCCATGGCTCCCACACTTCAAAAAGCCGAACTTCACTTTCATGCAAAGCACCTAAAGAGTTCCATCAGCCTCATGACTCTTTAAAGTTCCCCTTGTGCACAGCACAGCCCATGTTCTGGCAGATGCAGTTCAGACAGAATTTCTGAGTCCTCAATAATGCTTCTAATGTATTGAGAACTGTGCAAATAGGCACCCTTACCAACTCTGCAGCTGACATTACTTGTTCATGATCACAAATGGCCTGTAAATCCATACACAGAGAATACTAACGTCCAGTCCAACCTGTGCCCTATTTAGGTTTTGGAAGTGCATTGAAGCTATGCTTACAGCAGCTTGGCATTTAAATATTTTGCATACTCACATTCCAGGATCTTTGACAATCCACCAGTTGTTCACATCCTTGAAGGGATAGCAGGTCACCTGCTGTTGATGGGAACTGCCTCGGCCATTCTCATACCTTTACAGAAGATTTAAAAAAAAAAACACACGTGTGTAGCAGTACGTTTCTGTGCTCAACAGTCACTGCAACACAAACCAGCACCAGATCACTGGTTCCATTCCTACACAGCACAGAGAATCTGTGCATTTCCAGTGTTCTCTGAAGGTTTAAGGAAGCCATTTGCAGGACCCAAACTGAGATACCTGCACTGTCAGATGAAGAACCATACTTTCACCCTAACAGTACAGAACCAACCACATTTCTCACCTGATGGGGTAAGTATTCGTGTGAGAATGGAGCCAACACTGCATGGGCTTGCCCAACACATTCCGGAGAGTGATCTGAGAGCCATAGGCCACCTCTAAGGGCTGACCCTGAGTGATTCGAGCCAGCCCACCCTGAGAAGCATAATGAAAGGGTAAGTGGAAAGAAGCAGAAACAACCCAGAGGCTGCATAAATTCTATTAAGAGTCACTTTTTACTTTAACATAGTTGTATCTTAGTATAATGCCTTCTCATCTGGTGTTATCTAGGAAAATCAATTCTTGAAGCACCGTACTCACCAGAAAGCAAACACATCAAAGCAAGTAACCCCTACAGGGTCTTTGGAAATATCCCTAAAGCCATACTATTTTAAGAGACAGACTAAACACTCTTCTACTCAAAATCATACAATCCTCCTTTAGTTTATAAAGTCATCACTTAAGAGTTCAGCACTGTATCTACTTCTGTGGAGTTTCCTGTAGGAAAGGACAAACCTACAGCAGAAGACTGGACGTATTGCTCTTGGTTCACTGGAAAAAGCTTTCATCTGCTATTAGGATTTCAGTCGTCATTGCTTCAACTTAAAGCAAGTACTAGAGCAGCAGTAAAATGACATAAAAGGAATAAATGTGCAGGATTACAGGAACGAGAATGCAGACCTTTCTTATAAACGTGAACAAGACAGATCATCCTCCCATCTCCCCTAAAATTTAGTTTCACGACCACGGTTCATTTACCTCTAAGCTGGCTTGGAAAGCACTTGTCATAATCTGGTCATGAGGCCCAGAGCGATACAGCAAAGTCAAGTGAACATAGAAGAAGGACAGGTACATTGCCATGGGGATGATGATGAGGGCCAGTCCCCTAGCTAGAAAATGGCACAGTAAGGAAACCTAAAAAGAACACAGAGAACTCACTAGTTTCATGCTCCACATATTAAAAATCCTAAAAATGCCAGTGCATTTGGTTTGTTTTGTTTGCCTTTTTTTAAGTTTCCCTAACCACCCTCCTTCAGCTGTAACTCTGAGGACAGCTGGATAACTTCAGCTGAGGATTTGAACTGGAGCCAGCAGGAGGTCTGTGAAACACTACAGGTTTTGAGTGAAAAATCACCAAGAGGTGGATAAAAGCAGAAAAGCCAGTCATATATATATATGTTTTTCTTAAACTTAACTCCATCTTCTCCAGCAACTGAGCTGGAGAACTGTTTTATGGCATGAGGGTTTGCAGGCCATGACAAAGAACGTTGGCGCAAAAAACAGCTACAGAGAGCATCGTTATCTGAGGGCTTGCAGGGCATCCAGCTGACTCCTGTTCTGAAAAGTTACACACAATATATTTTGCATGTTGCACCACCTACGTTTGACAAGTTCTGGTTTCCTAACATGTGCCAGAAGTGGAGTCCTGCGATGGCCAAGAGCAGCATATAGGTAAACAGGCCCATATATTTCACTCTGAAACGAGAGCGCATAAAAACTGAACAGGGTTAAAAACTACACAGATTTACTACTATTAACGCATGATGTAAACATTCAAACTTTCTCTTGGAACGGATGCATTTAAGTCCAAAGGCTTAGATTCAAGATAAGTGTGGTACAACAACATAAATAAGCTTCAAGGCTTTAACACCAGATGATGTCATTTATTTGCTCATTGCATTAAATAACTGCAGTGACAGAGAAACCTCTTGATAACAAGGTGGCAGATCACAAAGCACAGGGTCTATAAATTCTGACTTACTGAAGCTTCAGGTAACGATGAGGGAGAGGTGAAATGCTGATGCTTACTTGAAACATAAAGCTATCTCCAAGAAACATGTTTTGCTCTTTCCTGAACCTTCTTATGCCCAGTATTGCTCACTGTGAATTGACATCCTCTCTATAGAAACAGTCTAACTTGTAAAAAGTCATAAAGAGGTCCACTCAGAAAAGCACCAAGAAAGAATCTGGAAAATCTGAAGCCCCACCAATACCTCAGATAGGAGGCAGGAAAGCAGGCAGGACAGACAGACATGCCGTCACTTACCCAACTGCACAAGAACAAGCCACTCCAGTCAACAGAAGCCAAACCCACCAACTTGCAGAGAAGGAACTTAAATAAAAGAACAAAGAAAACAACTGTTACGGCAGTATCTGGGCACATTCTTAGGATCCTGAATTTAGGTAATTTGACTTGAAAAAAGCTCCTCTATTCCTTACTCAGAGGTATCTCATTCTGAACCTCCCAAGCCACAAACTCTCAGCCCTGCCCTACAGGATGTTTTCAAATGTACCTCTCTGTATTTTGAAAAGCAACACTGAACACTACCTGCCTTCTGATACTAAAAATAGAAGAAATGCATTAAGTCACTTGCTGGCCTCTGCTTACAGAAGGATTTTATTTCACTAAAGATTACTTTAGTTTAACCTCTGCAAGGATCAGAGAATGAGTGAAATCACAAGAAGAGACAAGGATCTCTAGATTCAGTGCCTGTAATTGGTAACAAAAGGAGCATAAATAACCTATTATCCTCAGTGTTTCTGTGGGTAGAAGGAAACTTTACAATATAAGATCTGGGTGGGCAAAGGAGCGCTCCCAGGGGATTTAACTGGATGCTACCAGTTAAAACTGTCACAGTCTGTAACAGAGTCATCACAGGATTACCCAGAATGATGGGAGGCAATCAACCTTTACCTGTGCCTTTGCAAATTGTAGAACTTCAGGTAGGACAAAACCGCAAGTAGGATAAAAAAAATCAATATGGATTCCAGGAGCATGAACCTTGACTGAGTGATCAAAGAGTTCTCTGTTGGAAAAGAAACAGACAAAATTAGAGAAACTTATCTGTAGGCAAGCGCCAGGTCAGACAATAACATCATTATGCTTGGACCTGCCCCTTCAAGGACAGCCAATTTATATGCAATTCTACTGGCTATAACAGGGAGGTGTTGGGTTAAAAGAATAAAAACCTTCCAGCAGGAGCAAAGTACGTGGCCAATAACTGTCTCCAAAGACAAAGTGATGGACAAGTAGCAGAGTCTGTCATGAGGCAGATAAAGCTGCTGTGCTTGCCTACAAAGGCAAAGAAGATCAATGCTGGGAGATCCAGACACGTGCTTCTCATGGCAGCAAGAGTAGAGGCAGCGACCCAAGCAGGCATGATGACAAATCTTTAAGAAAAGGAGCTGCAAGGAACTGCTTTGTGCAGGATTCCCCAAACCAGAACCAGAGCAGCAGTTAGCTAGAAGTCTCTCCTAGTTCCTCCAGAGCACTAAAGGGCTGATGAAAGGCTCCTTCCCTTTCAGGCATCTTCCAGCAAAATCTCAGAAAAAAAAAAAAAAAAAAAAACAACAACCAAGATGCACACACACCAGAACAGTGTCAAATGACGGTGCAAAGGCCACAAGCAGTTTGGAGACGAAGAAATTTGATGAGCTCCAACTGTAAGTGAGGTCATCCTGCTGTTATAAACCAGTAAACCTCTAAGGATCAGAGTACAGGACTCCTTGGATGCAAGAAATGTGGGTTCTGCGAGGCTGTTAAGGCTGCCCACTTTGCTCAAATATGAAGGGAACTAACAGTATCTTGTAGAAAGTCTCAGCCCAGAACGGCAGCCACAGAGCTATAAGGATGAGAGAGGCACAGCAGGGACTGACACAGGTCAGGACCATTCTCCCCCTGTACGAAGAGCGGGGTTCCAGGGAATAAACTTACCCAAGAGAATCAGCAGAGCACCTCCAAGCGCGGCACAGTGGGAGAACTGCAGTTCTACCAAGATCTGGTATGCTAAAGGGATACAGAGAGCACCAGCCAGCGCCGGCAGGAGTCGCAAGGACCAAACGGGAACGTTCATGCTATATTCTGAAATCAGAGATAGCAGTTACACACACAGATTTGGAAGATATTAATTGCAGAAAAGCCTGATCAGTACAGAACTCCTTACGACTTTAACTACATTAAACAAGTTGAATTTAATTTCTACTTTTAGTACATTATTGACAGGCTTGTACTGCTTAAACTATTTAAACTGATTTTAAAAGTGTGTGCCATAGAATCATAATGGCTTAAACTTCTGTTAGAGACCAGCATAACGCTACTTTAAGAGGAACTGAAGGAATCACAAATTATTATTTCCACTAATCAGGCAAAAGTAGTCTGCCAGCCGCTGAAATACTGCTTTCTTCCCCAAAAGAATGAGACGATGAAGATCAGTTCTTACCAGCTCCAATCCTGTTCCATAAGAAGTTTCCATCAAATCCTCCTAAGTAACCTGCAGTATAAGCAACAATTCAGAATTTCCAGTGTCCAAACAAGTATAAAAATGGGTGCTAAACTAGTTCTGGAACCATTTCTTAAACACTGGTCATGAAAGCCCCAAAAGAAGATCCAAAAGGATCCTCTTTTGTACTGTTTTGACTGCAGCAGAGCTTGATGAAGAACAGCATGAAGAACATAAACTGGGAACAACAAATTCTCAATGACACAGTGATATATATATATAATCCCTTACTTTCCTCTTTATCCAAAGGACTGGATAACAATGAGGTAACGGATACATGGCTCCATCACTTCCCTAGTCCTCATGCAATAGCCCTGTGACAATACTAAATAAGGGAAATCCTAATTCTCTCTACTTCAGGAGGTGCCCTACCTCCCAAAGCCAGCAGCATATGGCCAAAAGGTGGGCCGCTGTCATCGACGAAGAAGATTCTCTTCATGTAGAGGGAAACGAACTGGCCATAATAAACTTCATCAAAACTGAAACACAAGAGACAGAAACACATTAAGTCCAACTAGAAATATCCTGCTGGCTACAGAGAGATTAGGGAAGGAAACACTGATCCACTGGCAGAAGGCTAAGAATATAAGGAAGCACCATAGCTTTGGCCCCCTTACCTTCCCCTCAGGGGTTTCTATTAGGGAGACATTATCACTTTACACACAGAGACTGACAGATCAGCTCTGCTCTGCCACTCCTGCATTCTTACTCACAAATACTTAAAAAAGTTGCATTGGTCAAGTAGGAAGCAGACTGTTTTACTCACACCACAGCACGGGGATAGGAAAGCCCCCAGAGACGGCTTATTAACCCCATCACAGTCAGCACCACAAGGTTCACATTTATCTCCGCAGTAACCACAACTGGGTTCTTCAGAAATCCCAACATCCTGTCCAAGGTCTGTCCAAACCTTCAAGGACAAGCAGAGAAGCACAGCAGTCACCATTTCACTCAAAACCTGGTTGACAACCAGCATGCACGACTCTGCTCCTAGCAGCTCATGGCAACTGATCTTCTGAAGTTCTTTTTTCCACAATTATGTGTTTTCTGTTATATCTACAGTAGTAACTCTGAAAACAAAGTTACTAAACTACTGTCTGCCCACACACACCTAACTTTTCACTTGTCCTACTTCTACATTCATATAGTTTTCTGTCATCAACAGTAAGCTGGAAATTTTGCATATTCCTACATTGCTTTTGCAGAAACACAAGAGATTAACTCAAACCTATACTCTGCTGTTTGTGCTAGGCAAAACTTCATGCCCACCAATGTTACTGAGAGGCAAGCCACATGCTCAGACACCAGACTGCTTGGGTAACTTTAAAAAGAAAATAAATGGTTACTTCTTTACAAATTGAGTGTACTTGTTTGGTGGGTGGGGAGATGAGCCCACAAACATCCTCTAGCTAAAAAAGCAGGCTACCTGAGGGTGCTGCAGGAGTGTAGCACAGCCTAGTGGGGGAGCGCTGCAGGGCGCAGGAGGGAACTGTTGTATGGGCAGAACTGCTGGAAGCGAGGTGTGCTGTCAGGAACTGTAAGGAAGCAGTGCTGCACCTCCTCACCTCACTGTCACCGCACGTTACTGGAACTGAATCCTTCTGCATGGCTTTGGTGGGGGGGCCAACAAAGCAGGACGTGAGCACATCGCCACCACCAGATGCGGTGCCACTGTCCTGGTTCCTCGCTGCCTACAAAACACAAGCGCTGGTCAGCTCTGCATTCACCCTGGGGAGCAGGCGAGAAGCCCCCTGCTCGCCCCATGGACAAGGGCAGGCCCTGGCACCCCAAAGACCCTCTGATGGGGACACCCCCGCTCTGGGCCAGTTCCCTGCCCCCCGCAGGAGCACAGCACCGTCCCCAGCAGGCCCCTGCACCTCCCGCTGCCCTGTGAGGGGTGCTGCCCTGTGACTGAGGGGGCAGCGGGCCCCTAGGCCTCGCCCTCCCCCCTTGAGCGAACGGGACCCCTGACCCCACACGCAGCCCTTGAGCTCTATGGGGCCAACGGGACCCAGCCTCGAGCCGTGAGGACCGGGGCCACTGCCCCCTCCAGGCATCGCCCCCAGCCCCCCCGAGCCTTACGGAGCTGTGGGGGCGGCAGGAGCCCGGCCCCCGGCCCCAAGGGGAAGGCGGCGGCGGCACCGGGAGCCGGGCCCGAGGAGATGACTCCCCCCTTCCCCGGCCCCTCCTCCACACCTAAGGGGCGGTGCCGCGCCGCCGGATGTGACGTCAGACGCAGCAGGAAGGCGGCCGGGCGCGTTGCCATGGCAACGGCTGCCCACGGGGAAGGGACCGCACTGTCATGGCGGCTCTTCGCTGGGTCCTGGCAGGGTACAAGCACGCCGGGACACGGCGCTGGGTCCTGGCAGGGCTACGTAGTTTTCTTTAAAAAATCTTAAAAATAACCCCGTTTGCCTTAAAACCTTTAACTAAAAGAACGAGAGGAAGGCCTTAAGAATTTGAGAAAAGCATAACCTGCTTTATTTTTTTTTTAATTTTTTTATTTAAATAAGGAGAATTCTTTCATATGGAAAGAGCTAATACAATCACATATTTGAAAGGAGAAACAATAGGTACTGAAACGAGGAAAAAGGGCAATAAAGAGTGTGCCGCAACTGGCCTGGTGATGCCGTGATTCGAGTTCCGGTCCAAGTAAAAGTTTCCAAAAAATATAAACAGGTTGCACGTTACACAATTATCCATCGTCTGCCCTTTCAAATATCTGGTCTACATGAAAAGACAAAGAGAGGAAAGGCCAAAAAAGATTTACTATACAGGTCATGAGGTTAAAAGCTGTAAGGAGTACAATATCCCCTTGAGAAACAACAAATGCAATTTATACAGAACCAGAGGAAGGATTCCAGCTAAGGACGACGCCTTGAGACATGCTAAGGGGGGAGCGCCTCGCTGCTGCTGCTGTGATTCCAGGGTCACGGGGGCGGCCGCAGCCCTCCTGAGCTGGCGGGGACACAGCAAACACAAGTGGGTGCCTGCAGCCGCTAGGAAAATGTGGTGGTCTTTGGATCAAAACAACAATAAAACAAATAAACGCAGGTGGATCGCTGCTGTCGCATCACAGGCAGCAGTCTGCTTCAGCAAAATTCTCGTTTCCTACTGCCGGGCCACAACCAAGTATCCCGATGCCTGTTGTAAGGTAATTCTTACAAGTGCATCTCTCTTGTAAGGAAACCAGGCTGCTGTACATCGAAAATAACCCACGCTACAAGGAATTAACCTGTGCTTAACTAGCCAGAAGCAAAACAGAAGGTTAACAAAACGCAACAGAACAAGACCTTCGCATGCAGTGGTGCTCGCTTCAAAGTGAATATAGTAGCCTGCCAGAAGGTGAGACATAGCAAAAATGCTAAGCTCGTTTTTTCATATATATCTATAAATACACAGGAACCACAGGGCAGCTTGTAGCTTTGCAGCATTCTTGCAAGGAAACTGTTAAATGGAGTGCCTCTCTGCATGAGCACGAACACATGTGGAGTTCAATGGGCTGCAAACACATTCAGAGGGACTGACTACTGACTGTAGAGCTGTCACCTGGCAGAGCCAGGAGTGAATTATGAGAGATCAACAATACCTGTTTCACTGGTGACTGTGCTGCTTACACCTCTGATTTGCTTTTTTCCCCTAACCTGTTTTTTTTTTCCTCTCTCAAGAGCCAAAAGCAGGCTGAGCTGAGAGGAAAGCAGCACTGAACGCAGCTGCTAGGCCGTGAATCACTGCATACAGAGCTGGTTACGCATGTGCTTCAGGCCTTCATCTGCACAAAAAGCAGTAAAGTCAGTCTCTGAATATTTCTGCCTCACCCATTTTTGCTGAAAATATGGATCCTACCTCTCCCTCCCACTGCACACTGCACCCTTCCAGCAGGAGCCTGCAATTTAGTACCAGATTTCCAGTAAAAGCAAAAGCAACTCGCAAAGGAATAAATCATCAGGACCCTACCCTTCAGCAATATAGATGGCAAGCAGAAGTATCCCCCTATAAACCATCTCAACATTCAGTACATCTCCATTCTCCTCTTCCCCAAGCTGACCTTTTAATCAGTGCACCAGCACCCCTGCATTTCTGCACATTGAGGATCAGAGACCTTCCTTGCGACATGAGAGCACTGCAAAATGCAGTAACCTCAAGCTAGCTTTAAACAAAAACACATGCCAGAGAAGGATATTGCACCTTAGAAATTTGGGCTCTAAAACTGCTTTCCAACACACAAAACTCCATTAAGTGAAAGAGCGTCTTGCCAACTGCAGCTGACAGTCACGCAAAGGAGAGGAATGGAATGAAGCTCACATGCATTTCTTGGCCTTTCCTGCACAGAATAATTCAGACATAATATATAAATAGAGCAGTGAAACAATTACTTTTTCACCTAGACCTACAACATCAAATACGTATAAATAAATTCTAGTGTTTTATTCTGTTGGGGGAAGGATGGGGGGAGTTAGAAAGAAGGGTGACCTTTTTCAACAGGAAGTATCGTAGTTCTGATGGCATTTACACCAGAGGGACTGCAATATCTTGCATCTATCAATAACCCAGTTTCTCCAACACATTTGACCATTTTAAAGTCATATAGGTGGGAGGAAAGAGGTTAGTGTCTTTGTAAAGCTTAAGTAGTGTGTTTAGGGTAGGAAAGAGATGAGAAGAAGGGAGCCTGGATAAGTCTCTTTAGCCATTACAGTTAGATTCTGAGCTGATATTAGCTAGGGCCAGCTGGGCAGGAGGATAATAAAAAAAAGAATTAAAGACAATTCTGTTGTTCATGATATTCCAAGGAAGAAAATAAAAAAGGGGGGTGGGATGACTTACTAGTGGAGCAATCTTTGGAAAATGTCGGGAGCAGGACTAGCAGATGAGGAAGCAGGTCTGGGAGATGTTTGAAAGCTAAGGAAATATTTGTCGCTTAATCTCAAACCCTGTACTCTAGGGAGGTACTCTGGCACACACTGCTCTGAAGTTAAAAATCCATAAAACATGAGGAACAAAAAAAGAGCTCTTACTTTTCCTTAAAAGTACCATCCTATCCCTTTCCCTTCAGGTTCTCTGCCACAGTCAACGGGGACACCTGTGGAGAGGGAACATACTATTTCTAAGTTAGTTTAGGTTTCTAAGCTCTTTTTAAAGCTACTGTATAAAATTCTTATTTATACCTAGCTTAAAACTTCAAATGCATCCCTAGAAAGTTATGAAGGATCTTTCCAAGAAAGGGGGAAAAAAGCAACAAGAAAAGAAACAAGAACACCTTTCAGATCCCTTCCCAAATACATTCTTTGTTCAAAATATCTTCTTTGGAACCACCAACAAATGACTTGCTGCCATCTAGCAGATGCTGACGGCACAACCAGTTAGCAAGCTATCACCTACTGTGGAAATGAAGTTTTCTTTCCATCATTTCAGAGTGACCAGCCTACTTCACATTTTGAAAGAGCTAAACAACACAAACCAGGTTAGCTGAAAGTAGCTGATACTTAAGACTACAATCAGCTGAAGGACTCCAAGCACCTTCAGGAACTTGCAAGTCCATCCTAAAATCTACATACACACGCGCACACACACGCAGCACACAAACCGAAAACCAAATAACCGAAGAAATAAAAACCCAACCCACTCCCACCGGGACCCTCCTTTCATATACCATCAAATACTGGTGAGGAAGTGTAAGGTTGTGACACCGTGTATGTGCTATATGCAATTACATCAAAACTAAAGAACCCTTTGCTGTTCACCTGGGGAAGGAGATCAAAAGGATGATTCCAAACTGGCTCTGTAACCATGCGCTTCCAACCGAAAAAAGGAGGTTCCAAGTGTGCTAAAAAGGCTGCCTTGCAGAGGGGCTCCCTTACTAATGCGTTTCTATGCAAATTTTACAAGAGGCCATGACAGGAACAGAAAGACCGACCTAAGGGAAGAGGGAGAAGAACAAAGCTTAGGAGAGCAGCCCCAAGGGATGAGCTCAATATAGAACAAGTCTCAGGAGACACGAAGAATTAGAGCGGCCAAGGTAGGGAGCATAAGAGAGCATCACAACTACAAAAAGTAGTCCAAACAAACCCGTTGGTGCTAGCCAACTCTTCTGACCCATGTGCGATGAGGAGATTTCGCTTAGAAGATTTTACATTTTGTAAATCCATGATTTACATTTCACTGCGTGTTTGGCAGTCACTAAAATAAAATCTGAAACAAAAAAACAGATCCAGAGGAGCTTGCAACAGAAATTTTGGTGCTTTTCCTTAAAACGAAAATGCCACATTTTGTTGTGCACAAGGCACCCCAAAGCTACAGTTAAAGTGGTGCAAGTTTCAAGATGAATGTACTGACTTACTATATACCTTCAGTACAGATTTCTAATGCAAGCACTGCTTCTAGCTTAAAACAAAAATACTGAAAAATTAATGAATGCCATAACTGTCCTGTGTTGTTTTCTTTTTTTTTTTCCTTTTGTTTTTCCACTTAATCTGAAAGGTTAGATCATCTGGGAAAAAAACACTTAAGCCAACTCAGTTTAGGAGTCTTGATTCTAAGCATAGCACAGAACCATGTATAAAAACTAGGGAGGGTTCTGTCAGAACATAATTTTAGTTAAACGGACTTATTTTCTGGAAGGAATGGGGAAAGCAGAAAGAAGGGGGGGAAAAAGTGATAGAACATATAAAAGTTCTGCTATAAACAAGGATATAGCTTCTTTTTTTCTCTGTAAAAACCTCAGCTGCCTTTAAAATGAAAAACCTCAAACTAACCCCTCTCCCCCAGTTGCCACTCTGCTTAGACAGAAGTAGGGAAGGAGAAGGATGGGCTTTGCCAAGTGAGCTATCACAGCTACCTGTGCATGGGGCAAAAAAAAAAAAAAAAGAAAAGGCTCGAGCCACTTAAAAGTCACACGGTTGGTTTGTTTTAAAGCAAGCAGGTCAATGTCATATCCACTGTTTCAAACTGCTTTGTTGGAAGAGGGACTCGGATGATGTCGCTGTAGTCAGTCAGTGTGGGGCGGGGAGTAGGTCTGGTGAAGTTTTCAGGAGATCCAGTGGGGTCCAGTCTTAGCTACAGTGCCTCTCAGGACCAGCTGGGCATCAGAGGTGCTCCTAGGCCTTGCTTTCCTCCACTTTTACTGCCTGAGGTTTGATCGCTCCTGTGCGCACTGGCTTCATCTGGTTTGTGGATGCTGTTTCTTGCAGCTTTACTGCTCCCAGATTGGCTTTATTTTCATCCACCCGCTGCTTTGCCTTTTAATACACAGAAAGGAGGCATTAGAGAGCACAGATATTTGTACGCAGATACAAAAACCAACCGTGACCATCACTCGTGCAAGTCATCAAATTTGCTCCAAAATTCAGGTATTATCTCTGTTCTGTTACTCAGTTTTCCCTAAAACACCTTATACATAAGGATCTTGAAGAGCCCATAAAAACTCAATGGCAAAAAACATAAGCACCATAGGACAGGTGATCCCCTACTCCTGATCTCCGATCACACAGCGTTACTCACGGGCTCGGTACAGTCCCCACCCACCCATCATCCACTCTCTTGCCCTCCCTGCAGGAAAAACAACTTCCACGTAGAGCTTTACTACACTGCCACCCCTCTGGAGGACAAGGCCCCAGTGTGACACTAGAAGCACAGACGCTGTGGGGTCACAGTGCTGACATACAGCTACCTGTTGTACATAGTGTCCTTGCACCGAGCCCATACTAACTGCTGGTCCAGACGGCTTCCCATTTGGGCTGGCAGAGCTAGGCCTGGAAATCGAAGAGTCGACAATATTCATGGAGTAAATTCTACAATGGAACGAGAACCTTATTCATGTGTGAAAGAAAACAGGACTGTAGAAAGCAGCAGTAGACAGGGCATGAGTCTGTACTGTGCAGATCAACGAGCTCCCCAGCCCAAAAGACAACACATGGATTGGTTAGAGGTTAAAAAAAATAAAGTAACTGCAAGTCCCCAAATTCTCAGTGACCTGAAGGTTTGGAATGTCTACGCATTAGCATCTCACATCTTGAGAAGATGAGACCATGCTGGAACTAAAACATTTAGGCAGTGTTCCCCAATTTTCTACCTTAACAACAAACAAAAAAAAAAAAAAAACACAATTCCAATTTGCCTTTAAGACATGAAAAACAGCTTTATGCACTTCCCACAAGCACAAATGACCAAGTCAGAGACATCTTGGGCTCTACTCAAAACTGAAAGCCACAATCATACAACTTAATACAAGGATTTGGACTACAGTAAGCACATTCTACACAAGAAAATCCAAGTAGATCTTAAAGAGCACTGATGTATGCACCACGTCTCTGCAAATGGGGAACACTACCACTTCCCCGTTCTGACTACAGAGGCTAAATTCCGTCAGCATTTACCTGTATGCATGTGGTGATGGTACAGACCCTCCGGAGGACATGTTCTGTTTACCGTCAGAAAAATGAAACCCTTTCATTTCCATTTGGGAGGACTACAGAGGAAAATGAGTGAGAGCACATCATCTTTGCATCACAGTAATGGATATGACTTCATATGAACATATAAACCAAGTTTTTGCCCTTCTACCCATCATGCCCATTAAAAGAAACATTTTTCAGGTGAAGTAAATGAGGCTTGTAAGTGAAATGATCCGCTTGTATTAAATCAACAAGCCAGGAGCACAAGCAAACACTGAACCTGGAAGTTAACTGCTGTGCTTTCTTTCCCCTGGAGTAGAAAAACTTATGATACAAATCCATCAAACCAGACATGACATTAATATACCTACTCAAATGGACAAGCTTCACAACAGTGTGAAATATCTGGGCAGTATTCCAACTGTGTCTGGAGCTCACCACCCCTCAAGCACTCTGGGGAAACCTGTGTAAACATGTAATAAAACTGGAGACTCCAAACTGGATCAAGGCAGGATGGGGCTCCCTGGAAACAGAATGATGGCCAGCAGCAAAACCTAGGAGGCTGCTGACCTGTGCTTTTGAGATGAGAAGGAAAGGGCTCCATTTTTACATCAAGCCTTGGCTTTGATACTTAAAGATCCCCTTTAACAAGCAAGATCAAAGAGCAAAACTTCAGTGCAAAAGGGGTTAATGAACGCCAAGATGAGCATGCAGGAGTTAATCCTTACCTCCCTGCTGGTAGCAAGAACTGAAGGCTGCGATCCAGGAGGGAGAATTCTTCGGGGAGCTCCTACAGGCAGGTTTTGCCCCTGAGGAAGCTGGATGGACTGCGGTAGAATCAGGGGCTGCTGGCCAGAGCCATAGCGGGGCAGAGGAAGCTGGGAGCCAGGCACAGGCATTGTTAACTGTGTGATAAGGACATGTAGTTACTTAATGGCAGCAGTGGTGTTGGGTTTGACACACCCTCTCCCAATACCCTGAAAGCACAGCACTGCTAAAAGCAATCTCACTAACGGTGCAGTCTGGCACAGAGTAAATGCAAATTAATGTAACAGAGCAAATTTCACGCTGAAATGCATGTGCGGGTAGTGTTGCCAACACCCTACCAGCTGGGTTTTTAACATAGCATTGATTTAACATAACTGTGCTCAGCCACAGGGCTCCTCTCCTTGCCTAGAACCTACATCCCGTTCTTCAGGCTTCCTCATGGTCTCTGCATGGCTGATTTTTCTCTTGATCCCACAGCAGCATCAGACAGCTCAGTCAGTGTCAGACACCGTTTGCAGCTTTAGTACCTAAATCAGGAATTGTGTTCTACTTTCATGCCAAAATGTTTTGGGGAGTGGAACTCTAGAGCAAGTAACGGTTACCTTTCTATGTTCTGCAATGAATTTCAAACCAATTATGGCAACAATTAATCCTAATTTACAAGAAGCAGCTCATGATTCAACAGTCTCCTTTCTCTTTATTTTTTTCCTTCATTCCTCACAACTGTTGGATTTGGGAGGTTCTATGACACCACTTTGTGACAAAAATAATAAAATTTAAGGCTAAATTTACCCAGTGATCCAAGCATAAGAGATCAGGTTATTATGGATAAAGCATTTACTCAAATATTTAATTTGGCAGTGTTCTCTGTATTTTCCTCAGCTGAATTACTTTCAGAATTAACTGTTTTTAAGTCAGTCACAACACAGAAAACCCTGTTTAAGTAAAAAAATCAATGATCAAAATCAGAACACATTTATCCACGAACACAGCTATGCTCACAAAAGGGATTCAGTGTCTTTTTCTGAATGGTGTTTTACAAAAGCTTTGTACCCTACACCAAGGCACACAGTAAAAGTCTTGTTAAGATGCTGCCAAACAGATCAACAGAAATTAAGACCACCTGGATTCCAAATGAACTGAGAAAATACATGAGCTTTAATTAAAACATTAATTACTCTGAAAGCTATGTTAAATCTGAGAGATGGGAATTTGGCTCTTGAAAGTGGTACTTTTAGGACAACTATCACATCATGACCTCCTACCCAGGAAGTACTGTAAGGTTTGATTCTGCATGAAACGTTCATCTTGCGGCCAAAGACATCCAAGTCAGAAAAAACAAACGGGCATCTCAGCAGGGACAGACGAGTAATCAGCAAGAATCACATTAAATAAAGGTGCTACATGTTTGAAACAATGGCTCAGTGACTCACAGAAGAGTCTCTTGGGGAAGCCTTTTGTCCTTACAGAGAGCTTATCCCACAGAAACACATGACTAAGCACAAATATCCAATCCAGTCCCAGAAACACATGGAACCCTGCACAACCGAGTGGCTTGAAAAGTCCTGCTCCTAACCTGTGTAAGCTGAGAGTCCATCATCTGGGAGGCTCCCATCCCAGCTGCCTGGTTTATCTGGCCTTCGTAAACCAGTGCCTGGCTTCCGTTCATGGGCTGATAGGGGGACCCAGACTGGGTTTTCACCACCTCCAAGGGCTGCATGCCTGGGAAGGCGGAATACGGAGCCTTCAGAGCAGTGCCTCCTGTCAGGACCATCGTGCTGGGCTGAGACAGACTGGGGTGCATGTACACCTGAGACCTGGGGAAGAAAAACATGCTTAAGTCGCTAGGCAGAAAACCTTTGGAGACTGTACACACATACCACTATCAAGATAGATGTGGCTTGCAAGTAGATCTCAGAGTATCTACCGAATTGATAGCTTAGAACTAAGATGCAGTCTCTTTTACATACAGGATTTTTCTTTTACTTCCACTTTTAAGCCCTTACAACCACATCCTTGTGTTGCAGGAACATTCAACAGAATGACAGCATGTCCCATCCAAAATTTATATACTAATGTTCTGCACAATATGCTCTGGATTAGCAGTAAGGAGAGGATCCAAGTTACCAGAAGTCTGTAGCAGTTTTGCAAAGTAGAAATCAGAAATTAAAGATTCAGCCAGCTCTAGCAATTTATTTTTTTAAATCTCCATGTCTAGTTTTGAGGCCTCAAAGTACCATTCTGACCACTTGCTCTCATCTTAGGCAGAATGATTCTCACAGCCAGCCCAACTCTGAAGAGGACGTCTCATTCCTTCACTTCTAGTAAGCAGTTCTTTTGGCCAAGTACTCTCGATGTTTCTTACATTAGTTTGATTTCTAATTTGAATCTTACTATTTTTTCCCCAAAGAGCAAACATTCACTCTGTTCTCGTCTTGCAGTTTTTATCTAATAAAAAATGTTATGTAATGCCCTTATGCAGGTACTCAGCTCTGATCAAGCCATCTCTTAGCACAGTCATAAACCAAATCCAGTAAGCAGCAGGCTCTGAATTTCTCATTAAAAAAATTGTATTCCAACCCACAAACCTCCTCTTTCTGCATCTTCCTCAGGATTTGCCTCCCCCTTTGAGGCATTACAACTAAATACAATTTTTCTTTGCCACTGTCTTACAAAGAAGCATGCTACAAAGAGCCCTTATGTACCCTGATATCCTTGTTCTCCACCCCAATGCTTCCCAGCACTGTTACTATGAAATAGAAACAAGATGTCAAAGGAGGAAGAGGAGAGGAGTACAGAGTATCTGACCAATCTACTTCTCCATAAGCAACAGACGAGTTAAGGCCACAAGGAAATGAAAAACTGGAAGCAGTTACCTGAAGGGCTGTATGGAGCTGTACATCTCCTGGGACTGGGAAACAGGCAGACCACCCCTCAGGCCAAGCTGAGCTTGGGCCTGTAAGGATGTGTGGAGGGAAATGGGAATCTGTTGAGCAGCAGCAGCCTGCAGGAGAAATTAAGATGACTGAGAGGTATGAGAGCAGCCAGAAGCTCTCCCAGGCTCTTAAAAAGCCATCATTTTCCTCAGTGAGTCAATGTGCCGTGACAATTACCTACACTGCAGCTTCACCCAGCCCCTCCTTCTTCCACGGAACAGGAGCATTGATACAAAAGCACTGGTACAAAGAAAAAAGCAATTCCCTCCCTTTCATTTCACTAACCTGTAACACCTACTGGGAAGCAGCATTCAAGGAAGCTAAAGACTTCTTGTTTCTGACCCTGAAAGAGTTCCTGAGAAACCGTTAGCTAGTTTGATTTCTCCCTTACCTGTTGGTAGCTTTGCTGCTGAGGTATTGTCTGAGGAACCAGGCGGGGCTGACTTGCAAACACATGGCCATCCAGATACAGGGGTGGAATATGGTTACCTGAACATCAGAGAAGACAGGCTGTAACTCAGGGTACAGGCAGGGCACACTGCAGAGACCTGTGGGTCCGTCAAGACTAACAGTTCAGGAATTGGCCACCTGTGCCCCAAACTTCTCCTATCTGCCAGAAACCGACTCCACAATCATTTTACCTTTGCAGCTATGAGGGATGAAAAGGGCAAACATGGCGTGTGAGACCTTCACACAAGCAATCTAAAGTCATTTTTTACCAAAGGGTGGCACCAAAAAGAAAGTGGTGTGCCACTCCTTTGTTTACATATTCGAACCAAGGGATTTTCAAGCAAAAAGGGGGAAGAATTTGGCGGGGTGGAGGAGAGAAGAAATCACCATGCTTGGAACTGATCTGTTTTCCAAATATATTCCCTACAGTGGCCCCATTATCACTTCTGCCCAGCACATTCCACTCCCTTCCTGAATTGAGAAGTAAGAAAGGCATTCATGAGAGGTCTTCTGGGACCCAAGAATCAGAGTCCAGGTACATTTCTTCTCTTTTTTTTCCTGACACTCTCCCTAATTATAAACACAGTCAAGTTAGATGGTGTTTAACTTTTCCCTCTGTAATTCAAGGACAGCAACACCTTCTCACCTCCCAGAGTTATGCAAACTGTAAGGTATTTTGTTATGTACAAGGAGCAAAATGTACTCTGAACTTGTGACACACAGAAAGTTTTACATAGTAAAGTGAGTACCAGAATGCTTGATACCGGCATTAGGTGTCTCAGCCATAGGTTTCTTCTCTTTCTTTCCACTCTATTGAGTACACAGTGATGGGTAGGTAATACTCAAGTAACCTTCTCTAATGTGGGAAAACAGTCCCTTTTTCCATCTTGCCTGATTCTCCTCATGGATCCATTAAATACCAACCGGTCTGTTAATTTACATGGAAGCTCTTCTCACCGTGCTCCCTCTACTAGAATCCAACCAAACAGTGCAAGTACTACTGCTGCAGTTTGCAAATACCTGGAATAGATGCAGAAGGTGCTACGGACGCCACAGGCATAGGAGGCATAGAAACTCCACCAAAAGAGCTGTAGCTGACACCATTGGAAGCTCCAACACTGGAAGGAGGCTGGATGCCCGAGCCTGCACCTCCTGGAGAGTTCTGTTCTGGTAAACTAGGAGAGTTCTCCCAAGCTTTACGGGCAGACTCCATCTACGGAAATGAAGGGCAGTAACTGCAGACAATTCACGTGTGGAGGGGAACACTGAGGCCTAGAGCTGCTCATCTGTAAACTCTTACTTCAAATTCAATCCAGTCTAAGCTTAATGGAAAGCTAGCACGGCTTAGGTCAAGGGGCTTCAGAACCATTCCCAATGGGCAAGCATCCATCAAAAACATTCATCGCTTGTGGTATTTGCAGAACTGTTTTGGGGGGGAGAGGGTGCAGGGTAAAGTGGTTTTTCATGTTGCCTTTTTTCTTTTTTAAACCAGTAGGTGTCTAGGATTACTGGTTAGTTATCTTATCCAGCTACTGAGACAGTCACTAACAGGAAAGCTTTGCTGGACATTTTTTTTTTTTACTTTACAATAAGGACTTCAGCATCCAGGACTGTTGGAACCCACCCCTGTCCTCCCATGCTGAATAGAACATATGCATAACTTTTACAGGAGCTAATTAAAGATTTAGCAGTGCCTGACAAAACACTCTGGGAGAGATCTCTCCACCCTCACTACCCTGGTCAAGAAGACAAGGCAGCCGGGCCTAGGACGAGCACACCTGCCAGCTTACCTACCTTAAGAGTAAGGTCTGCAGTGGGGAAGGACATTGGGTTCAGGCCAATGCACCGTTGGAGGTGATGATCTCTTCGCAGAATGGGAATGGACTGCGTTAACCCTGCCTGAGGGGAGATTGGTAAATGGTGAATACTCTGTAACTCCGTTGAGAATTTCAAGAGGCACCAGAGCCTCAGCTGGCAGCTATAGTAACTACACCTCAAAGGACTGAATCCTCAGTGGTACTGCAGGAGTTAAGTGCTGCATTCAACTGTTATCCACTCTGCTGATGGAATAAATTAAGCTTTGGCAGTGTGCAAGGACTCCCTTTATGTAGAATTACACCAGCTTCCATTTAAACATCAATTTGACCTAGTAACTTCATTCTGCAGAAGTGCTCCCCCCACCGTATTTGGAATCTACCTGAATTTCTGACAGAATCTGTTTCTGAAAGAGCACTTCTGAAAAGAAAGACCCTTTAAGACAAACCTCCTAAATCTAACAGCCTACAAACTTGAAGGCATCTCAAAAGCAGCTTTGAGAGTTTTTCACATTGCTGTCCACAGCTGAGTCACAAGCTGAGCTTTCGCTGTGCTAACTCTTTCATACAAAATAATGAAATACACAGATGGCTAGAACAAGCTAGAAAACCTCTCAGAGAGCCTGGCTAACAAGATACAGCTCTGTGCCTTGCTGTGGCAGATGAGGTGTTTTGAAGAAGCTAGCAGCCCTGGCCTAAGAATGCCACTATCCACATCACGTCCATTATCAGCTCTCTTCTGTGTCTCAGGGCAGGAAACTGGAGACCTCAGAGATCTGCTAAACCTCTTGCTTTACACAGGTCACTGAATGACAATGGAGTTGCTCTCTGTATCACTCCTGAGCTAGCCATGCTCATTTCATCAAGGTACCTCGGGGGCACAGATATCCATTATGGATTTTAGTCATATGTGATGCCCAAGCATCAAGTGTTAAGTCAACTGCAAATAAATACGCTTGCTCTGTTTGGAAGTGTCTGAGATTTAACCAAGGAGAGGCTCAGATGAATCAAGGCCAAAAGAAAAAAAAGAAATACTTACATTACTGGCCAAGGCATCCTGCAATTTGGTGACAGGGTTAGCTGCAGTGCCAGAAGCAGAACCAGGTGGCAAGCTGAAGTCAGAGTCCTGAAAAAGCAGAACACACAAAATTCAAATCGAGGCCTGAGGGCCACCCACCTGCTTCTCATGGTTAATGAATTTAGCCTGAATCATGACACTAGAAACTAAAGACTGTCCTCCAGTAAGCCTTGCTGAAAGAGAACATGGAGACACTTCTCAGCACTCAGTAGCAGACAACCCCCAGAGGCACACAAAGCTTTAGAAGGCCATGATCTTGTCCATCACCTCTGTCACCACCCCAACTGGTCCTTGGGACACTATTTCTAAAAGGACATTATGCATTTGCCAAGACATCTTGAGCACCTGGTTTGTGTCAATAATGAAATCTAAGGCAAAGCTACAGCATACATGCTGGAAGCTTCCTCTAAATAATCCTGCTGCCTCAAACCACCGTCCACATCTCGACAAGCTCAAACCACCAAGAAGATAAAATTAAATTCAATCCTCACTTTAGGATTTACTCCAAATTCAATGGGTGGCACAGGAAGTACAGAATCCACGTGAATTTCCACCCCGTTAACAGGGGGAATATTCCCTTCCAGCCGTTCCGTTCCCTCCGAACCCTTTCTGTTTTTCAGGGAGCGTTCGTTGCCGATTGGTCCAGGCTTGTGTTCCTTGTTCTGTCCTGAGCCTTGATCTGAATCCTTAACAGGAAAGCAGAGAGGCTGAGACACAAAGACCAAATAACCCAATCTCAAGCCTTAAAAATGCTATCAAGAACAACAGAACCACTTCACAAGGTCTCTCACTACGTGCTCTGGCTTGGCTGCAAATCCAGATTACCTTTTTATCAGATTGCTTCTGCACTTGCTCCTTCTGGCAGTCAGGCTTTGGATCCACCAGGCCAGCCCCATTCATCTCCTCTGGTTTGAGGGTGCCATATGGAGAACTGCGCTGAGAGGAGGTCGCGGAGGATTCCCGAGACTCCGCACTCAAGTCAATGCCACTATCCCCCTGGCTGCCTTTAAAACCCTGCTATGCAAAGCACGAAATGTGTTAAAGCCCCGGACTCCGACCCAGCTCCACAAAAGAGGAAAAAAATCCCAGAAAACAGCAAGACCACGTCCCCTTTTCAAATCACATTCTTGGTTAACTGCAAGGAGTTGGTCTTGACCTGCAGCATCCCTTGGCTACTGCTTCACCTCCACACAACTCTGAGCTGGGCTAACCAAAGCATTAACCCGACTCTGGCTTTAGAATAAAGGCAAAGGTGTCGCACGTGGCAACAAGGCAGAGACTGCCAAACTCATTACACTTGTAACCCAAACCAGATTTGGGCTCTGGTCTCCAGAGGTGAAGCATTCTGGAACTTCCTCTGCCGTCCCTGCGTTTAGGCTATAGCTACACACTGCTTATGGAATGAAACAAAAATTAGCTATGGGCTTCCACCATCCTGGACAACGCACTGCCTCCAGTTAGGAGCATAACCCTGGAATACCCCTACCAGAGAGTTACTACAGATTTACACCCATGTGTAGCGCTACACATCACTTGGCCCTCTAGGTTAGAGCAGCATGAAGCTCAAATCAGAGCTGCAGAGAGACAGTTTAAAATTGCACAAGCAGAGCTGACAGTCACTAAGCACAGATGGAGCATGGAGAAGCATAAGCCACCTACTTCAGTACATCGTACACGAGATACCTGAATGGCACATTAGGTGCCACTTACCTCAGCGGAGCTAGATTCAGTACCATTAAAGGTATTTACAGGCTTGCTCCAGGAATCACTTCCAGGAGACTGAACGGAAAGAGCTGGAAGAAAAGGGAGGGCAGAGTTCAGCTGCTTAACACGAAACTGTGGGCACATCTTGTACACCACGCATGCTGCACAATTAACATCCCATTTCTGGACACAAGAAAGGATATTTTCACCACCACAAAAAGCCATTGCTCCCCAGTCAGCTGAGACATGACAGCACAGAGTAGACAGGCTGCAGAGAGGGAGGTAGAGAACAGGGACAAGAGATTTCTTTGGGAACATGAGAATGATAGGAGACAGAAGGAGCAGAGATAGAACCAAGGAAGGCTCTAGATATTCAGTGATGGAGGATGAGAAAAGAGGAAGGCACAATAAGAAAGCAGCTGAAGTAGATCCAACCCAACAAGCCTAGAAAAACATTGCGCAGGACCTTGATCTTACAAGAAGGCCCAGGAACCAGTTTAGGAGACTGACATGGTCAACAAGAGAAGGATGGTTAAACAGTGCAGTTTTGAACAGATGTCTGCTAGCTCCCTTCCCACCTCCAGCATCAGAAAATAGGAAGTTGTCTCCTCATAAGCACGGACACCCTGTCCTTCCTACACACACCTGAGGATTCCCCAGTTTCATTAAATACTCTAAACCAAACATACAAACTTACCTGGGCTGTTGCTCTCCCAGATCTCCGTGCCCAGGCTGTTTCCAGACACTGTTACATCACTTTGCTCCAAGCACAAGCTGTTCTGCTTCTTAGCAAATCGAGGAGGAATGCGAGACTGAAGGACGCGGGCCTTAGCTGGTGCCTGACAGAGAGAAGATACAGGCTGTGAGACCTGTCGCTGAACTGGGGCTAACAAAGCCTGCTCCAGGCAAGTCTGATCCCTGGGTTTCTGAACACTGCAATGTCAAGAGCCTCTAACCCATGCAACAGAACTGTGTTTCACAAGAACGTGAAAAAATGCTGTCTTCAGCAGCATGTTGTTTTTTTTTTTTTTCAGGGGGCTAGGGAGTGTTCGCAGCACAAAGCAAAGTGGTATCACTCGTACATCAGACTTGTTCTGCTTAATTCCTCTTCTTCGCTCCAGACAAAGCAAGATCAAGTCATAATTTCACCGTACAGAGATGGCTCTTTCACAGTACCAAGCTTAGAACAGAGGGAGAAGCACATCCCTTTAAAACTTCAAGACCATTCCTGTTGCCCATTCACACGTTGTCCTCAGCTAATTTTAAAAACCAAGCAACCAGGCGTTTATAGCTTTGCTTGGAAGATTTACTCCACCCACCACGAGCCTCCTCTGCCAGAAAGCATTTCCCAGTGATGCTTTTTACTTGCATTTCATCCTCCACATTTTATTAAATCTCCTTTCACGTTAAAATATTCTTTTCTCCTAGTACATGCAGACAAATTCCTCCCTCCTAGATGTTACTTAACTAAGCTCTCCACATTACAGTCTTAAATCTTTTATTGTAAATCAACTCCATTACCCTATTCTGAACATAAAACTGTGAGAGTTCCAGTTTGTTTTTCTTTCTGGTAAGGTGCCCAGACACAAAGCTGGTAAGCCTGGCAAAGACGCTACCACATCCTGTTCTAACAGTAACACGTTGATGTGGCCAGAGGGTGCAGAGGTCCTCCACTGCTCACTGCTGCCCAGTATCCCACCAACAGGCTCAGTAAGCCAAGTTGCTTTGAGTAAGTCTCACTTTAAAAAACCCTCCTTGACTCACAATTAATGATTCTGCTAGATGAGAACAATCAGAAATCTTCAAACTATCCTTTTCAAACCAACAGCCCCTGCCATCAGAGCCAAAATACATTTCCCAGGCCTGATACCAGATCAATCCTACTTTGGCCAACTGCATTTTTCTGCTTATCCAAACACTTTTGGGGGCCTTGTACCGCTGACTACTGTCAAAACAGCGTAACAGTTCAAGTTTTTTCTGCCTTCTACTCCTTACCTGAGCAGCCTGTTCCTTCTTTCTCCGTTCCTCTTCCAGCAAACGGCGCTGCTTTTTGGTAAGAACTTCAATGAAGCCTTCACCTGCCATTGAACCTACTTCATTCTCTTCCGCTGTGCTCGACACCCGATTATCAATGATGGTACCTAAACAAAATGCACATGGGAAAAAAAAATAAAAGTTGTGCATGTGCGTATGCATATAAAGCTTTATAACTGCACTTATTTTAAGAGTGTGTTCCAAATAGAATCCATACCACAAGCAAACAAGTTCAGCCAGCAGCACTGCAACTAAGCTTTGAAAACTAAGGCACAGAACAGACATCTACTAGTCACATTGTCCACCACTGCTTTGCTGTCCTCTGCCTCAAGGTGAGCATGCTCCAGCCGGGAGAGCTTGGGAATATGTGTTAGCTCAAGTAACTTCAGATGTGTTATCAGCAGGAAGGAACCCGAGGCCCACTTTAGATGTTCTTTCAATTTCCTTCTCACTATGTAATGTATTTTGGGTTTGAAATTTAACAGCTTACTAAAACCAAACTTTCCATGGAAGATAGATTTGATTTCTGTCAGATCTGGCTGAAAGTTTGGGTTTTAAATTTAAAACCCAATTGCCTTCCATGTCATCCCTATTTAGACGCACGGGAATCTTCCTGTGTAAGTAAAAAGAAAATAATCTAGACACATATTTATTAAGTTACACTGGTTTGAATTTGCCTTGCTTGAAGTCGGTCACAGCATGTTATCCCGTAGAAAAGAAGTAAGACACTCACTTCCATAATTCAGTTCGAACTGTGACAACACCTCTCCCTTCTCGCTTGCTCTCTGTGCAGTGGATTTGGGCTCCTTCTCTGGCTTTTTACCCGGCCCTTCAGCACTCTCTGAGTTAGCATGGGAAGCCCTATCCAGGCTGTAAATGGAGTGGCTGCTTCCACCACTGGTGTTCCCAAGGCCTCCTCCTTCTTCTGGAGATCTACAAGGAAAGAAGAGAAAGGAATTAGATTTGTTACAAGATGAAAAGTAGCAGCAAGAAAACAAACAAAACCCCATGGGATGCATTTTCCTTGCCAGGTTTCTAATCACATCTCATTCTTCTTCAGCCTTTGCACAACTGAAGGTAGATATTAATTCTGAGCACATAACTCATTAGAAGAGGAAATGGGATGGAAATAGAACCTGTGCTCATGAGTCAACCAACAGGTTGCTCCCCAACAGAGCTGATAACTTAGCCTGTCCCCATGGGAGGGCTCTGTGCTTCTGAACCAGTGTCTCCTGACCTCCTGTGACACTGCCCCAATCGTTCCCCTGCTTGTCTTTGCAATTGGCACACACTTCCCGGCAGGCATAAGCTGAAGGGAAGGAAGATGGAGAGAAACTGGCAACACTGAACCAAAAAAGTCATTTTCCCCTTTTTGTTTCTCCCAGAATTTTTTGCCCCTTTGACCATCATCCACACATCCTTTCCCCAAGGGTTCAACTCAAAAAAGAGGCATGATTAAAGGCAGCAGGGGCAGGGAGCAGCTTTCCCCTTCCCTTACTTTCTCTATCTACCAGCATGCATCTTTCCCGACATCAGCTCTCCTCTCCCTCGCTTCCACATAAGCTACGATTAGCTACTGCCTCCTGGGGTTGGGGGAGCTGGGTGCCAAGCAAGGAACAAGTTGCCTATTTGTCAGTGCTTTAAACCCAATACAATGAAGCTGCACAAGGACCTTTATCTCCTGTTCCTAGGAGTGGAAAGTAATAAGGTAGCTACCAAATTGGCCAGGACCAAGGCACAGCTAACCCAGCATCCTGTCTCTGATGTTGGTGGCCATCAGATTCTTCACTAGACGCTTGCAATGAAATACTTAATCCTTAGTACTCATGGGTAGAGCTCCTCCCAGCAGGTTAGGAACACACAGCACCACTTACCATTCATCACCAGCCTCCACTAAGGACTGAGAGAATCCTTGCTCAGACATGGCTAGGAGTGGCAATGACACGTGGCTTTCAGGCCACAACCACGCTCCTGGGAAGCCAGGTTAGAGATGCTCAACCTGCACAAGCCACAGCAACCCATGCCGGGTAAACCCAACCCTTGCTTTATTCTCTGGCACATTCCCTGAGGGACCCACAGCAGGAGAGGTTTGGAGTTACAAATCAGGATTTCCTCCATTATCTTCCAAGCCTCTAGTGAGAGGCAGACCAGAGGGTGCAGAGCTGTCTTGGCAGGAAACTAGGACAAAGAAGGGCAGGAACTCAGAGGTCTGTCATGCCTACACTGTTGTGAACTTCCACACGACTGGATTTCCAGTGTGGTAGTAAAGGAATCAACTGGTTGTGAAGCACACACTGACAAAAACCTTTATCATGAGGTTGGGTAAGAGGTGCTGGGAATCACCTGCACTAGACTGAGAGAAACAGGCAACGGCTCCCCCCTCACAACCCATCCCTTCCCCACTGCCCTGACATCTGCACACCCGATGACAGGCATCTATTGGCACGTCAGGATGCAACCCTACCTTTTGCTTTTGATCAGCGTCCCGTTCTGCTGGCTCTCGTATCGAGAGGCTGCTCCTACACCACTCCTGACCGACTGCTCCACGTAGCCTGCCGGCTCAGCCTTGCGGCTCTGTCTGTCCACGAGCGGCCGCTGGCTGGAGAAGCTCCTCTTCGCCAGCTCTCTCTTCTCTCCCAAGCTACCGCTCCCGAGGCCGCCCTCAAGCTGCCCTTCACCCTCCGAAACTCCGTCTCGCCTCTCCCGCCGCTCGCTGAAGTCACTGCTCTCAGAAGCTGTCTCCCACTCCTCGTTGGCGTGGTCTGAGGAGTTCTGGTAGGACAGCTCAGGAGACCGCCTGCCCGAGATGCTGCTCTTCTCCGCCGTGGGCAGCTTGGGTCTTCCCGGCCACTGGCTGGGCAGCAGGTTGGGGGCTCCCTCCTCGGGGTTCCACTGCCCGACCGATTCCCGCTCCTGCCTCAGGCGCCTGAATCGTGGAGGTTTGTCCTGGCGCGGGGGACGCCGCCTGCGGAAGGGCCTGTTCTCTATGTTCTCCTGATCCGCCGAGTAATCCTCCTGGAAAAAGTGCCTCTTGTCATCCAGATGACTCTCCTCGAAAACCCGGCTGGAGAAGGAATCCACGTGCTTGTAAGAATCCTGGATGTAGTCCCTGTCAGACTGCTGCCTGCTCCCAAAAGCATCCGACGGAGAGGTGTGGCTGTACTCCTGCCACCCCGCTCCCCCGCTCCTGCCTTGCCACTGGGTGGGCTCCTTACCCATGAAACCCCTTCGCCCGTAGCCGGAGTTGCTCAGTCTTGGTGGCAGTGACCTCCCGAAAGCTCTCGGGGCCCTCATCTTAGGGTCCAGACTAGTGTGATCATCTGAATAGATTTTGTTGGACCTCCACGACTCTTTGAAGTCTCCCTTCTTCAAATCGCTGTCTTCCCTGTCCAGCACGGAGCCTTCGTTGCTGTTTTCTGAGCCCCTCTGTCGGCGACGTTTCGGGAGCTCCTCGTACTCCGACCCTTCGCTATGGGTCTCGCTTGCAATGCGGCGCCTTGGCTTGCCTCTGGGGAAATCTTCAGGCTGGTTGAACTCCCGAAGCCCTCGCCCTCGGCTGCTCCGCTGGTTGTTGTAGACCCCCCGAGTGCTCACAACAGTGCCGCGGCCTCTGAAACTGAACTCCCTGAAGCCTCTCCCTCGCCCCCGCCCTTGACCTCTCCCACCGAAGGCTTGCTCCTCATCAATGAAGATCCAGTTGTTTCTTTTCGTGGGAGGGAGATCACTGGACTCTCTAGACAGCTTGTTCTCCCAGGATCTTTCTGGTTTCTCTTCCTCCTCTTCCTCCTCCTCTTCCTCTTGCGACTTCTCAGCCTCTCGAGCAAGGCTGGCTTGGGAAGAACCTTTGTCATCCAGCAGGTAACGCGTGGAGCTCAGCAAGGTTGTAGCATCGTCTGATTCATTTTCCACCTTCTGAACAGCTGCCTTCTCCTTCAGTGAGCGTGAGGTGTCCTCTCCCTCCAGTTTAACCTTCTCCATCTCCTTCTCCTTCTCCTCCACCTTGAGGGCTTTCAGGACTGGCTTTTTAATCGGGCCTGATCGTCGTGTCCTCCCAGTTTGCTCCTGCTGTTGACCACTTGTGTTTCGGATTTCAGGGGTCCACTCCGTCGTCTCCTCAGCAGGCTGTTTGGTATTAGCTCCTTCTTTCTTCCACGGGTCAGCACTGAACGACTGCTCATCCCTGGGAGCTTCTTCAGCAACTTCCGCTGTAGTTTCTGAGGGTTTCTGATGGTGGCTGATATCCCAGCCGTTATACTCAGGCTTCTTCTCTGCTTGGATAAAATCAGGCTCGAGCGGTGAACACCTCAGGTTTGCGTGCCGGCTGCCAGGGCAGGTTTCCTGCACGTTCTCCTGGTGCTGAAACAAGAGATCTTGGCCTAGCCTCTGTGAAGACAGGCAGCTGTCAAAGTCTGCTTGGGCCTTCTTGTCAAAAGCATTCAAGTACTCCTCCCCTCTCTCCTCAAAGAGATCTCGCTGCGTGCTCAGACTCTCTGGCCTTCCAGGAGAGGCAGAGTAAGAGCTGTCGTTCCTGAGGAGGAGATAAACAACAAACAGAAAACAGTCAGCTAATGGAAAGCACAGCATGCGGCCAGGGGCCCAAGCTGACTGCAAGAGGTGGAAAAAAAATAAAGCAGGCTTTGTTCTACATCAGGAGACAACAGGCCTATAAATACACGAACGCTGGGCAGTCCAAGCCGTATCGCCTGGCTTGTCAAATCAATGGATGATAAAGCAGTTCCTATGATGGGCAGCAAACTTCAGAAATAAAGGAAGATTCAGTCTCCAACATACAGGGAGATCTGAAAACAAGTAGTTGGATTCAGGAAATATCAAAGAATTAGGAGACAAACTAGAACCTGTGAGAATTTCTGACTCATAGCTCCTACTGAACAGCCCTGCAAAGCTCCAGGCTGGTGAGCACAGACTGGCCTCAGACAGAAAAACTCAGTTAACTCAGTCCATAAGCACCTTCACAACAGAGGAACTCAACAGTGTAAGGCTGCTACCAGATCAGTATCTTGGCCTGCTCAGAGACAGTTTTTGGGTCAACTCTAAGCCCGCTTTTCAGTAGGAGATGACCTGTAATGGCAGCACGGCCTCCTGCCACAGCCTGCCTCACGTGTGAAGACAGGAATTGTGCACTCACCTGGCATGCAGCCCCTCCATGGTGATGTTGTCAGCCTGTTTCTGATGTGACAGGGAGTACCCTTTGCTCTGCAGAGATGTGTAGCTCTCCTGGCCCCACACCGGCACAGGGTCCATGGGAGCAGCTTTCCTTTCTGCCTGCCCTGCCTGACAGTTCTGATCTTCAGACCGACAGCTGCTCCCACCGATGGAGTCCTGCTGGATCATGGGCTTCATAATTCCTGGTCAAGACAGAGTTCACACCATTAACGCTAGGATCTCACTGCCAAAAAGAATTAACAGTCTACTACTGCTAGCCTGACTCTCCTTCCTTCCCGGGCTGCGGGTGACTGCAGCCATGGAAACCTTTCTGTAAGAAAGGAGCCTGTGTTTGGGAAACACACAGCTGGGGAATGTACTGGGAATGATACAGAAGGTGACACAGCTTTCAGAGACCAGCTTACACACCACACACCATCACTAGCTTGAAAATAAACAGGTATATAAAACAAGCTGCAAACTCAAGGGAACGATTTATACATCCCAATGTTTATATTCACATCTGCGAAGATCAGTTAGAAGGTAAAAAGGTGCTAAAAGCACACAGCTCGGGAACTACAAAATTTTTCTGTCACATTTCTTGAAGGCCTATCAAGATTTCAAACAATTACAGTCACTCCCAAACACTCTCATGGAATAGGCAAGGTCTGCCTTTACAACTGCTCTGGCTCCACAGCTGCTAAGATCTCCCACTGCAGTGCAGGGGATGGGCAGGCAGGGGTCCTCCCTCCCAACTTCCCCTGCTTTCTCTTTAGCCCTCAACTGTGCCTAAATTTCCCATCCCTAGAGAAGGCCAATCACAGCCAATCAGGCTATGAAATCTGGGCAGAGGGCAGGTGGATGAAGCACAACAAAGTCAGGACAGCTGTAACCATCTCAACAGCTCAAATGCTCCCCCCAACACACACAGACCAGAAAGCCCATGAAAGCCCAGTCCTGAGGACATCAGGCACCTGGGCTCTCACAGAAGCTCTAGGACTGTAACACATTCCTTGCGTTCTACAATCCAGAAAACCAACTTCCAGTCTTAGGTCTGAGAAACAGCTGCAGTAACTTGTCTGGTATCTGGAAAGTTAATGGCCACAATAAAGGGAAATACTGGAAACACCTTACCTGAAGGGTGAAGGGCTGAAGGGTAGAAATCCACAGGGGTGCGACTCTGGGCCATACGAGGGTCCATGTAGGAGGGCATCATCATCCAGCGAGGATCAAAGCCAAGCATCTGGGGGTGTGGTGGGTAGAATGTCCGCTGGGGGTGGGAATGGGATGGGGGAGGATAGACTTGCGGCTGCTGCCAGTGATGCATCTTGTACAGCTGCTCCTGCAGGGATGAAGGATGGGCTGTTTGACACCAACTGTTACAGTGCCAGGAATCACACTTGCAACCCAGCCAGCCCAAGGAAAACACATTCAACGTATTCGAGGCTCAAAACCAAATCAGAGCGGAGGGTAGAGCAGTTCAGGGCAATTCGTTACAAACTTGGAACGCAGCAATTGCTATTCTTTAAATCCCCAAGACACAGTAAATGCAGACGTGAGATTAAGCCACCACTATGGGTCACGGCATACAGCCAAATGCAAAGGATCACTTTCAAGACATGAGTTCAGATTTTTCCCAGCACTTCTATGAAATATAGGACAGCTTCCTGTCAAACATCATTTCCTAATTGGAATTAAATACTTCAGAAGATGTTGCTCTTTGAAGAAAATGCAATTATAAGTTTAGTGTGTATGCATAATACTTCTGTTCTTGTTAGGCAAACAGATTAGATAAGAACATCCTAAATTCAATTAAGAGAGCTATTAATATTGTATAGTGTTTCCTGTACGTCCTACAGAGATGGACTGACACTGCTGGGTTGTTTCCCATCTCCCACAAGGCCAGCACACCTTCCTTTAACATCCTAACAGTCCTCAGCTAATTTGACTTAACATTTTACTTTTGCCTAGAGTCCAAGAAGAACCTGTATTTGAAGGGAGCTTTGTGTACTGCAGAAAGCTTTCAAAATGTAAACAACTCCAATTAACATGAAATACCCCTATTTACCTGTCAAGCTTGCCACCAGGTTCTTCTTACTAAGCTTACAGCAGTGTCAGATGCTGCAACTGTTTACAAAAAAGGCAATCCCCTACTGCAGAGCAAGAGGGGAACCCTTAAATCTGATGTGTCATTATGTCAAGAGAGAAAAACCAGATTAACGCACAGATTCTGATTACTTAGCACTCCAGGATCTTGGAGAAAATGCTTCCTTAATGCCACCAGCCTATTTTTTATTTTCTTCTTTTCATGTAACGACTGCTACAAAAGCAGCAACATAAAGCACCCAAAATACAAACTGCTTTATACTTACTAACAATACAAATGGTAAGAGCAATAAAATGAAAATTTAATGTTCTTCCAGTAACAATGCTGTCATGCTAATACCACCTCAGGTTAAAGACATCCAATTATTTTGAGTCTCAGATTATTTTTAGTTTCAGATCATCTCTTTCAAAGAGTAACATTAGCAACATTTGCTGCTGTACGTTTGATTCATGAAAATGCCAACTGCCCTATAACAAGCACAGAACAGCCACGAAAGAGTAATTACTAAGCCTCCGAGCAAAAGCCAAACGTTGGCTCTTCACTAAAGTTTGCAGCAGGGTTGATTATATCACATTTCAAGTGGTCATTCTATGAAGAATGACAATTAACTCTGCATTATCACAAGCCTGAATATTCTGCCCCTTGGCTCGATTCTGCTGCTCTAGGAGACTCACTGCAGCTGAGAGAGCTGGAAAGCACGTATGAAATATGAAGTACCATAAAGCTGGGAAAGATGCAAGATGTATGAGGGAGGTAGCTCAGGCTGGTCTCTGAGAGCCCCAAGAGAGTTTTCAGTGAACCAAAAATGAAACAAATAGAAACAAACGCATATTTATGGGGCAAAGAAAATGATGATCTACAAGAACCTCATAGAAAAAAAGGTTAAGTAGAAAAGGAGAGCAGATAAAAGAATAATCTCGCTCTGCAAAGGCAGGAAGTGGAACTCAAAGTGTGCTGCTTTATACCCCTCACATCCAGCCTAGAAGCAGAGTCCAACCACCTGCCACCCTGACCACAGTTTGCAAATAGCTGCCATACCCAACGGGGTAAGGACACAGTGAGGGTAAAATCAAACAGAAGCAGCTGATCCCCAAAGGGATTCAGCTCAGCAGCCTCCTTTCCCTTGGCCTGTATATTCAGCACCCTGCCCCTGCAGCTGTGCTGAAGAACAGAAGCTTCCATCCTGTGCCAGGGAACAAGCCCAGATGCTCACCAGGTTTGCTGCCAGCCAAAGGTGCTCAGACACTTTACTGGATCAGGCCAACAGTAAGCACCAGAGTACCCAGTGCTGGTTTTTTTTTGACTTTGGACATGGGAAGGTGAAAAGTCCCTGGCTTCTTTTATGTGCACGCATTTGCTCTGCTACACACCCCAGCCCTAAGATGTCACATTATCAGGAGATACTGAGGCAGCAGCGCCAGACAAGGCAACATTTCTGACAGCAGCGTCTACTTTTCTCACAGACAAGTGACAAATCTGGCCTCCCCACACCTCTCCCCAGCTACTGAAAGCACAACAGCACACAATTCACATAATCTACAGAGCCCTTTTAGCCACGTTACACAGTAGAGATCTGTGATCAAGACAGTAAAAAAGGCTGGGGGAGAACTCTCATTTGTCATCTCCCATACCAAAGAGAGTCGGTTATTTGGTGCTTACGGTGGTAAGAAGTAGACAGAGAAATGCTAATGTGGGAGTCCAAAGAAGAGGGGAGGGAGCGTCCCACCTATTTATTACCTGCTGCTGTTGCTGCTGTTGTCTTTGGAATCGTGGGGGAAGAGACTTCTGGTATTTGTTGAATTCCTGTGCTGGGGAGGGAGCTTCTCTGAGCTCCTCCTCACTGCTGCTTTGGGCGGCTGCTGCTGGGGCAGGAGTCTCCTCTTCCAGATAGCCAACAGAGACATCCTGTGCATGAAACTCAGGGGTTGCTGGAGAGAAGAAAATAAGCCTTGGTGAGTCCTGCCGTGACACAGCTTGTGCACACCACCACAGCACAACATGCACAAGCGTGGGCACATCCTGGCTGTTAATGTGGTTGAACTTTATTACAGTCATACACAGTACCTCACACACAACCTGATTTGCCCTGACAGTTCTAAGGGGCTTTGTCACTCCTGTTTTAGCAAGAGATTTCAAGATCCCCCTCTGCTGTCAGCCTTCTGCTGCAGCACTGTGGGAGAAAGCCCGTTTCCCCTGTTATTCCTCCTATCTGCCAGCACTTACTAATAAACTGATTTTGTAACCCATGGCCCATGAGCACTTTCTTAATAGGATCATCCAACCACAAGAAGAACAAGAGGCCCGTTCCAACAAGGTCTCTACTAGTACAGCTGATTGAGCATGCATAAGACAACCACAGAAGTCTGTGCTTGTTTCAATAGGATGCTTTTTTTTTTTTTTTTTTTTAATAAAATGAACCTTCATCACCAATCCATAATACTCTGTAGGATACATGAAGCAGACGACCTCTTAAGCTCTTAAGAGCAACTCAAATACTCCCCAAGTTCCCACTCCACACACAATTCAGGTAAAAGACAGCACCATATTAAAAAAAAAAAAAACACACTTGTTTTTACAAGGCAAGTAAATGCTTCTGTACCTCTACGGAAAGTGTGTCCATTCTCTTGCACGGCACTTTTTTCTGTGCTTGGGGGTCGTAGGTCTTCATTCTCTGTGTGTTTCTGGGTCTCCCCATTCTTCTGAGCCAGTTTGCATTTCTGATCAAGTTGTTTCAGCTTTGCAGCACAGGCTGCCAGACGTTCCTCCCTGGCTCGCCGCTCTTCCTCCTCCCGTCGCCTCCTGGCTCGCTCAACTGCCTCTGAGATCTCAGAGTGCACAAACTTCTGTCTCAGTGGCACTTTTTCTTCTTTATCCTCGAGGGACTGCTGCCTGAGAACACTTCCCATGGAGGGCTTCTGCCAAAGGAAAAACATTCCTCAGTGAGCATGACCCGAACGTATCCTCTGCCTTGAACTTTGCAGCTTGCACTCAGAAAATCTCCTCCCATCTGCCTCCATCCTCATGCACACACATCCCCACTTCTCATGAGGAGTTATTGCTGTCTGATTCAGTTACACCTTTTTCTAACTGTCTGACAAACCTACTGCTCTAGACCAAATTCCACTTCCTCTCTTTAGTGGCAGTGCTGTGCAGATGGGTTTCTCTCTAGCCAGATATAAGCAAAGAACTGAGAAATTTATCAGCATTCTGTTTTCAATAAAGCGTCACGCAGGTCTCTTAATGACAGCAATGTGTTTCATCCACCAGCCCAGCACAATGAGCCCATTCACAAGAGTTCAACCTACCTGGTATTCAGATGAAGAGCTCCAACCATTCATCTTCCTTGGAGGTGGCTGTGAATCCTGCACTTTCCTGACTGTCCGGGACAAGCCAACTGACTCGCCCCAGTTCTTTCCTTCCTCGGAGGTGTGTTTGACATCTGCACCATCTGCAGAGCTCAGGGACAACTGTCGCTGCCTTCTGGGATCCCAGCTGTTCCTGTCATAAAAACAGATTTGCTATTACAATTGCAATGTGCCTTAAAAAGCACTCACAGCCTTACTCATCAAGTGGCAAAAGCAGTTGATTGTAACAGAAACAAAGGATCCAAAACAAACAAACACAAGCCCAAGCAATGGGCTTTTCCTATGGCACTTAAGAATTAACACCATTATTGTGCAGGTGAGACACAAAAGGGACTCAGTTCCATGACCCACACACACCCTTGAGGCCCACTAAGAAACCAACAGATGGAATCAAAAAAGCCAGGGGGGTGGGGCTAAAAAAAATATCAAGCCTCTATGTATGAAACAAGTTTTAACAAGATCCCAGTACTGTTTAACCATATTGAAACAACTATAGGTGGGAACACAGCCAGTTCTTACCACTTCTGTCGTCCATCTTTAACAACTTCTTCCTCTTCCTCATCTTCACTAAACTTGAGTTTCTCAGAGTAATCCACTTCATCATGAATACCTGAGACAGCAGAATTGGAGAAGGGACGTGTGAGAGAAAACAAACAGGGCCTGCCTGCCTTGTCCTGATAAAGCTTATGCCTTCACTGGCACTAAATCAGATGCTACTGGGAAAACAGCGTCCAGCAGAGGTCCTGGAAGTGATATGACTAGGACAGACCCACACTGCTGACCAAGCTGGGTTGGTCCCAAAAGCTGTGCAGCAAGCAGTCTGGGAAGGGAAGCTGCAAATGAAGACGCAGCTACCAAACTAGACTGTGTGCAACTGCATGCTGAATGCTATGACTGAAAAGATGGGGCTAACTCTTCTTCCCAGCAGTCATACTGCTATCCTGCTGCTGTGTGGTGTTTTCAGTTTTTAGACGTCTTCAGATCCAGTTCCATGAGTACTGTGTGATGGAAGGATCAGAAGGATCCATTGTGTCATCATTTACACCAACAGCAATTTCACAGCTGCACAAACCACCCCTTCCTTCCTCCCTCATCCACCTTCTGGCAGTGAAACAGAGCCATTAGAATATTCTGGCTATTTTGTGTTGCAGGGAGGAAAACTGCTATGCTTTGCCTTCTAAATCATTGACTGAAGCTAGAGGATGGAGGTACTTTACCTGCCCACCCATCATCTGCATCGTTGTCTAGTTCATCCAACCCCTTCAGGTTCTCTGCGTTGATAATGGTGGGCCGAGGTGCTCGCTCTCCCTGCCGCATTGGACGTGTTGGGCGGGACAGGCCAAGCCTGTTCTCTTTTCTATGGGGAAATGCAAAAAAAAAAAAAAAGTTAGAAATAGTAAAGAAAGGAACATGCAATTGAGTTTGTAACAGCCAATCAGTCCTTTACTACCATATGCTTATATAAAAAGACTCCAAGTACCTCTCTGTCCAACAAAGCTTCTCTTCCCTACCAACCTGGTACCAAGTTCCTGGGGCTTATAGATCAGAACTGCACGCCTGCCAGTCTGCAACCACACACCCCAGCTTTACACATCCACCTGCTCCTGACACACAGTACTCAAAATCTTGCAATGTTTCTGCTGCTGCTGCTGGAGCAAAGCACTGATCCTTTGAGTAAACATCAGGCCTCCTCTGCAGCCGTCTATAACCTCACAACTGCATCCTCGGTCCAAATTCTTGCACAGTCCAAGTCCCTTTCACAACCCAAACCAGGCTCTCAAGTGGGACAGCCGTGGGAGCCTTACCCATCCTGGTCATTCATCTGGTATTGTCTGAAAGGGACACGAGGCTCAAGCCGAACTTGAGGAAGGGGGAAAGACCCTCGGTCCAGCGATGCAGGGGTCTCAGGTGGCTGTTGTGGACACATCTGGAACAAAGCAAACAACAGCCTGCTTATTCACACTGCCACAAGGCTTACCCAGATTAGGTTACAACACATGCAGCATGGTAGCTGCGACTACACAAAAGGAAAACAAACATTTCATGTCTTGCTGGCTAACAGACATGTTACTTCTCCAGCTCCAGAGGAAAAGCAGCAACTTTTCCTTGGGCTAAGCAAGGCTGCATCTGTTTCATTTCTCCTCAGAGCACATTATTGCTACGCTATTCCAGCATCAAAGGGTAAAGGCACAACAGGGAAAACTAAAAATAGATAAATGGAAGGAACTCTGAGCAACTCCTAGGAGCCGACTCAGAGGAGAGTCTAGAAAAATGCTATCTTAGCTGAGTTCCTCAACCCTCACACCATGTTATGAGAAGCAAGGACATTACAAAGCTGTATGAAAAGGGCAACTTACAAAAGCAGGTAGCATGTCATGGTACGTAGGTGGTTGGTAGACATTTCCCATGAACTGCGAAGCCCCTTTACGGAGAGGCTGAGCTGGGCGGAGAGACGGCTCCTTCGGATCGCTGGCACTCACTGAGGAGGGGGCTCCGTCTCCGGTGGTCGAGGTCTTGCTGCCCAGCTCAGCAGGGGAGGCGGTCAGAGATGTGGCAGAGGTGATGTTCCTCCCACCGCCCTCCCTCCAACTGGTGACATCTGGACAAGAGGTAATAATTATGTTAACATCTGTAACTGCAGACAGTCACTTCGCCAGAAAGTCTCAAAACTAAAATGCTCTGGTCAAGTCCTAATTACGCAGAGAATGTAGGAAAACATCAGGGACTGAGGAAAACTTCCAGATGCATTTATTTTCCCAAGAGACCAGCAGCATCAGCTGTTACTAGGTAATTAACGCACCAGTGGTGTCCTTGTTTGTCAATAACCTTAAGTTCCAACAAAAATTCTGACACACATCACCACAGTGCTCATCCCACAGAATTAAAGGTCATGAAGAAACACTCAAAGAGAAGCTGCACTACACCACACACTTGCTTCACTTAAAACTCTCCCCTAGCCCACAGGCAGGTCCCTGTTTTGCAGCATCACTATGTTACAAGACACTGAACAACATAAACCCTCTCTGCTCCTGCACACAGCAGTTTTTAATGAAACGATGCAGTAGATTACAATCCATATTGGCTGTCTTGAAGACAGAACTCAAGCAAAGGATCTGTGGTTATTTACTAGGCAACGTGACATACGTGAGCTCATAACTGTTTAAAAACCAACGTAGGGATGGAATATCTAACACTGCTGTGAAAGGGCAGCCCCTGCCCAAAGCACAAGCTAAGGGATTCTGAGCTGGGGCAAGGCAGAAAGCCACATTCGCTTACTCTGGGGGCGGAGGCTTGGTCCTGGCCCATACGACGGATCTAAGGCGCCCTTTTCTTTGCCAACCTTGTCCTGCTCGCCAGCTGCTTTCAGCGTCGGAAATTCCTCGGGAGAGAAGGATAACAGTCGGCTTGAGGCCCTTGAACCTGTCAGACAAATAGTTACAGGACTTAGAGAATGCCTTGCCAATCTTTCAATTTCCTCATCACATCAGCCCGGAAGTATGTTTCCTGAGAATCTGGGCCTCCAGTATATTTAAACACAAGTTACTACTGTACCTGCACCTCAGCTCACATCCAAAACACCCTCAGACATCACCACCAACTTGACAACAGATGTCCTTACCAAATACTGCCACGCTCGCTCTTAACTTGGGATCGTCATTTAAATTCTTACATTCAACAAAGTCAGGGCGAACCTTCTTAGCTTCCAATTATTTTTGTGTAGCACAAGACTCAGATTGAGGCAGGGATACAAATTCTGAAAGATTACTCATAAATGATAGCCTGTTATCAAGTATTTGACATTTCTTTTCAGACTACTACTGCTCAGATCTCACTCCACTAGGGAATTCTATTGTGAAGATTTCTGGCAATACACTTGGTGGAAGACCACAGATAAGAACCAAGTGCTATATGCTATACCCCACTCTCCTCCCTGCTGCAGCACATTTAAGATGCAGATTGCTGGCCAGATCAGGCCAGCTTTATTTCCTGTCATTGACAGATTGTCTTGCTGAGTCACCAGCTACCCTAGAATACCCTCACTTTCTCGCTGTTACAAAGATCTGATGGTGACTGGAAAACAAAACAACAATTCTCCTCAAATTGTTGGCAAGATAACACTGAATAAAAAGAAATTGTCGGCATTTTTGCACTACTTTTTTTCCAGAATCAGTTCTTTGTGTTACTTGGCTAATCCTCCTTCAGAATTATCATGTTAGAAGTATCAGCAGTGATTACTGAAGACCTGACAAAAGAGTCTCATCCATCTTTATACCTCCTTGCCCTAACGAGTCAAGAAGGACTGCCTTCATTAACATATCTTCACTTTCTGGAACTTGGACAGAAAGTGAATCTTCAGGACCTTCCTGAAGATTTCCAGAGAAAACGCTGCAACTACTGCATGTAGCATCCTCAAATATTTTGGACAAATGAGAATACACAAGAAGAATGTTTCTCAAATGGACCACAAAATAGCTGAGATGTGTTAAGAGTTCAGATTTCTACTGCATTATTCCCCTGAACTAGAATCTTGAGAGCATTAATAACATTGAGGTGTCTTCCAGGAGACACGCCCCCACCCCAATCCCTTGTAAATATTATGTTTTCCCTGTAGGTAAGGCTGCACAATACAACGACTGTTAATGCGTAGTCATTAACAATTTACACTCTAACCCTAGGCAGTATTATACGGAGAAAAGTTTGGGTCTTTTGGGGTTTTTCTGTTCCCCCTGCCCTCCCCTCTTTTCCCTCAAACTGCCCCTTATATGGAAGAAACAGGCATGGTACAGCTCATCTTTAATTCACGAGGCCACATTAAATCTTTCTGGGAGGGCCTATCCTGAAATAACAGCAACAACACCTAAGAGAGCCAAAAGCAAAAGACTTCCCTCTTTGTCAATATTACTAGAAACTGTTGTGTTAGCTTGGAAGGAAACGCAATTGCTCAATGCCACCGGAGAACTGATGCAGGGATGGGGTGGGCTGATAAATCCTTTCAGCCAGAATTCTGATGCTCCCGTGGTTCAATTACCTTCCAGTTAAGCTGCTCTTTAGCCACATATGTAACTCTTTTCTTGGCCTGAGAACTCTAAACTGATAAGAGTGTGACCTAGAATGAGTTTTCAGAAAATCTTTAAGAACATTGTTAGAGGATCAGATTTCAAAATGTCTGCATAAGAGGCCCATAAAGCAACAGCCTCAAAAATGTACTAATTAACAAAACAATAGACAGCCTTTGCACTGGCTACCAACCTCCGACAAGCACAAGCTTCTGCTTTACCATTTAGCCTCTGAGAAACACCCTCTCACTAAGGGACTCATTCCATTTAGGATAAGCTTGTCCCCTCCGTTTCTGCAATCCGCAGCTGTCCGTATTCTTTCAAATCTCTGCAATTTCACTTGATGACCCAGGGGTTCCCAGTCTGTTCGCATTAAACTGTGGCACTAAGCTGTTATTCTCACCACAGTTTTAATCCCAGTACTGGAAATCACCTCCTGTGTGGAAATGGACGCATCTGAAGACAACTCAACTCCCAATTTATGTTAACACTGCTGCAGAATCCCCAGTCAAGCAGAAGCAATTAGCAGCACAGCTACTCGGGGAGACTTAATAGAGGGGCATCAGCCAAGGTGCAAGCAAGTGCATCCTGTAGCAGCTTCAATGCCATTTCCACCCACTGACACTGTAATACCCTTCGCCCGAGGACAATGTGTACAGACTTCCTGAACATTATCATCACAGCCTCACTTCTGACCACCTCATTAAGCCAGGCTCCCCATGCTCCCAGCCATGGAAATGCCTTCCAGGCTCTGACGTGCTCTCTTCTCCTAAGCCAACCCCCTCTTCCATTCTGTTTTCTGCATCTTTCCACACACTACAGTGGGCCGAGAAAGATGAGCATGAGAGGGCAAATGTTTCCCTTCTCCTTCCAAATCCTCACCTCCCAGAACTCCTGCTGCTTCCCAAGGCAAGTGCACGAGCCACTGCAGTTCAGCGTGGTGCTGGGACACGCTGTCCGAGCTGGCTCTTGCACTGACGGACCCAAACAGATGCAGTTGCATCATTCCAGCCAACACATTACACAGATTCAAAACAAGATTCGTATGGCCTCAGTGCACTGTACCCAACACAGCTGTGTCCCATTAGGCACCAGTCTAGACAGGGAGGACAGGAAGAAATGGAGTCCGCCCCAGCTCCTGCCTGAGGAGCAGGCACGCACCCAGCCCCCTTTGTTTACCATACTCACCACCTTCTTGTCCTGCTGGCTTTCCATTCAGCTGTGCCCATGACTTTGGTCCACCTGGCACTGAATTTGTACTCTGAAAACAAAACCAAAACAAAAAACGAACAAAGAAAAACGCCCACGGGTCAGTGAACTGCTCCTCATTTCCTGGGTGGCATTTGCCAGAGGTCGGACCTCCAAATCACCCGGATGTCACTGGCTACCACAGGTCTCCCCAGTTTCTTGTTGGGGCTGAAGTCAGCTGCTCCCCACTGCAAAGCACTATGATGCTACAGTGAAAATATTCTTCTGTGTCCTGCCTTTTATCTCCTCTCAACTTCACCAACTATTTCCTCAAACCATTCTTCTTCCTTTCATCCCTCTAATAAAGCTTTCCATTTGTTCTGTTGTATTTTCCCAAACTGGTCTTCTTAATCTTCCAGATTTGTTCCATGCTATCCCTCAGCTTGAAGGCTATCCTGCTTTCTCAAGCATTATCCAGTCTCCTCCTCAAAACACAACTCCTGTCCTGATTTTCCTGAACCTCAAGGGCTGGTATTTTTCATTTTTATTTTTAAACTAGAAGCATAAAACCTGCAGCACAGAGGGGCCAGGTCCTTGCACTCTCTGGGGAAGCTTTCTTACTTGCCAGTAGTTTTTTCAGGTCCTGACACTGGCTACTTCTCCCACATGACCAGATCTCTTCTTATCAAGTCTCATCAGGCTGGGAGCAAGAGCTGGATCTGCTGTCACCAAGCGACACTTGAATTAGACCCAAAGTAATGGAGTTTACAAGTGCTAACCAGCCATCCCGCATTCCAGCCATTCTTTCTAGATTGAAGCTTGACTTTCCCCACACACTTGAAAGGTACAGAGGTAACATGCACAAAATTACACTGTAACCGCAGCACAGCATTCCTGGGGCACAGCGACTTGGAGTCAAGAGTCAATTGTACAGGAATTGATTACACAGCAGCTGTTCCTTAAATTACAGTCCACCAATTCTTACTTGTGCGAGGTAACAGAGACAATTAAAGGAAACTCTCTAGCTGACTGGGAAGAGGGGAAGCAGGGTGGCACGGAGACCGCTTGCGCCTACCTCCTGAGTGATTGACTGTGTCTGCTTCTGTAAATTGGAGACAGATTTCTGCAAACCCTGCTGCGGCAGCGACTCCTGCAGCTGTGCAGCCGTCGCACTGGAACTGGGGAAAGAGACAGCAGAGGTGAGATCAAAGGGGAAGGCAAGATGACACACTGTGGCAACTCTGCAACTGCTAAAATATCATGCTAATTTTGAGTCCGTGCTGGCTTGGACAACAGAGAAGTGATCTCTGCAAGGTCCAACGCACAGCACAGCAGTGCAGAACTGCTGCTGCTGCTTGCCTGACAAAACTTAGCAATGAGCAGTTCGACCTACCTCTTTTGGTCTGGCTGATCCTGCTTGTTTGCCCATCCTGTACCGTCTTTGGGTACTATAATGATGTTGGGGTCGTTTCCTCTGTTCTCAGACTTCAAGCTAGGCAAGTTTGCAGGAGGTGGCATGCGCCGGGCAGCAGCAACTTTCCCAAGACTCTGTAAGCCATGTCTAGGAATAACTAGTGAGAAAGGAACACAAGCAGGTCATAAGGTGGCTAGACCCTGCCAGCTCAGTAACCTCAATTAGCATCCCAACAGAACTGTAGGATGAGCAGCACCACTGCTGCTATTTGTGACACTGACAGCCAACCTAAGATCATTTCCTGCAGGACCATCACAAAGCAACTGTCTGTTGTAGCAGACAGATAATAGGCAGTGTCCTACAACAGAGGGGAGGGAGAGACAATTGTCCCTAATAGCAAATGCCCAGACTTTTAGCTTCCAGCAGACACTCCTCTTTCATTTCACAGCAGAGAAACAGCATCTCCCTTTCACAGCTTGGGGAAATAGCCATCGCCCTTCCTGGCCGCAAGGGCCCACGGCTGGCTCATGGCCACCTTGTTGTCCACCAGGACTCCCACGTCCTTCTCTGCAGAGCTGCTTTCCAACAGGCCAATCCCCAACCTGTGCTGGTGCATGGGGTTATTTCTCCCTAGGGGCAGGAGCCTGCACTTGCCTTTGTTGAACACCATGAGGCTCCTCTCTGCCAAATGAAAAGCTAAACTGAAAGGCCAACGGTCTCCCAGATGCTTTGCCAGAATTCCTCCGTGGCTCTACGATAACAGCAGCTCAGCAGCACAAAGAATCACCACCATTTCCCTCAAAGCCTACACACATGCACAGATACCAGTACTAACAGCTCTGCAACCCAGCCCCTTCCCGTTAGGCATCCCAGTTACAGGGCCAACAACTTGAATTAGCTCTGCAACAGGATTTAGAAGACCCCAAAGGGAGCTTGCTGAAGGTATTCCTTACCTGTAGTTCTGATAGCTTCTATTGACTTTCCTTTATACTTATCAAACAGGCTGAGAGTTGAGTACTTGCTTTTCCCATCCTTTCCCTTGGTTATTTGCCCCAAACGATCGGACATTGCGATGAAATGTCATCTAGTAAGGAAATTTCTCTGCGCCGCTCCCGATCTGCCTTTTAATGAGAGAAGCAGGGAAATGCCATCAGATTGTTTAGCCAGGGATAAGTAAACAGTAAACCAGGCACAACTGCAGACAGATTCACTGAGCAGACACTGTAGGTTACAAGGTTTTAGTCCCCTCCCCTTTAGTTGCTTTGGGGACTCCTGATTCATAACCTACATTAAAATAAGTGCAGGAACACACTGCAACATATTTTTCCTGCCACTCTGGTGCCAAGAGGTGAACTTCTTTAAGTATGAGGAACAAAAGAGCGTGGTCTGCTTAGTCCTTGCTTTAAAATAAATCTAACGTAAGCAGCTAACACAAGGATTCCTAAATACAAATGAAGGAAAAGTACTACGGCTCGTCCAACACTGGAATTTATCATCTGATTTCCCACTGAAGTGCACTGCTAGCTGAGCTCGTTACATTTACGATAATGGTTTCACGCTGGTGACAGTTAATGACTTGGACCAGCAATTAATGCTTTGAAGGCATCACCTGAACATAACAGTAATTTTTCCAAATTCCTTTTCCCTATCTACTGGCCACATAAGAGAGTGAAGGAGTCCAAAAACCAGCACAAATTAAACAGGTTCAGACCCTTGAAACCATGGGTGCAGCAGTTCAACTACAAATCCCAAAAACATTTTATAAAAAAGACTATTTTCTCTGTCGCCTCAAACACCGTTTTTAGCTATAAATCTACTTTCCACAGTAGATGTGGTTTGCTAATTTTTCACTCTGATCTCGGCTGGCACAACATACTGCAATTAATGCCCTCTACTCAGGCAGGCCCTCTGCTTTCTCTGCCTGGCTCTGAGAGCCTAGGACAAAGCTGAAACAGGGAACGCCAACACTGATGACAAGTATTTATCAGAAAAGAAACCTTGCTTACTCTCAGTGGATGTTTCTTTCGCATTCTTAAGGAATAATTCATTGTTCTCACTTTTCCACAGATCTCGGAGCTTAATCTAACCTTTTCACGCGTAATTTAGATTTCCAGATTTCTTGTTGCAAAATCTCCACTTCAAGCCCATAACTGCTGACAGCTTTATTATACCATCTGCTAGGTCCTATCTCATGGTTGCAGCTCTGCGTTGGGAGTAACAAAAAGCTATATATATATAAATACGTATCAGACCTTTCCACCTTTCAGCCTTTCTGAAACTCCTCCAGCTGACAGCATGCTTCCAATGCAGCCAGAACCACTCAGCACTCTGAAAGAGTGACTCTGACCAGAGGCCACAGCTTCCCCCAGCAATGCCTTATCAGACCTGATTCCTGGGTAAGAGGATTAGTCCATTACATTATACACAGAGCAAGCACGGAGCACAACCAGATTGGACACAGCCAGTTTGAGAGCGTACTGCAAACCTGCAGAGAGCCAAGCCAAGGCTGCTGCCAGGAAGCAAGTTTCTGACCACCAAACCTGGCATCCCCGCAGCAAAGACCCCACGGTGCAGGATTTCCATCAGGCCTGGCACGAGCAAGAGGCTGTGGGCTCGGCGTGCAAGGCAGCAAGGGGTAGGACAGGGGACAGAAGATGAGAAGTGGTTTCTGTCACTCAGTCCCAGCCCTCGGGGTGCTCAGGAACACCATCAAAAGTTCCACGCAGCTGCAGCAGAGGCCTGCGGAGGCAGCAGGGCTGGCCAGCGTCCTTCAGACACCTTTTCCTGCAGAGCAGCAAACAGATCTCTGGCTCCAGGCTGGTTCCATCCTCAGATGGTCACCGCGTGCCAAAGAAAACAGCTCCTCCCTCCCTTCCCCATTTCCACCATACTTTCTTAGTAGGACAGACATAAAAGAGAAAGGGAGGACACTGTGATTAGCACAGGCCTGGCAGGAGGGCAGACGCTGGGCTGAACCATGTCCTGTTGGAACCAGCAGGGCTGTGGGGAGCCTTGGACCAGCACGAGTGGCAGAGGGAGCAGCACAGCAGCCCTCAGCTGCCCTGGCAGGAGCATGGCCACCCCTCTTACAGGGGCACGGAGCCCTGGGGAGGGAGCCTACCCAGATCTCTTTGATCCCGTATCAGCCTCACACAATCCCGAGCAGCAAAGTCCATTCTGAGGTTTAGAAAACCTCGAAGCAGACCAAATTATTAGGCATTCGAGTAAAACCAACCATCACATCGGGCTCAGGAATTAGCCAGTTAACAGCAAAGCCCCAAGTTCCTCAAAGTCAGCATGCAAACAGCACGCGGGTAACGCTGCCAAAGAGAAACCCTGACAACCAGTTATGTAAGCGGGTCTCAGCTGCCTCCTGATTACATCTTCTATCATTAAAAGGATGCGGGAGGAATAAACAACCACTTCAGAGCAGAGGAGCCGGGGACACGCTGGGAATGAGCTCCTCGTCCAACTTTCTGGGGCAGCCACAACTGCCGTCTGGCTGAGGGAAATTCAGACGTGCTTTGTGCTCCCTCAGAGCTCTGAAGCTGAGAAGACAAACTGCAGCTTTGTTTGTGTGCTATGTACCGGCGTGAGCTCCAAGGGGGAGCACAAATCCACAGGGAGCTAAGGTGACTCCAAGCAGGCCTGCGTGCAAGGAGGCTGCAGCGATGTGGAGCTCTGTGGAGCCTCCACAGGCTGTGTGACACCGGCCCTGGTGTTCCCCTCACGCAGCAAATCCAGGCAGGCATCGCCAAAGCTTTCTCGTCTTGCAGAGAGAAGCCATTTCTGCTACAAATCAACTTAACTGAGAATTAAACTGCCGGCCTGCACGCTTTTTGTTAGGAGAATCAGAACCCGGAGGCACCTGCCGATGCTGCCACATGGAAACTGACAGCCTCTGACCTGTGCTCCTGGTCCCCTGACCGATTGCTGACCCTGAGGAAAGCATTATTCCCTGTTACAGAGGAACGAGCAACCAACAAAATCAATCGCCTGCATTTCTGCAAGCTTCCTCTCCGGGTTTAGACAGGTCTTTGGGGGAAGGTTCCCTATCAGCTTTAGCACACAGCTCAGCTCTTTCCGTTCTCAGGACTAGCAAGGTCTCCTGCAATGTCCACGGACAGCAGAGTGCAAAATGCTGAGCATCTCGGAGGACTCGGAAAACACTGCAGTGTGACCAGTTACGTCAGAGGCCCCAGGGTACAAATAACTGCACCAAAATTACGTCCTGGGCAGAGCTCTGCTGCCAGGAGTCTTCGTGCCCTCACCATGCTGCCCTGTGCTTGATGTGTGGGCACTGAGCCCATATAACCCCCTTTCAAAGGGGGATTTCTCCTCCTTGGAGCTGCAGCAGGGATCTACCAAGCGCTGGGATCCCTTCCTGCAAAAGGAGCCACGTGAAGAGCTCGAGCTGCTGGCAGCAGTCAACAGCTGGAAACCCCTGAGCTGGAAACAGCCAAAGGGAGAAGAGTCCTGATGAACGGGATCGTCTACAAAGCTCTCTGCGAAGCTGTGTAGGAAGGAGGCAGGGCTGCTGGTGTTTTATTCACAAGACTTCAATGGAGCTTGAATGCCTGGAAGTTAGCCAGCCTTAATTGAGCAGGGCAAACAGATTGATCAAAGGTAGCACGCACACCAGAAGGAATCGCTTCAGATACTCATACACCGCCGCGCACGATCGCCTGGGCAAAACCTGGGCCACTGCAGGCTCTTTGCTGCAGACCTTCACTCCTTGATCTTTTAATGGCAGCAGTCACAAACACAAAACAAAGCAACAGGATGGAGATTAACACGGAAAAGGCTTTTCTCCAGAGCAGGAAGATTCTTGACCTGAAATTTTACATGAATTGCTAAGAAACGCCCAGGTTGCAAAAGCTGAACTGTACTTCCAGGGAAGAGAAAGCGTTTAGAGCTGGTGCTAAACTGAAATCTGTTGTCATTCCTAATGTTACTGGTAACGTGAAGCCTTATAAAAGAACAAGGCATGGTTTTACAGATCAGTGGTGTTTGCTCTTTCTTAAATACACCCAGCTGCTTTTCGGTAGCAGCCCTCAGAGCTCTGTGTTTATCTGTCAACAGGAACTCAGCACTGCTTCTCCTGGAACACCTCCCACCACAAAGCACCTATTTGGGAAACGGTCACCACCTGCCTCAGCAGTGAGAGGTGCCACTGGCTGCCCTTGGAAGAGCTCTGGTGAAGCATGTGGACCAGCTGCCCTCGGGGCCTGGTGCCACATTCACTCATATCCCCTACAAGTTCTGTGGGGCCGGGCAGGGATCACCAGCCTGGAAAGGGAGGGACAAGGTGAGCATGCAGGTCCCAGGAGGGAGTGCTTAATAAACAGGGGAGCACCAGGAGAGTGCCAGCACCCAACTATGAAGTCAACAGGATGAACGCAGAAGAGCTGCAAGAGCCTAGCCCACAAGAAGCCAGGCTCTCAGCCTGTTGCACAGCCCAGGGGAAGCTGCTCAGATTTGTTCATGCACCCGTAAGGGCCTGCTGAGATACCGAATGTGGGACTGAATCCTGCCAGAGCAGAGGAGCAAGTCAGCATCAGCAGCACAAAGAGATGGATGCCCCTCAGCAAAGGTGGCTCGTGGCTCACCAGGGGACCCTCCTTGCATAGCTGAACAGGCACCCGGGGCAGCAGGGATTCCTGTATTCACCATTCCAGCTGCTCCCTGCATCTCCTGTCAATCTGCTCTCCTTGTAGCGACAGGGAACGGGAGACCGGGATCACATCTCCCGTGATTTATCGCAGAGGTATGCTGCCAGCTGAGTGACACGGCTGGAGGCAGGGAGGCAGCAGGCGTCAGGAAGCCAAGGCACCGTGACCCAGACGTGCACAGCACCACCAGGGAGAGGCCGAGGCGTCTGGGCAGCAGAGCCCTCACCCTGCGGCGTGGAGCTGTGCACGCAGAGATAAGGCCTGAAGGGGGAACCAAGAGAGCATGCCCTAGAAGATGACCTGCTCTCATTTTCTGAGCTGTCTTCACCACGCTCACCTGCTGCCTCGCTTGTGAACGTAACAAACGCACCCATGGGCTGGGAATCGCTGCTGCTGGGCCACTGGGCAGCTCGAGAGAAAAGAGACCTCCATGCCTCAGGTTTGGCCTG